TCGTACTAAAGAAGGATAGGAGCCTTCGACTTTACGTGGACTATCGATAATTAAATTCGATTACCATTAAAGATCGACACCCACTACCTTTGATTCACGAGATTTAGGATCGAATTTAAGGAGCAAAGTACTTTTCGAAGTATAATATTACTAATACGTATCATCGCATTCGGATCAAGCTAGGCCACAAATAGAAAACGGTATTTAGAACTAAGTACGGACACTATAAGTATATAGTTATACTATTCGGCCTCACTAACGTACTAGCCACTTTCTAACACTTTATCTTTAGCGTACTAGAAGAGTATCTTAATATCTTCGTTATCGCGTATCTAGATAACATCCTAGTATTCTCTAAAACGCTCGAAGATCATATCAAATATAATAAGCTAGTACTACACAAGTTGAGAGCTATAAAGGTCACTCTTAAACTTAAGAAGTGCGAGTTTTATATCTAGGAAACGGGATTCCTTAGATATCGTATTAGCCTAGACGGATTAGGTATAGAAGAAGATAAGGTCAGAAGCATTATAGAATAGCCTATACCTAGAAACGTTAAGGAAGTGCAATAATTCCTTAGACTTATAAACTACTATCGGAAGATTATCGACGGGTATACTAGCATAGTAACCGGACTTTACCGATTCACTAAGAAAGGACAAATATTTATATAGGACGACGTAGCAGAGACATCGTTTTAGGAACTAAAGAAACTATTTAGTAAACGAACGATTGTGGCTATATTTAACTACGATCTACTAATCGTGTTAGAAACGGACGCCTTAGACTACACTCTCGGAGCTAGACTAACTCAAGAAGAAAACGGGACTTCCTAACCGGTCGTATTCTAGTCTAGGAAAATGATCCCTATAGAACTTAATTACGATATACACGATAAGGAACTATTAGCTATAGTGTTAGCATTCTAAGTCTAGAGAGTATATCTAGAAGGAGTAAAACACACTATAACGGTACGGACCGATTATAAGAACCTCACGTTCTTTATAACGACTAAGTTCTCACACGACGATAAGCGCGATAGGCTGAAACCCTAGTATAATACGATTTTAGTATCATACACTATAAAGGGATAGAGAACAGCCAAGTAGACGCTTTAAGTAGGCGACTAGATTATAAGCTTAGCACTAAGGTAGCGGAACCCGCTATACTAAAATAAAACTAAGATAGAACCATCTTATATAACAAATAGATCTTGGCCGCGACGATCGAAGTTAAGGACGACGATCTTTTATAATAAATCCGAGTAGCGTAAGATAACGACGTGGTATTAAAGTTAGTTAGGGACGGGTTATACACCTAACCACAATTTACCACAGATGAGACCGGAATGGTCTACACGCACGGATTGATATATATCCCGCTATAATTCAGAAATAAGGTTATCCGAAGACATTATAACGACCTCGTATACGGATATATAGGGGTAGAAAAGATAGTGGAATATATTTCGCGAAACTACTATTTTCTAAATATGAACCGTAAGGTCCGATTCTATATCTAGGGATACGATACGTGCTAAAGGAATAAGCTAGCACGACACGCACTATACGGGCAATTATAACTATCGGAGACACTAAATACTCTATAGGAATAGATCACTATAGACTTTATCACGAAGCTACTAGTCTTAGAAGGACACGATATGATCATAGTTATAGTCGATAGGCTCACGAAGTACGCCTATATAATTCCAACTATAGAGACTATCGATACCGATTAAATGGCAAATATCGTGCTATAATATATAGTCGCGAACCATAGAATGCTAAGTAAGATTATATTAGATAGAGATAAGTTATTTATATCGAAGATATAGTAATCATTTGCGGATTAGATAGGTATTAAGCTTAGACTCTCTACCGTATACTATCTATAAACTAACGGATAAATAGAAAGAGTGAACCAAACGTTAAAATAGTACCTATAGCACTACGTGAACTACTAGTAAGACGACTAGGTAGGACTATTACTAATAGCATAACTAGTATATAATAATGTAGTACACTCTATAACACGAGAATCACCATTCTTCGTAAACTATAGGTATAACCCTATAATATTTAGAGAACTAATTGGTAAAACAGCCGTGGTAGAATTAGTAAGGCTAAAAGCTAGCGGATTAAAATAGTTGCACCTATAACTATCTAGAGATATTAACTTCGTCAATATACGTATAAAAAAGTACTACGACTAATAACACTAGGAGGGACCTAACCTAAAGAGGGGGGAAAAGGTTTATCTTTTACGCCGTAATATCAAAACCAAGCGACCTAGCAATAAATTGGACCACCTACAGTTAGGACCATTCGAAATTGAAGAAAAATTAGGACCGGTCAATTATCGCTTAAGGCTACCGGAAAGTATATAAAAACTCCACCTAGTGTTCTATATCTCGTTACTCGAACCCGCACCAAATAACGCTAAACTCGCGATAAATGTAGAAATAGAGGAAGAAACCGAAAACGAATATAAGGTTAAGGAAATTCTAGAAATAAAACGAATAAGCGGAAAGCCTCACTACTTAGTGAGATGGAAGGGGTACGATACCTCTAAGAATATATAGGAACCTATTAAGAACCTAAGGGGCTGCTCCTAGCTAGTTTAATAGTTCCACTAACACTAGTAGCGGAGAAAGCCGGGCCGTCCTAGAAAGACACCGGAAGATTAGCAATCTCCGCTAGCATCTAATCAAAGTTCGGATACTTAGTAGTAGTAGCGAGCTACTCGAAGTTAAGGGCGGAAGGAGAAGCCTACCCTAGGGACGTCTATCTTTCGTCGAGAATTTTAAGAAGCTCGGTATCGTGATGAGACATTTTGAAACCACGTTCCTTTAAGAATTTCTATTGTTTTCGCAAACGCGTATGGCGCGCTAGTGTTTTATTGATCTTTTGTTAAACTTCTGCCAGACGATCCTAGATAAGTTTTAACTCGGGCTCTAATAGCTCTAACTTATCATCGGCCTCGGAAAGATCGGCCGTAATTTTCTATTTAGCGGATTTTAACAAATCCCACTCGTTGTTAGTGTGGAACTCCCGTTTGTATAAACGACCCGCACGCGTACACGACGCACACTTCGAATACTTGTCCGACTAATCCATCACACAATTAACACTAAGGTCACGATAATGGTTATAAGGAGTTGAAGTCATAAAACTATACAATTCAATATAATCAGCCTACCGGTTATAGATTACGGTCGACGGGCAAGCGGATTTCGAAGGACACTCCGGAAGAAAATTAGCCTTACGTTTAGGTATAACGAGAACGCATTATTTTGAGAAAAAGAAAAATCTATCACCTACCTAAGGGGGGACCGCAGATTTATAAGTCTTAGGGACGAAACTCCTAGGAAGAGGGGAGGTGATATTATAGACATACTAGTCACCAATTAGTTATAGGGACCGTAACTACTAATAGGCCACCGAGAGCTAACCGAACGATCTATTATCAGATCACGTGTACCATCCTATACTCTAGGATACCTAGGTGTTTAGGGAAAAGAGAAACCGTGATCATGCTTAGTGAGCAAGAGCATGATCAGCCCTAAGTAGGACCCACTTCTAGAGGATATCCGGTATATATGTTACTATATGGACTAGTAAACCTCTACTACCACGATTAGGCAATCACCACGTGATCATACAAGTAGTAGAACGGTCGGCGGTAGAAGTAGTAGAGGGATTCTACTATTCTACTATCTACCATTCTATATAGGAAGAACTTAGGGATATATAAGGACACTCATTCATATATCTAGTTTAGTTCTTCGTCTTCAATCCTACATTGTTACTTATGTATACCTTTGGAACTTCAGTGACTCTTTAACTTGATTATAACTTGATAACACTCACGAGCAGACCAATACTCCGGTATAGATCTACTCGGCGCTCTACCTAGCATCGTTCCTCGATACCTCAATAGGACCCATCCTGCAGTAAGGCCTGTTAGGCAACAGTACGGTTGAGAGTACAGATCGTTGACGTTGGAAACCTGAGAAGCATAAGGCAAGTATAACCTGGAAACCTTCTAACCTAACTGTGACCAGTTAGCAGTGCGTAACATTAGTTTACTAAGCCTAGGGCTCTTTAGCAGATCTAATGCTAGCATTTTTAGTATATATCTCGAATCGATAACTTCCTAACTCTTCGATATTCTTAAATATATCAGTATGATAGTCGGGAAATGGTTCAGAGGGAAGGCGAAAACGGATGTTATATTTCTTCGCCAACCGTCTCAAATTCTTTAAATTGTTTTCTGCTATAAGAGATAGAGGCTATTCTTAAGGGGAAGACTTAGGCGTGCGTGGAAAACTCAAATGGAAATATAGTTCAGAATATTCTGGGGAAGGGGGAGTTTTACGTTCCTATAGGCATACATGTCTCGGCGAATTGCTTATGTGTCGTAGTTAGCGCCGATGCTATTTTAGGGGATTTTTCTCCTTCCGAAATCAGCTTAGAGGGAGAGGGGGAGGGGAAGGACACGTCAGCGGTTCAGGGGCGTGTAGGATATTCAGGTATAGAATAGTGGTGTTCAGGGCATTTAGGTGAATGGGCTGAAGAGGCTGAGAGTAGGGCGGCAAAAGGGACTTTCCAAATGAACAAAAATCATTTTAAAAAAAAGAAAACATACAACAGTGAGGATTCGCTGGTGGTCACCCACCCAACTACTAACTCACCGGCGTGTGGCTTAAGTACGGCTGAGCGGACGGGAAGCCCTGTTTTCCACACCCTATGGTCGTATGTACCAGATTAGGTGTGAGAAAGAATTATAAAATGCAAGGAGTGACCTTGGGGGTCTAGTGAGACTTCATAACGCTGGAACCCTAAAGACCAAGGCTTACTTGGTGAGAGGAGTCTAGCGCCAGCCCCCCATATTCTGCCGCACAGACCACTAAAATGTCGTAAAACACGTGGCACCGATGACTCTGGTGTTGAAAGCCAAAACTAGTCTACGTCTCATTTCCTACGCAATTTTACAACATGATCGGAGACGGCGAGAGCTATAAGAGCTACCCAAAAATGAGAGAGGAGGATACTCGGTACCAGGTTAATAATACATGGGCATATCTAAGAGGAATAGTTTTTAACCTACATCTGACCAGAACGGAGATAATGTCACTTGGTTCCAAGTAACTAATCAGCATCCCCATTCCAACGCGAGGCCAATTAATCTGATGTACTTGCCTTTGGAAGATCGATCGCAAGTACTTGCTCCCAGAAACTCTTATTGACTTCGGTTTGCCGTGGGATTATTTGGAGGCAAGTCAAATACGTATCGAGGATTTGTATAAGATACTGACGGAATATAGACGGACCCGAATTATATTGTGATCAAAAAGTCTATCACTGATGATATCCTAGAGGAGCTTTTTGCACACACAAGACGACTCAAGGAGGGCAACAAGATTCAGAGTTATGCAGAGCAGTCCCCCTGGCAGGACGTGAATCCTTTCAATCCTTCCGGTCCCTTCAATCCCGATCAAAATTTGAATTATCAGCCGCCTAAGTGCGTATCACTCGGTGTACCACTGAGCTTTGATATCGGTCTCAAATCGTCCACTGTCAAGCGATCTGTGGACGGTTTCAGAGCTGACCCATCCCACCGGGGACATGTCGGCCAAAGACTTGACGTCGTTAGTTCGCGGATGCCGGGGTATGGAAAAGTGGTTCTTTATCGAACAGATGCAACAGTCAATGAGGGGCAGGACCCTCAGTTCTCATGGACGTGAGATTTCAAACCGTTCAATCATTAGAAGATATAATATACTCATTAACGCATTGAGCATTAGCCATACGCAAACCGACACGAAGAGCTTCGATCATTTCTTGGTATATATCTTATCTATGCATTGGACTATACTTTTCACTAACAGTGTAGCGCTTTGCATCAAATGTGCCGAATCTAGTAGATGAAGATAGGGCTCTCATCGTGTCTCTTCTAAAGAGAGCACAGCAGGATCCCCCCGGATTGAGTGAGCCACACTATGTGATGCGCTGTGTTGGCTCTAATTCCACTCAAAACCGCACCGAAAAGTCGGCCATCTTCCTCCGTCTTCCTTATTATTCAACCCAGAAAATAGATGCAGCCCAATCCTTTCGCAAATCCGCCCATTCCACGCGCAGCCTCCTGCAGTATTTTTACAACCTGGAGTCTACCCGGAATCGTGACCTGCAGCAAGTAATTCGAAAATCAGGAGTCTTTCCAAAGAACCATATTATTCATGTCTCCGAATTGTGGGCAGTGATTGTCAATTTCCGTTCGTGAACACCCTTTCTCATGAGTCAATCACAACATACTGACACATAGGGAGCATAGAATTCATCATTACCAGTGCACCCATACCTCTTATGGATGGAGCGAGTCCTTCTTTGGAGATCATGAGCCCGCCAACGCCCATGTCGTCATCTCCTTCCAACGTTTGTGTCATTAATTCCGACCGGCGTGTGTTCTTCTTTCCCATGGAGCACTGCAAGACATTTTTTGTATGGCATCTATTTCACTTATAGCCTTTAACCGGGACTCAGGGTGTTGATGTTTATTTACCAGGCAATGAGAGACAAGATTTTCAGGTACTGCCTACCGGAAAGCAAAGGCCGCAGCTATGACAACCACGGGTATGAAGACCGCAGGTATGAAGCCCGTGGTTATGAACCTCGTGGCTATGAACCTCGTGGCTATGAACCTCGTGGCTATGAACCTCGTGGTTATGAAGCCCGTGGTTATGAAGCCCGTGGTTATGAAGCCCGTGGTTATGGAGGCCGTGAGTATGAAGGTCGTAAGTATGGAGGTGACAGGCATGAAGGCCTGTATGATTTTAAAATGTTTACCGAAGACAAGTTTCCGATCAGAGCAGAGGATTGGGCTAAAGTAACAGCATCATGCACATCGACACTTCTTCGCATTCACATCGAGACCTTTATACCGGAGATATCAGAGGAGCGCCGGGGTAAAGAGAAAAAAGGGAAGTTCCGAAATGATAAAGAAAAGGAGAAAATGGAGAGAATGTTCGATGAGACAGCTCGTAAAGCAAAGGGAGGTGAACAGAGCCTATCGGAAACAGATAAAGATGATCAGTCTGAGAAAAAGAATGATCCGCCCGAGACAGATGAACAGGATCAGTCTGAGAAAAAGCATGATTTGCCCGAGACAGATGAACAGGTTCAACCAGAGATAGATGAAGATGAACGGGGTTCGCACGAGACGGAAGAATCCACCGAGGATTACCAAGAAGATTGGGACTACCACAATAAGGAGCTGGATGAGGCTCGCTATACCGGAGCAAGCCATCGCTTGCGACGGCCCATCAGGGTGAAATCTTTCTCATCTTTGCCCGGCGTGGTGATCAACCAGGTACCTGTTGACGACATATCCGCTCCTTCGAACATTTACTTCGAACCAACCAAGCCCATCCTCTCTTCGGATAATGAGTCTATTGATCAAGATATTCTTCCCAAGGCAGCAGATCCAGAAGAGCAGATCGATCATGGTCATCGTTCCACGACATCCGAATCCTTACCTGGAAGTTCATCTGCCTCCCAGACCTCTTCCCCTGCTCATAGACCCACTATCAACTTGGAATTTCCGCCAGTTTTTACCTGGCAGACAAAGAAAAAGCCGTCGATGAAAGAGAGCGCGATCTCGAAAGCAAACAGCCCTCTCGATAACCCCAGCCCGGATCATTCCAAGTCGAATGTTCAGTCTCCAAATAAGCCACCTGGGATTTTGAGCGTGGACGAAGACACAATAAAGCACGTCTCCGCGCATATCAATAATGAGCTGCTCGAGCCTACCGATGGAGATAGTTGGGAAATATATAAACAAGCGACGACAAAATCCTACTTCGATGTGGACCGGGCTATTACACAAAGATATGCCGTTTCTCTTCCCACATTGATCGCGGAACAAGCTGAGAGTGTCCCCGACTTATTCTCGCCAGAAATGGTGGACTTGAAAGATGTTGTCAGTAGGCTATGTCGACTGTTCAACTTCTTTGCCCCGCTTTCATATCCATGCGCTGTCAGCGGCAAGTTCTGGGGAGCGGTTCATGATCTTCTCGCCGTGAGGAACATCCACTCCCTCTATCTCTACAACTTCTAATGCCTAGATTTGCAGACCGTCCCCCAATATTGGGACACATCCTACATGAAGGAGCTGGCCAACCGGCCGCGTCATCAGCGGATACCAGAGACCTTCTTTATAGCCAACCTCGGCCGCACTGATTACGCTAACATCCCCGACAAGGACGAGCTAGAACAACTGGCTTTCAGCGTCGCGAATTGCGAAAAATGCATTGCATCCCGTCAATACTCTACTCGGTCGGATGCCCTCGACCATCTGTTTACGCATGTTTCCGTTGTTTGCCCCGAACAACGCTCGGTGAAGAGCTCGCAATCACCATGGGTGATGGATTTTGAAGAGTATCTGACATACATTTGCCGGGGAGCTGATCAGATAATAATCACCGAGCTAGAAGACTTTCTGACAAGCTTGGAAACGATGGCAGCTCAGATCCAGCACGGGGTGTCAGCTGATGGAAAGTTTGACTGGGACACATACCGCATCCCATCGAGTTTGGTTGATGCCTTTCAGGATCTCCTGATGATGGTCGTGACTAGCGCACATCTCGTGAAGTCTTGTCATAAGAAGCGCGAAACTTACACAAGTTCCGACCCGCCGGGGACTTTCTTGATGCTATCAGAGTTGGACAGGGTCACGGATGCTGGGGTAGCGGCAGAGACGGCTATGGAAAGTGCCATGAGAGACATCGTTTTGATGACCTATACCGACGAGCTATCCGATGTCGTGACCTACGAAGCCGTGGGTCCCGGATTGGTCCTCACTCTTATCATGGGGGACGTCCGCTGCAGAGACTCGCAAAGCAATCCGGTTAACTTGCTCGAGATCTATCGTGAATACGTCCGCAATCTGGTCCGTATCCCTTTCTCGATCCCTGCCACTAGTCCCAATGTTACTAACAAATCCATGCCTTCTTAGCAATTCAAAGCGAGTCAGAATCCCCAGCGACGCCTACTACAGGAAATCTACCTCGTCCGCGAGGAGCTAGAAATAATCCAGAAGGCTTCCGAGAGACAGCGCCTTGTTCTCGGAAACTACCTGAACGTCATAAACCCACATTCTTTCCGCATCACCACCGAGTCCCGGGTCTCCTCATTCGAACTCGAGAAAGCAAGGTTAAACAAGCTCATCGGCCAGCTGAACGCCGAGCTCAGCGCAATCTCACTTCTCAACATAAAACTTGACTCATTGGCCAACCAGACGCGCAGTGGGGTAGATGTGCGACAGGAAGATCAAGGAAAGGCCATTCTTGTCTTCACTATCGTGACCGTGGTGTTTATGCCGTTATCATTTGTGACCAGCTATCTCGGCATGAACACCACTGACATCCGCAACACGAACAGCTCGCAGACGCTGTTTTGGGCCATCTCCGCCCCGCTAACAGTGGGCATTATTACGATCGTCTTGTTGGTTGCGTTTCAGGTGGATCGGATTCGAGAGGCTTTCGACGCTTTTTGGACGTATGATTCTACGCTAGCGGCGAGATCTGGCTCGGCTGTTTTGCGCGGGAACTGGACGAATAATCACATTGAAGGGCCCTCTGGATTGTCAACAAAGAATTGGATTACAAGTGGCTGGCCTGCGGGAAGGAAGACTGGGCTGAATGACTCAATGAGCGTTTAGCTCGTCTATCCTGGATTATATCTGGTCTACAAAAGTAACGACACGTATCACGAAATTTCACGTTCATTGGTTTCTATAGAAGACCTTCAGGGTTTACTTCGTACAGAGAAATTTGGCTAATTGTTTGTGATCAGCAGTTAAGCAGATCACTAGCCAACCCAAAAATCAGTATCCAACCCTCCCGATCATGTCTAAGATGGACATCTAGATCATGAGACGCTCGACCTGGTTCTTGATAGCACGGATCTGAGCGGTCAGGTCACTAGCCTCGTTGGTGGTGATAGAGGCAGCGATCACGGGGCGGGAAACACCAGTAGCACGGCCTAGAGCCATCTTGCTAGGAACGTAGACGTAGGGGACCTAATTTAAATGATTAGTCTAGATTCTCGGCGTATGGCTCTAGGGTATTTAACTCACGTTCTTATCCTCAGCCAGAAGAGGCAAGTGAAGCACAATGGCGAGGGGGCTAGTATCAGCTGCCATGATGACAATTTCACTAGTACCCCGGTTAAGGGACTTAGTGCACTCGTTGGCGCCCTAAGACGACGCTTAGCTTAAGCTTAGAAATAGTTCAAAGCACATAAAAACAAACCTTCTTCAGTTGGCGATAATGCTGGGCCTGCTGCACAAGGTCGAGGAGGCTCTGGGCGAGGGCCTCATCGGCGATGGGCCACGCTGCGCTGGTATCTTCGGCCATTGTTGTAGTTGGGAATTCAAAAACCAGATCTTAAGAAATGGCTCACTCGGTGGATCACGGCCGTGTATTAATTGAAACGGAAAAGAAGTGATGTGTAGGTTGAAGTCAAGTGGAAGATGAGCATGAAACTTTTCAAGAGTGGACCGTTCGGATACACCGCCTGCTGAATTTGCAGGTCTTTCTGGACGGGCGCCCACCGCTCTCGTCCTATTGGTCACCCTCCGGCCCGGCAATGAGCACATGAAACAGTCTTTCCGTACCAACTAAACCGGCAAGACCATCAGGGCAGGGTTGGCCATGAATAAGGGAAATATGAACCCCAGGTGTAGTAATAGTCATAGATGAAGTGGAGCAATCATCAAGGCATATAGTAAAACTCAGCTTATGCTATATCTATGTTATGCAAGCCCGAATCGGTGTGCGGACTCGGTTTATGAAAAGTCATAGTTCCTACTCGGACTCGATATGTTCTCGATGCAGGGAGTAAACCAAACTCAATATACACAGAATAAATGCGTCTCATGCTTGTTAGCCGTAAATTAATATACAAAAATCCAAGACAGTCCCGTCGTGAACGCTTTTTAGCAGGATGAGTAGTGGAGATATTCTTCTATTCGGCCACCTGGCCACAGAAAGAGACACGCCGGTCTCAGTACCAGCCATAAGAACAAATCCGCCATCCATAAAATACAATGCTCTAAAAACACAGGCTGTGAGAGGCGGTATTAAAAACGAGTAAAGAAAACAGGAACCTCGATGCTATGTCGTTTAAATATGATGACCAAAACCGAACAGTCGAGAAAAGAGACTCAATGTGGGGATGTCGTTATGAAGAAAGAGATGGAAGGGAGGATGGGTTGAGGGCGATCAAATGTAGATAGGTCGCTCGTGTTGGTGAATGGAGAAAAGAGAGAGTTTAAGCCAGAGCCTTATGCTCAGATGGAGGTGGGGGAGGAAGCTGTTTTGGAAATTCGTGGTTAGCAGACACGTCTTGACTCTAACTCGAAACGGATCATTTCGAGGGGAAGGACTTCATCGTACCTCGAGCTTTGTGTTATCAGCCATCATACGCTGGAAACCAATACCGACACCCTCAATCACAGCAAGGAAGACGGCACACATAATAGCGGAGTTTCGGGCGGCCTTGTAACCACCACGGATGGCGAGGGAACCACCGGTGAAGAAACCAGCGATGATAGCATTATAAGGATCCTCCTTCTTGCGAATTCCCTTGATTGAACAGTCGTATATACTGAAAAGTCCTCCCCAACAGCCGAAGTTACCACCGAGGACGGGGGCGCGCGCCTTGATAGCTGTGAGAGCACCTATCCGGCGCTCACCGTAGGGACTATTGCGGAAACCCTTGACACCGTGCCAAACGGCACCACCGATGGCACCCATGCAAAAAGCACCGCCGAAGTCGCTCAGAGCAACCCAGGGGCAGGGATCGCGTGTGTGGTCCATAATGTGTGAGTGAGTCGAGTTGAGAGTCGGGGATGTAAAGGCGGATGGGCTGTATAGAGACCAATTTTGAAAGGTGCGAGGGTGGAGGTCGAAACAATCCCAATGAGAGAAAGAAGCCGGTTGTGAAAGGCGTGAGGGTTGTTAAGGTCGAAGATTGACAAGCCGAGTGAGAGATGCGATAACAAGATAAGGGCGGGTCGAGGACTTTTTCTTTGCCATGTCGGGTTGCACGTGACCACTAAGGTTCGACCCGGTCGCCACCGAACTCTTTGATTTCTACGATGTCCCCCGTGTTTATTCTTATTTTCGCAATATCATTCGTTCGGGTCAGGAATCCCCGGGCTGGGAACCCGGGGACGAGAATATTCCGGCCACTCATCCCTGCATGATGTCTTGAGGTCATCAGAAAATTTCTTCGTTCCTGCGTCAATTTGATAATCTATAGTACACGGCTCTTTAATTGTCATTGTTTTGGGAGGGGCCAATAGAGCCAATCGGAGATCATAGATTCTACTACCTTGGGACTATTCTGCCTTCTAAAAGAATGAGGTTCTACGGCTTCACTTCTTTATCTACCTACAACAAAACAAAGTTCACCTCACCATGCCCCAAGGTTGATCCCATCACACTCACAACCCTCCTCCTTCCCCGCTTCGGGAGTACGGTCATTAACAGAAATATTCGGGAGATCGCATGCAAGGCGCCCAAGCTTTAGGCTCGCTCAAAATATATAGATCCGAGCTTCATTTTATTTCTACATCCCATCCGTTGCACAAGCTTGGAGTTGCCGAATTCTCGATCACAGAAACTCCTCTGGAATTTAAATTGACTCGGCTACATGATTTCCGGATGGTTGTCTGATATTGAATATGTATAGAGGGTGGCGGGGCTCTAAATATCCCGCAATAAACACGCGTTTTCTATAGGGTATGGGCCCTTCATTCATGCATCTCCATATTTTAGGTGGTCGGACTGCACTTCTGTAAATAGGTATGAATTTTGTATGGTATAAAAGCTTCATAGAGTAGAAGTGTAGCAGAAATTAGCAGAAGTGAAGTAAAACCGCCCCAAAAATGAAGGCACATGAATTTTTTAAAGTATGAAAAGCCTCATTTTACCTTGCCTGTCTGGAGCAGTCCGGCCGTCGCGCGACCCAGGGTGTTCTCACACTGTCTATAGCGCACTCACCCTTCTCACCCCTAGTTGTGCGACGCTCTCCTTTCCACAACCCAATTAATTGCACTATGTATTTCTCTCCCATATGGAATCTGATACATACGACCATAGGGTGTGGAAAATAGGGCTTCCCGTCCGCTCAGCCGTACTCAAGCCACACGCCGGTGAGTTAGTAGTTGGGTGGGTGACCACCAGCGAATCCTCACTGTTGTATGTTTTTTTGCTTTTTATTTAGATAATCTACGCGGCCAATTCTTGAGGTGCCTTAGACACTAAAGTGGGCAGGGAATTTGACTTACGGTGAGTGTGGGTGAGAAGGGGGTGACAATTCTCACCTAAGGTGATAGAGGTCTCCGCCCGCCTACACACCTAGGGTGATAAATCTCGCCGGGGCCTTGATTCCAGCTTGTATTTCCTTTCCTAGCGATAACGATATTCCATAAAGATCTCCAGAGGGTGAGCGTATTGCTCGTGCCGTATCACGTGGCTTCACGAGTACCAGATAAGAGCGGGTGAGATTAGCCTACCTAGGTAGCCGAGCCAAGTTTCTGGGCAAGGCTTGTTATCCGTTCTGACACTGACCCATTGACATACGAGAATGGATATTGTCGTACGCCATTATTTCCGTCATCGACAACTCCAATATTTACGAGTTTTGAACTGCTCCGCCCTAAATATAGGCCAATCGTTGTATTGTATATAAAATAGCATATAGATTTACCACTCGCGAAATCCTACACCCGATTCTTATTACATTTTTCGATAAGCGGAGTCCGTAGATAGCCCGGTGGCCCCACGCAATAACTAAGGGGCCCGTGTAGCGTGTGTTGGTAGGAAATATCAACCGAAAGGAAACCAAGATTCAAACTAACCAGTTACATGGGGCCAATGTACCGAACCCGCTAACTACATATGTACTTATGTACCAGATTGGGAAACAGCGCCGGGGTGGAGCTGGGAAACCTTCTCCCATACAAGCCTTATCTTTTTTCCCCACAGCCTTAAAAATTCACCGATTCCCCAGGTGTCCATAGAGTGCCGCCCCTTGTTTTCCCATCGCTGCTTCTCAATCCATCAGGAATCATGGCCTATGATCCGGAGAAAGGCCATGCAACAGGCCAGCACCCAACTGAAAAATACAGTTCACCTGAGGTGATCTCAGTTGACGATGCTGCCTCTCACGAGACCGGTATCCTGGTTAGGATTCGCGCCCTGGAGGCTAGACTGGATAAGAAACTCGGTATAGAGTCTGATGCCATCGAGCGCAAGCGTGCTGAAGATAAAAGAGAGGTGCATTGGGTGGAGGAGATATCAATGGCGGCTCTGTGGGCGAGTGGCACGATGAACACCTCCTGCTTTGCGACTGGCTTCCTCGGCTGGGAATTTGGCCTGACTATGAAACAATCGATCCTCATTACCATCTTTGTTTCAATCTTGGCTGCATCACTGAGTGGGTTCTGTGCGACCTTTGGCGCTGTGACTGGCTTACGTCAAATCAGTGTTAGTCGGTACAGCTTTGGTTGGTGGCCTAATAAGCTGGTCGCCTTGCTGAACGGTATCCAGCAAATGGGATGGGCTGCTGTCGCATGCATCACTGGAGGTCTTGCGTTGACGGCAGTATCCGATGGCCACGTCTCGTTGATTCTTGGAATTGTTATTTTGGCTGTCGTGGCCCTGTTCATTTCTTGCGTCGGGTTGAAGGCCATTTTGATTTACGAGAGATGGGCCTGGATGGTCTTTTTAATTATTTTCCTGATCATCTACGGCGAGACCGGTGAATATGCAGACAATGCGGCCCCGGCTACCGTGACTGGTTCGAATTTCTCCGGTGCCGTTCTCAGTCTAATGGCCGTTGTTTACGGATCCAGTGCCTCGTGGTGCACAATGGCTAGCGACTACTATGTTCACTATCCTGCCAACACGTCTCGTTTGAAGATTTTCCTCATGACAACCTTTGGTATCTCGATTCCCACCTCGATCGGCATGGTCGCTGGCTGCATGGTCGCGTCCGCTTTGAACACTAAGCCCGACTGGTCCGCCGCATACGAGAAAGGGATTGGCTATCTCATTCAAGAGATGCTCCATCCTCGCGGATTCGCCAAGTTCCTCCTTACGCTCCTCGTTTTGTCCGGTATCAACGTCAACGTCATCAGCATTTATAGTTCCGCCATCTCCTTTCAGCAACTTGCCCGACCCTTCGCTCGCATTCCTCGGTCTCTTTGGACATTGTTCTGCTTCGCCTGTATCATCGCCTTGTCAATTGGTGGTCGGCAAAAGCTGAACGAATACCTTCAAAATTTCTTGAGTCTGCTGGGATACTGGTGCACGAGTTATGCCATTATCCTGTTCCAGGAACACTATATCTTCCGCAAGGGCAACTTTGAAAACTATGATCTCGAAGGATGGAACGACCCGGCTAGGCTTCCGTTGGGAATTGGCGCGAGTGTGGCGTTTGCCCTTGGGGTTGTGGCATGGTGCATGGGCATGGATGAGACTTGGTTTATCGGTCCCCTTGCCCGCGTGATTGGAGATTACGGTGGTGATGTTGCCAACGAGTTTACATTCGTTGTGACGGCTTTGACTTATCTACCGGCAAGATACTTGGAGCTCAAGTACTTCGGTCGATAAATCGTGTATACAGAACTGGTGGTGCGCTTGCTCTAATATTACCCTTCCTGATGTTTTATGTTTCTCCCACTCTTGGTCTTAGAATCAGATAAGATATATCACGGCCCTGTATTCCAAGGTTCGCATATAGACGCTCAGCCGCGCTCGGGTTTGCCTGTTTCGGTAATATCTTAGAAAACACCAAGGCTTGCATGAAAAGAAAATATAGTTTTATCGACTATATAGCTTTAATTACATACGTATAGATATATATATATATCTTGAGTATTTGAGAATAGACGAACTCGGGAAAATTAGTCTTTCAGCTTTCATCATTCACCACCTATCTCGATTCCTTCGAAAACAACCTGAAAACCGAATATACACACTAACTGCGACTGCAGGCAGCCAATACTTCTTCAAAAAACGACCACTGGCTGTGGATATTGCACTCAATTTCAATCAATATTTTGTCTTGCTATGGGACTATCGCATACGTAACATGATACATACGACCATAGGGTGTGGAAAACAGGGCTTCCCGTCCGCTCAGCCGTACTTAAGCCACACGCCGGTGAGTTAGTAGTTGGGTGGGTGACCACCAGCGAATCCTCACTGTTGTATGTTTTTGGTAATTTTTTTGGCTATGTTGTGTTATAGCGCTGGCTATTATTCGTAGGACATTACGAAAAGATGTGGAGAAGAATTCCAGAAAATTGGGTTCTCAAAGCTTTTTGAGGTTTTGAAACCCTTTCATCTCCATGGCACTATCTATGAATGGCCGCTGATCGAAACAAGAACAAAGAAGACCGTAAACCAAAATATGTAGCGTATTTGATAATCAAACCTATTTACCTCTATGCAGAGGTAGTATATTCCTCCACTCCATCGGTGCACACCAACAAAGGCACCATAGAAGACGACTGACTCCTTTCATAAATGAATACTTATGATCAGATAATATTCACTTATCCGAAAGTATTATTTGCGAATCCTACTCCACCACTAGACCATTATCTAGATCCTCGGCTTCTCGAAAGCCAGGGGTATATTGACCAAGTTGATCGCACAGCCTTTTATCTTCATATACATACCCATTTTCCTCCTTATAGCTTTCCACAACATACGCATCTGTAGGATCAGCCAATTTCTTGCTAATATTAGCCAATAATTTCTTTGATTTCATGGTCGCGGATGGATGTTGCCCCTCCCCCCCCCCGGGACTCGGGAGACCCCACGGGTGGGTTTGCTATTGGTTTATATAAAGTCCAGATCCCACTCGATACAACTATTGAAGCCTCTGTTGCTTTTATAATTACCCCTCCTTTTCGTCACCCAGCGATATTCTCAAGTTTATCAAGGGTTGATATCGTGTTCTATCTTGTTCTCGCGCTGATTCATTTTCGTTCGGGACCTTCCAAGGTTACATAGGAAATGGACTACAACGACAACAGCCTTAGATTCGAGGCGGGCAATACCAACATCGACCCAGCTATATTAAGGGGTAATATATAAGACCCCGGCGAACTCATAAGCTCGTACTTATATTAACTACGTCCCAAGAACTGCCGGAAGGCTGCAAGGTCACATCGACCGAGAACCATGGCGTAAGCTTCTGGGCACAGACGGGTCGCATCGATGTCTTGCTCCGCGATAGTAAACCACAGTCCTTCTTCATCAAAGTTCTTTCGGGAGAACTAGGCATGAATATGACCAGGGGTGAATTTCAGTCAATAAGCGCGATGCATCACGTTCTACCAAGATTTGTCCCAAGGCCCATCGCTTGCGGTACCTACAGAACGATGCCAGACACCCACTTCTTCCTCTGCGAGTTTCAAGAAATGACTGACGATATGCCTGACCCTCACAAATTCACCGCTCTTCTGTCAACTCTATATCAGAAAAGTGTATCGCCTACCGGCAAGTTCGGGTTCCACGTCACCACCTACGCAGGAAACCTACCCCAGTTCATCGGATGGGAAGAAAGCTGGGAAGTGTTCTTTTCTAAGACAATGAAACAGGCGCTTGACCTAGAGATTGAAAGGAAAGGGCCTAGTGAGGAGCTCGATGTCCTCTCTAGAGCTTTATTCGAAAAGGTTATCCCGAGGCTCCTAAGGCCTCTCGAAAGTGACGGCCGAACAGTGAAGCCTTCACTTGTTCACGGGGACCTTTGGTACGCAAATGCAGGGATTAATGTTGACACCGACCAGCCTCTTGTCTTCGATGCGTGCAGCTTCTATGCGCACAACGAATGTACGTTCTCCTACGAAACACTTGCGGTTGCTCATGCTAAACACATTAAAATTGAAGATGAGTTTGGCCAGTGGCAACCAGCTTGCAATAGGTTTGGGGATGAGTACGTTGCTGCCTACAACACATTCGCTCAGATTTCCCCGCCGGAAGAGGACTTCCAAGGCCGTCTAGACCTCTATAGGCTGTGAGATACTCAGAGACTCGTTCCATTCTTCCTGGTCTACGTAGCTAATATTAAGCTAGGAGGTTTGACACACATGTATCAGCGCTTTTTGTCGATAAGAAGACACTTCGAACACAGTGAGACTATTCCGAGCACATAGTCTATCTAGTTTGGCGGCTAATGAGCTCAACAGGGTCCTTGATGTCATGAGAGATTTGGTGCAGAAATATGGCTAATGGACAGCAGAAATGATTCTATACTCTTTTTTCTATCTTGGAGACCTATAAGTGCAAACTTGAACCAACTAATCGTACTCGGGGGAGGACCGGCTGCGAGTATAAGAAAAGACGGAAAAACGAGCATAAGTCTTTTTATCTAAAGCCAATGAAGCTCTAGGGATCATAAGAGGCTAGGATGGCTGTAGGACGGGAAAATGAGATTCCATCGTGGATCTTACCCCGTCGCACGGAATTTGACTATATAGCCAGTTTCCCTATCATATTCCTACAAGTGGCCATCTGTACAAGATCTAGTTTTTTTTTTAGGGTTAGATATACCCCTTCAGTTTAATCAATTATTTTATAGACACTCTCTTAGAATAGTCAAGACCTCTTCTAATCACCGCCAGGTCGCCACCCCGAGTCAACTACGTTATGCCTACATTGCTATTGTACAATCTATGTAGTTATACAAATTGTAGTCATAGAGTTCCTCGCTCTGCGTAGGAACAACACTTATGCCGACCATAATTACATTTTCCCCCTATTTTAATTCTATTATTATAAAGACCTATAAGTAGGGGATTATCGAATACTGATTCCGCAAACATCAGCGAGCGCGTTTACTTCAGGATCCCAAGTGGTTTTGTCTAGCAAAACTTTCCAGCAATTTAGTAAATGTGGATTTTGTGGACAAAGATTCACCCACGGAAAGAAATGCCTGGCAACGGATTCCTTCTTAGGCACCGAAAATTTAGCCATTGATGGAAATTTCTTCGATCGCATCGCCCTGAAGGTTTGACTTACTGACAACTACGCATATAATTCATCCCAAACCCTGAAGTGATGCCTTAGGCCGCGGCAAACTGTCGGTGGATTCCGTATTGTAAAAATGTAGGGTCCAATCAATGGTATTCAACTCTCTGTATTTCTGTATCGGCTCTCTACACAATTTATATGGAGCCTCGATTACATAACATAAATTACGAAAACACATAGGATTAATAAATCCTCCGGTATGCCGGTGTTACTGCGCTGACACACCCCCTCAGCGATCCCAGTATGGGATTGCTGGACCCTATAGATCTGCTTCCTTCTAGGCTATTAGATAGCCTATATCCACCATCCTAAGCATCCGTATAAAGCTTTCATACTTCTATCGAGAGAGTAATTTGGTGAGTCCATCGGCAACCATACTCGCCGTTGGAACCCATTTCACCTAAATACGTCCCTCTCTAACCTCCTATCTCAACCAATGGCGATAAATATCTATATATCGAAGCTTCGTTTCAAACGCCGTGTCCTCGCTTATTAACAAGCTAATCGTTCTCTCGTTATCACAATCGATTGTCATATCGTGGGAGGGGATAAAGCCAAGGTGATCAAGGAGTCGACGCCACCATTAAAGCTGCTTTCCTACCTCTGATAGGCTAAGAAGCTCTACTTCGGTAGTTAAAGTTGTTACAGTGGGTTGCTTGCTAGCTTTCCAGTCAACTAGACCCCCATATACCTAGCAAATATAGCCTGCTAAGCTCTTTCTATCAGGGTGATCCCCATACGAGGCATCACTTACAAATTGTACCGAGTCCATTCCGGCACTTACTACTCCAGCACTATACTCAATTGCTAGGTTCCGGGTAGTATAGAGGTAAGAAATGACTCTATCTACCGCTTCATAATATTAAGGACCAGGGTTAGTAAGAAATTGCGCTAGCCTAGTAGTTACTTTCGCCGTATCCGGTCTCGTAATAGTGGTGGTATAGCCGGCAGATCCAACCTTTTACTAGTAGAGATAGATCTCTCTCGGTGTGGCTACACCTTAGTATGGCTTCAATTCGTCAACTAGTAGTGGTGTGTATATAGGTGGACGATCTATCAAGTTATACCGGGTAGCAATGCTTATCATATAGCTATCTTAACATAGCCAAAGCTTCTTTTACTTCCTATCCCGAAGGATTCGGATATTAAGAAACCATACCGCTTCTCCATAATCTATAAGCTCCCAATACGCTTCTAGATCTCGCTCTAGTTGCTTAGCTTATATCTTTATAGAGGGATGGCTTACAATTAGGATATCATCCATATAGAAGAAGACTAGTAGCCCTTCTCTAATAAAGACGTAGGGGTCTTCTGGTGCTTACTACAACCCTAGCTTACATAGTACGCTAGCTACTTCTTATTGCTAAAGTCGTGGCGAGATCCGTAAGCCGTATAATGCTCGACGGAGCTTCCAGCATTTGCCTAGTACTTAAAACCCTTCTGGTATATACGTATACGTTTCTTAGTCTAGCTTGCTATTTAGAAATGTAATGACAGCATCTCGCTAGCGGAGATCTAGATTAAAGGTAGCTACTAGTGTAAAGATCATCCTAGCGGTCCTAGCTGCTAGTGTAGTAGCTCTCTTTTCTTTATACGAAATCGTTTTAAGATCTCCACGTATATAGATACGGGCCTTTAGCTTTAGAAGGTAACCGTCCTAGTCAAATTTATATAAGAAAACCTATAGTAAGGGGAGGATCTGCTTTCCTCGGTCCCTTGGTTTCTCAATCACTTCAAATGTCTCCTTCGCACTTAAGGAGTTGATCTCTTTCCTCATTGCTATAAGAAAACCTCCCTGAAACGGATGGTTTATGATATCTTTCTAGTACTTTAGTGGTAGTGGGAGATCGTCTCGATAGCGTCGAATGCCTAGTTTCTCGGCGTATAAGCCAGCTGCGAAAGCATGTAGTAGAGCCGGTGGCTCTTTATCCTATACTATAGTGGTTACATATATAAAATCATTATCTTGTCTTGCTCTGTGTGTTCGACGACCACTTAGTATGTTACCGGCATCTACATTGCTAGTGATCTCCCTGCTTGGTGCTAGGCTTGGTGCTAGCAATTCTGCCTAGAGCTGTCTTTCTAGCTCGTCTTCTTTAATGGGAATAGCTTCATTTTCATGCTGCTAGGCCTGGTCCCTAGCTAGCAATTGATCATCTTGATCATATATATCCACCCCCTGACCCGGACTAGTACTCGCTTCTTGTGGCGGCGTGATTGGTGGTGGTGGGTCCTAATCATCCGGAAAAGCACCTGGTAGTGCTATACGTGGTAATAGATCTTCCTAATCCTTTTTATAAAGCATTTCACCCGCTTACGCTATATATAGAGCGCTCGGTGTTAGTAGATATGCTTCCTCATTCACCCCCTATAATAGGGTGGTATCCCGTTATATATTAACGGCGTCACTTACTTCCCGTATTCCACCTTAGGGATCATCCTCTACCTCGTGATCTTACTAGTTATCCTATTCCGGTATACTAGTCTCTTCTTAACTAGTAATCTCATAGTTGATCACCTAGGTGATCTCTTCAACGGTGAGCTCTTCTAGTTCTCTCACTAGTGGTAGTGGAACTAGTTAAGATCTCTCATACTCGGGTGAGTACTTACGGCCTTCATCAATAACTATATCTCTAATATACTTCACCTTACTAGTGTGTAGAAACCAGATCTTATAAATATTGGAAGCGAGATATCCAACCAAGAAACCAACCTCTACACGAGGATTCATCTTATCTGACTACACTTACTTTTCAATCCTATAGTATACTAGGCTTCCATATAACCTAACATTTGCTAGGTTAATCCTCGGCATTACCGGCGCAAATTCCTTTCTCACTTCCTCCCATGGTATCAACCACCTATTCTCGGAAGCAATATATGATAGTGTACGGTTCAATAACCATACGGCGGCGCTTACAAATTCTGGCTATAGATCTTTAGGAAGCTTCCCTTCGAGGGCGAGCATCTATATACGAGTAATAATCATACCGCCAGATCTCTCGGTATAGCCATTCATCTCGGAGTGGCCGGGTGGAGTATAATATATCAAGATACCATCGCTTATTAAGCTATACTCCGATACTTTACTAGCTACTACTTCATTATTATAGTGAAAGGCCTTAATTAGCAGCTTCCACTAATTCCTTACTAGCTATATAAACTAGTTGATAGCCACTTAACATTTAGGCTTTAGTTCGTGCGTCATAATCCAATAGAATCTCGGTCCTTCTATATAGAAGTGAGAGATCTATCGATGCTTATTATACGCCGGTGGCAGTTATATCAAGTCAAAATAGACTCTTCCAAATCGTCCAAAGGTGCGTCCAATTAGCCGTCGTGATATCTACTTTGGTACTCGCCTAAGATAATAGGTTTAGTATAGTGATTCCTACTCCTCCGTCGATTTCGCTCCTTTATCCTCAAGGACGACGCCATCCACCATAGTAGCAAGCTTTACTATAGTCCGTGATTTAATGTGGGCTAGGCGCCGGTACTATACCTCGGCGGAAGCCTTTAATTCCTTCGGCTTCACTGATCTCCTTTATATTAGCTGTATAGCATATACTTATTGTGGTGGAGCTTCACCTAGCTCGTCAAAGATCTAGAGATTGAATTAATCCTATAGGTTCATATAGACGATAGGTCTATCGTTTAGATCCCGTATACAATTCGTACGTTAGCACTAAAGCCCACCTTTCTTCTTCAGTATCGTATACGACACGAGATTCGTGTGGAAACTAGGTGAGTATAGAGCATCACTCAATATAATCTCCATCCTTCCTTTAACTAGGTGTCTCCTAATTAGGCGAACCTTACCTCTGCCTAGCACCTACGTGGTACTATCTCTAGTTATCAAATCTATAATATCTGCTATAAAGTCGACAAATAGATCTCGATTATTATAAACGTGCGTGCTTGATCCGGTATCAAGAATCCATCGATTATAGAGAGAGAGATCACCGGCCTTTACTATAGATAGCATATGCTTGCTAATCTATATAGCTTCACCTAGCGACTTACCTTAGTGCTAGCAGTGGTGCTAGCCGTGGTGCTAGCCGTAGTGCTAGCCGTAGTGCTAGCCGTAGTGCTAGCTTTGGTAGGTGGTTGCGAAACTAACTTAGTTTACATACTCAGTCTGCTTAGGCTTAGCATTAGCTACCACCTTATCAACCCATTTCTTCTAGCCTAGGTCCTTCTCTAGCACCTTCTTTACTCTCTCCAGCTTCTCTTTATATGGGATGAAGCCTTCTGGTCGGGTGGCTTCGTTCATAATCTAGCAAGTGGTAACCTTATACTTTAAACTAGATCTCCTATATGGACAATCTCTCTTTTCAAAAGGAAGCTTCTCTTGCCTTTCTTACTTTACTTCCTAGTGCCCTTACTAGGTTGAAAAGGCGCCTTTCGGAGGAGTGGTCGAGGTGATAGTCTTAACACCTATCTCACGGTTTATTACGCGAAACGATTCGAGAAGATCTCGAGTATTATACGCCTTTTTATCTATGATAATCTCCTGGTATTTGCCTTGCCACCAGATCGGTAGTACTTCTTTTATAGCGTGTAGGAAGTCCCTATTAGCATCTCTATCGTTAATACTAAGGCTAATCGCCTACTCCCTTAGCGAATTCCACTTTTAAAGCTATTACTCGATATCTCCCATCGGCTTCTACATCGTAAACACCTTCCAATTCATTCGAATCTCCTCCTTATACGCGGTCGATCTTACGAAACGAGACTTCAGATACACAAGTCTATCATACGGAGTACGATATTCTATCAGAGCGAGGTGGTGTATTAGGTCAAGATACGTGAGGATGTATTCATTTACATCACTTAGTCCCTTTACTTATTTCTCCCACTATGCGTTCTTCACTTTATACACGTCCATTCGATCTCGCCAGACCCTTCGATTCCTTTCGTCACCCTCCTTAGGGTATTCCGGTTCCACCGGTTCCTTTAGGGTATCGGGTCGTTCGGTTGATAGGGTATCCAGGTTATAGTGGTCCCAGACGTTCTTTTGCATTGCATATAACTGCACCTTTACAAACCAGGTGAGCCATTGCGGTGCATCCTTCAGTTTTTCGCCCTTCATGGCGGAGAGGATTGATGCTGCCTCCATTGCTAGATGCTTCAATATTTTGAACAATGAATCAAGGGATGATAGCTTAGTATAGCTTCAGGGTTGCAAGACAACTTCTAGCTGCGTGCTAGATACTATATACCGATATAGTAGTCTTATTCAGTGCGAACCGGGCTCATAACTGTCGGTGGATTCCGTATTGTAAAAATGTAGGGTCCAATCAATGGTATTCAACTCTCTGTATTTCTGTATCGGCTCTCTACACAATTTATATAGAGCCTCGATTACATAACATAAATTACGAAAACACATAGGATTAATAAATCCTCCGGTATGCCGGTGTTACTGCGCCGACACAAACTCCAGCTAACTAACTTGCCCGCACCCTATCAAAACATTCTGATTTTCAATCGCCATTTTCTTAACAACCAAAAGGCTATACATACTCCGGAGCAAATGGGAGATATTTGATATACTTAGTTTTAGGGTATTGTTAATTACACCCCCCTTTGGATAATCTCACCCCCCCCTGCCTGAAAATCCAGGCTTCATAGACCGCCTTCCTCACCGCCTTCCAATTTTGTACACCGCCTTCGTGTCAAACAACCCATATAATACTAGCAAGACGGCAGATACCTACAATTTGTATATAAACCACTAACAAAATTAAGTCACTTTTGTCACATAACACCCCGTACATACATGTAGATAGGATCAAAGAAATTGATACTCCAATTCTGGTTTACATACATTAACCTACCTTCTTCAAACCCATTTTTTCATCACTTTCTGCCTCAATTTCATCGATTTTATCGCCAAAACCGTCAATATGGCCTCCCTAGGCCTTGTATATCTGGAATCAGATCCAGATTCCGATCCGGAGATCGTCCCCGAGTCTCCACCGGCCGTGCCAAGCACCGAGTCTTTCTCTCCCGCCATGCCAAGCACCGAGTCCCCCGTGCTTTATACTATGCCTCTCCCCCCTATTGGTTCAGAGTATAGTACGCCAGAGGAAGGTCTCGCCGCTATCAATGATCTCGGCCGTACACATGGGTATGCGGTTTCATCAATTCGGACCAAATTCACCAAAAAGGGCGTGAAAAAGACTATACGCCTCCGCTACGACCGAGGTCTCGTACTAAGAGATCGGCCTAACGACGGCCCAGAGCGGAAACGACAGACTACCACACTACAAAATGAGTGTCCCTTCGGTATATCGCTTCGACTAAACCAGACAACGAGTGCCTAGTTTCTTACGGTCGAAAATGCATCACATAACCATCGACCTTCCCCTATATTAACTCACGCCGTTCAACGAAGCAATAAACTTTCATCCATCAAGGCGGATATCTAGAAGCAGCTAGAACAAGGCCTTCCCACTCGCCAAATTCTCACTAGCATTCGCAACGAAAACCTAGATTCATATATTATCCCTCGGGATATCTACAACTTCCGGCGGCAGGTCCATATAGAGTTCCTAGCCGGTCGTACCCCCCTACAAGCGTTGTTAATAGAGCTCCCGAAAAACGGCGACTAGATCTTCCGGTACGAAGTGGATGATAACAACTATATTACTACTTTGTTTTGTATGCATAAATCTGGTGTTGCTATGCTAAAATCCAACCCCTAGGTCATTTCTATAGATTGTACGTATAAGACAAACCGGTACGGGCTACTATTACTTGACATCGTTGGCTTTACTGCCACCGGAGCTACTTTCCATCTTGGCTTTGCATTTATGAAGGACGAGCACTAGGACTCGTACGAAGTTATCCTTAACTGCCTCGCCGAAGTATACAACTCCCTAGGTCTCAATCCCCCCTATACAATTCTTATAGATAAAGAAGAAGCGCTGATAAATGCAATTGAAGCTGTCTTTCCTCTAATAAAGAGCATGATTTGCATCTGGCATATCAATATAAATATCTTGAAAAAGGCCCGGCCAATTCTTCGGGATTAGATCGCAAAAGCACGGAGCGAGTTAAGCACCTAGTCGAACACCACCTAGTCGAACACCACCTAGTCGAACACCACCCAGCCAAGCAGCACCTAGCCAAGCAGCACCCAGCCAAGCAGCACCCAGCCAAGTAGCACCCAGCTAAGCAGCACCCAGCCAAGTAGCACCCAGCCAAGTATATAGCGTCAAACAAAGGCCTAGCGAGAGAGGGAGCTCACCCAGAAGGTTGACAAAGGCTGGGAGAAAATGCTAAAGCGCTGGAACCGAATTGTGTACGCTACTTCCTCTAAGGTTATGAACCAGCAGTGGGAAATCTTCAAAGAGAAGTATAACGATCCAATCTTCCAGCCGTTAATTGACTACATTCAAAAAGAGTGGCTTGATGACTGCCCAGAGCGTTTTCTTCATTGCTATACCGCTCAATATCTCCATCTCCTTAAGATTGCGACTTCTCGTACAGAGGGAGGACACTGGCTGCTTAAGTAGGATCTATAGGTTGTAAGAAATGATCTCCTCGTTGTTCTCCAGAATTTCCATCGCGTTATTAATCTACAATTCAATAAGATCACTACTCAAATCGAGAATGAGAAGATCAGAAGGCCAACCAACTCTCAGAACCTATACAACTCTCTAGCTAAGCGGATCTTAATAAAGGCAATTCAGTATACGAAGGACATTTACGACAGATATCTTCCAGAAGGATAGGAAGATAAAGCTCTAATTCCACTATTATACACTTGCAATTCGAAGAACACATCTGGCATCCCATATATTCACATTATTAAGGAGTATGAAGATGAGAACAAGAGCCTTGACCCCGAGCTATTCCACCAGCATTGGCATTTATATAGTGTGTCTGCTCCACCAATCAATCCTCTCCTTCTACTCCAAGATCCTCTACAGGTTCGACGACGAGGGCGTCCACGAGGAGCGAGAAACTTCATTAGCCAGTCAACCACTCAGCAAGCCACCCAGCAGAGCATCTAGGATATCCTCTCTTCGCCGGATTCCCTCACTTAGGATCGATCCACCCGGCGAGAACCATCAGCATTCGAGCACGTACTATCGTAGGAACGTGGACGTGGACGTGGACGTGGAAGGGGACGTGGAAGGGGACGTGGACGTGGAACAAGCAGTGGTGAACCTAGCAGTGGTGAACCTGCCAGTAGCCAAGGACGTGGAAGGGGACGTGAGGGTGCCTAAGAAGCAGGATGATCAATATGTAGATTTTTAAGGCAGGAATCAGGCAGAATGTACGATTTTTTCTCATTAAAATGCAGGGTTTTTTACTATGTAAACCAGAATTATATGGTGGTGGCAGAATATATGGCAGAAAAGTCCGTAGTGGCAGAAATGGATGGCAGTATTCAGTGTCGCACCCGATCGGGAAGGCGGTAAAACTGTGCACCTAAAATTTCAGGCAGGGGGGGTGAGATTATCCAAAGGGGGGTGTAATTAACAATACCCTAGTTTTAACTTACTAAAGTTTGAGACCGATCGGAGGCCTCTAGACCTCGGCAGTGGGGTCGAGAAGTTCACCTGCAGTCAGGTCGGCCCCACTTTTCCCGCCCATAGTAAAGAATAAGGTTTCACCTTTAGTCGGCCCTGACTGCACACCCCCCCGTGGGATAGGGCCGCCCTTATCTGCCCTTATAAGGGCGGAGGGCCGGGCGGAGGGCGGGAGATACCGGCCCTCGAAATGATTTTGACGAGGTCTACGTAGGCTATCACTCCATGTAATCATAGTAATGCAAATAGATTTAGGTATTAACCGCGAAGCACCTGGCGGGCGGCTATCTTAACCCCAAAGATAAAGAGAAAGTGTTATCTGACATAATGATGAAATAGGAAATGGACCTCGGCGCATAAAAGTGTTTTCGTCAGCGTTACTATCATCCATAATATCAACTGTCAACAACTTCAGGCAGACTTAACACTGAAAAAAGAGCTAGCAGAATAGATAGGCGCAAGTATAACATGCCATGATTGGTGTGCTTTTGAAGTTTGCGCCGTCAGGCCAATAACAGCTTCTTGTTAACCGCCTAAGCCCCCTCATTTGTGTTAGCATATAAAGGGTCTTTCCTGACACGGAAAAGGAAAAACTGTGTAGAAAGAAGTAGAACGGAATACTTTAGTTTATTTTAGTACGTATGTATCGATGGTGCATTTGTCTAAGAGGAAACGCAACCAAAGATCGGCCCTATCATCCTCCTTAGCGTCCCCATGACCCCTCTTACTATTAAGGGGTGACTGTGCCGCAAGTACTCGTTCCATTGAGACCATCTGGACAGACAATTTCTTTGTTCTCATTTACGCCTATTAACCTCATTGTCAAGGCTACCCCTATTATCAGAACAAGGACTTTAGGGCTTCTGCATGAAACACAACCAATAACACTTGTCTTTGTATCCCAAAATGTACAATCCGTCACATCACCCCGGGCTAAGGTCGGTGGAACGCTTGCAGGCACCTCGCGTGGCTATTTCAGTTTTAGGAATCAGGCACAGCAAATCGCGTTACCATACTCGTTCCAGTCTACGACCGCTCAGTGTCGAAGACTTACTACTAAAACACATTCTATGCTATCCCGCACATTTACCGGTTTGAGCAATGTGACGTTAGATCCACTATCAGGCTTGGGACCGAAATTAAGGCATCGGCTCCGAACAAAGAAGGATGGTGATCCTTGTTCTCACAGCCTATCTGGATGAGGACGCGATGCTCTGGTTGGCCAACATTCGGGATCCTTATCGACAACCAGTCCCGGCAATCTGGTTAAGCGCCTGCTGTCTGGCGCGCGATGTCACGCTGTGACAAATCGAGATTCCCGCTTCGATGATCTAGGCCCGCAACGTGACAGGCGCTTCGAGTCAGAAGACGGGCCTAGCGCTGCGGCTGTATTTCCAATTGGTTTAAAAACGAGTAGATTTATGTGCTGCCATCATGTGCACTATCCGGAAACACTCCGCTATGGTGATACAGGAGCCGTTAAATGAAAGCGACTTCCCTCACATATCAGGAAGAGGTGCAGAACGAGTGCCCGTACTCCCCCATCTACCTGAATCGCAAGTTTCATGATGATATTCGAATACTTTGAAATGCTGCGTGGGTGGTGGCAAAAATATCTTTCCACAAGGTCTATGACCATCTTCTACTTCCTCTCATGTTTTCTTATAGTGGCTTCCGGCGCCGCAGCCGCCGACACCCTGAATGCCACGCCTGACAATCGCACTTTGGCTATCACTTCTAGCCTACTCGCATACAATGCAACCAGGACTATAGCATTCTCGTCGGCCGTCCAATTGGCATCCTCTGTCCAATGGCAACTAGAGCAGGTTGCGACTACTCCTGCTATTCCAATTCCAACGAATATCACGGCTATTCCCGAGTATCAAGCAGTCAGTAAACTGGCTCCGGGCTTACCTATAGTACAGGCAGGTGTAGAGTTTCCATCCGCCGAAAGCATGATTTCCGATCTTATCTCCTGGAGTAATGTATCCTCGACTAGAGACTCAATAGCCGGACGACAAAGCAGCCTTAGGGTGATGATCGTTGGAGACTCTATGTCACAGGGCCAACAGGGTGACTTTACCTGGAGGTATCGAATCTGGCAGTGGTTCCAAGAGAACGATATTGCTGTTGACTTTGTTGGCCCATACTGGGGGACCGTACCACCGGCTACTGCCTCTGTACCGCAGCCTCCACCACTCTACGGCACTACCACGACATCACCTATGGCTGGAACAGTTGGAAGATATGCTCAGGACGTTGACTCTGCGTTTCTCTCGAACTGCAACCACTTTGCCGCGTGGGGTCGTGCGGCGGCTGTAGATAAGGGCCTCATCGAAGGCGTGTTACAACAAAATCCTGCAGATATGATGCTGCTGATGCTGGGTTTCAATGACATGGGTTGGTTTTATAGCGATGCTCCAGGCACGATTGACAGTATCGAGACTTTGGTCTCTAATGCTCGGGCTGTGAATCCGAATCTTAAGTTCGCCATTGCGAATGTACCACAACGCAGCTTTATCGGCGGAAGGCAAGACCTGGTCGATAACACCGTCACATATAACGGCTTGTTACCAGGTGCAATCTCTAAGTTAACGACTGAACAATCTCCGATCTATCTTGTTGAGCTTGAGAAGAATTACGACTGTCAGCCTGGCGATTGTCCAGCAGGTATGTAGTCTATTTTTCCTTGTGCCGAAAGACACATGACAATGAAGTCAACTGTCCAACTTATCAAGTACAGAACTTGGAGATAGCGACGTTCATTTCTAATGAGGCTAATGTGCTACAGGCTACGATGGCCTACACCCTAATGCCTGGGGCGAGTACCAGATAGCCAGCGCCTTTTCGCAAACCCTGGTCAATAACTTTGGTATGGGTGCTGTGCCTCTTGCAGTACCTGAAGCAAACGACCCAAGTCTTGTCAGAGATCTTCCAGTTCCTTCGAACTTCCAAGTTTTCAACAGTCCTCAAGGTGTTTCTGCGACCTGGGATGCAGGCAAGTGCCCAGCCCAGCCACGAAACATGAGAACATACGGTTGACCCTATACAGTTTACGGCGCGTACAGCTACGACATTCAGGTGTCCATTAACGGCGGTGCAAATACCTTTTCACCAACGACATCGTCATTCAATAGATGGGATTGTCAATGGTTACAAGCTGGATGGAAGTATGCTGTCTCCGTTCGAGCGAGAGCTGGTGACACTAGGGTAGGGGACTATACTGCAACCGAGTCAGCAGTGGCGCAACCTCAACTGGCACCACCGCCATCCAATGTCGTTGTTACCCCCACAGCCACGGGGTTTACAGTAACATGGGACCCGCCCACTGGGCCTTATACGGACAGTATCGTTGAATACAACGTGATCTATTGGGACCGGAATCCCTCTGACTGCCAATATCTTGCCGGCGCTGCATTTAAGTCTTCGCCGGCGGTTATTGACGGACTGACTCCAGGGACTAATTACTTAATCGCTGTTGTGACTTGGAACGAAAATGGACAGGGTTGGCCTTTTATTGCTCAGAATGCTGTTCCTGGAGCAGGTATTCCTCCCGTACCAGGTGCTCCGTCGGTCAATTCCAATGACCCAACCACCGTGCAGTGAGTACATATCGCTACGGAAAAAGAAAAGGTTGATATGACGAACTTTCGCTAATGTCACCGTCTTCGCTTTAGCATTACCTGGTCAGGCTCTAGCTCGACGGGAGGATATCAAGTCTGGTCAAAGAATATTAACCATACCGGCAGTGAGTGGACTATCATGGCTAATGTAACAGAGTCTACCTGCGTTGACGACTACTTTCTCATCCCTGGAGTATGGAATTACGCATTTGCCCTCTCCGCTTTCAACGGCAATGAAGAGTCGGAGATGGGTCCATCAAGCATTGCGCCTTCTCCCACCAGCACTGTTACTGAGGGGAGCCCAGGGCCAACATGCCCTGCGGCACCATCGTGGTGTCCGGGAGGAGCGACCTTCACTATACCTCCGGAGGGAGGGGGCGGAGGTTCTGGGTTTACTACCGTCATTGGTGGGACAACGTAAGTTAGACAGAACGCTGCCCTCATGCATATGGAAACCGAACCCTTCGTGTCAGCTCTACATGCTAATGCTCAATTCCAGGACTATAACCGGTGGCGAGACAACGGTCATAGGTGGTATAACTGAGACTCTGATCGTGACCACAGGAACAAATTCAGCAGGCTCCGTCTTCACTGGCACTATTACCGAAGGAGCGACTTCGACATCTTCCGCAACCGCTCGTTTCACAACCTACACGACGTTTCCAACCAGCATCTCTTGGTCTACCACATCTGTTGCGTCGAATACACATGACTCTTCGGGCCACCCTGTTCTTGGCCCTTGGCCCGGATGCTGGTTTTGTCCTCCTGGGTCCAATGGGATCGTTCTTTTCGGATGGCCTGGGCCGGGAGTATACCCTGGTGGAGGGCGAGTTAGCCTTCCCTTTATGATTCCAGCAGATCGCTTATTCTATTACAGACCTCCTGCGGGACTTCCAACTCCTTTCCCACCAATTACCATAGAACCGGATGACGATCCGACTTATGAATCGACCGCAACGTCTGAATCATGTAGCACCGAGACTGCAACTCGAATTACATACTATGTATCGTACGGTACTGACTACTCCGGATCCACGGTTGCCACCGAGACATACTCGACCTACTCGTCCCAAGTCACAGGTTGTACGGTCTCTGGGACCGTCGCCACGTCTACTACCGCTGCAGGATACGCTTTCTATTGCACGGCTGGCAATTGTGCAAGTTGCAATGCTCGCCGCGATGTCCCAATAACCACGGCAGCGGCAGCACTTCCCACTGCAACAGCAGGGAAGGGCGAGACAAAGAACTTGTTCCATTACGGCCAAAATTTGACGTTCTATGAGCGTGACATCCCTAGTTCACTATACGTAGATGGTATTTCTGAGCTATACTCTGAGGTAAGGGGTGCGGCAAACACGATTCAAGCGCCACATGACCAAACCACGTTGCGCGGCATTTCGAGCTCACGATTCTCCTACTTCGATGCATCCGAGTTTAATCTCATGGTTCAAGGCCTAAGAGGCTGTACCTCCATTGTGGTGGTTTCACGATTGGGTAAGTTGCCTCTCGTTCTCTCCGCCATCCGACACTGCCTGAAACTCTCAATAATAGGGGCATACGTTACCCACTTTTGGGAAGGTCCAACCTTCAACAATGATGGACCAAGCGCGACATTCACTGCGGATGTTATTGACTACTTACGGTACGTTGCAATGTCTTATATTTTTCCATGCTCTTACCCAGTTGTGTGTTCGAATTTGCTTTAAGACTGCATTTCCGAGCCAACCAGCCTTACGCTGTTTTGTGTCGGGGCGGTTAAGTCGTCTTTCTCCCTTGCTCTAGCGAGCAACGAGTGAGCGATCTACGTAATCATAAAAGCAAGACACTCGTCTTACACTCGCTGACTTTCACTTATAGGATAGGTCGGTCTGGCGGTGAAGACAACACCGAGCCTCTCGGGGCGCTCGTACAGGGTGGTATCTTCGGTGACACCGCGACCACGAATATCTTTATTATAACGCCGGCAATTATAGACCTCGATTTAAATGTAGGCACTATCGGTATAGCCGGTACTCTTACGAACGGTAACAACCCTCCGCTCTTCGGCACTTCGCCGCCTAGAAACGTGGATTGACTCGATATAATCACTACATTTCTGGGCTAGTTAATGCTAGGCGTGCCAATCAAATAATTCGTCTATAGGCGGTAAACCATCGATTCGCTCTTAGTAAATGGTGCCTACGGTGCCGCGATAGTAAGTGGATCCTATACCTTGCTCTCTCTTAGAGCTCACACCTATAAAACCTACGATGAGGTTTGATACTAACGGCCCCTTCGTAGATTTTATATAGTAACAACTAAAAGGATGATCCGATGAGTGGTGATCTATTAGAACCACTATAAAGAGCAGTTTGGTAGTGTTAGATATAGGGCCAACTAATGGGAAGCGACCTTTAGGAAGCCTTGCCTAGGTAAGTCCACACGCGATCGCGTCCTACTGCCGTTGCGATTGACATTTAAGTTATAACACACGTAATTCCGCGTGCTAACACGATCTTAGCTAAACGGGGTTATATCTAGCGAACGAAAAGCGTTAAGCTAGGAGTCTTTGTCCCTCGCCCACGCCTATAACCACAACCACGTTAACTTCCACCACCACTATATCTACCTCGTCGACTCCACCTCCTAGCTTAGCCTCACTAAGTTCGATTATCCTCTTTAGCGACTCGAAGGTAAGCCTATCAATTGTGTTCTAAGTATATATAACGCTGATCCTATAGTAGTGTCAAGACTTATTAGGATCTGGAACGTATGATTATTACTTATCTGGCTATTAGAAGTATGATACTCTAATTAATAGTTATATCGTCGGCACCACTACGCATTATAGCTATCACGGCTCGATAGGGTTCTACGAGTGGCCTACCTTCGTTATTACTATAAGTATAGGTTATAGCTATAATAACGAGGTCGGCGGTGGGTGTAGCGGAGTAGGTGGGTAGGTCCGGACGGGCTGCTATATAACCACTAGCCTAGCGGAATATATTACTATAGAGTTAGCGTACAACGGAGTCTACGTAGGAGTACTCCAGAATGGCACGGCGAAGCGTAATGATGAATATAGGCTAGAATTGTTCGACTTAGAGGCTAGGGTAGCTAGTAGGATTAATCGCCGTGCCCTAGCATGTTGAGTTGGGATAGCCTAGGGGAAGGGGTGGAGAATAGTGTGATAAAGTGCTCGAAGATAACGAGTGTCACATTTCTAGCTCTAATGTAGGACGTGTAAAGAAATAAGTGTATATAGGAGAGACTCTTAGTAATATCTCAAATAATAGAAGTCTCTAAAAATTTATGTAGTCGTATTATTATACTATAGTGATTGCCACTCCCTTACAGCCTCTAAAAAGCGTGTATTGCGGCTGGACTAGGTATGCTTAAGGGCACTAGGAAGCCTTATATCTTCAACTAAAGGCCTAGCACGGTTTGGATCCGCTCCGCGATCGAGTAAGAACTAGATCAGCTCTTTGGCATCCTTACCATTATTACGAGAAGCCACGTAGTATAACGGCGTGCTACAAAACTTGCCTGGCTAAGGTTCTATAGCGTTTACGTTAAGCCTAATAATGTCCACTAGGTGCCGCACTATGTCTATACGCTATTCGAATAGCGCGGTGCGGAAAGAGTTATTAGATAGTGCGTAAACGGCCGCTTGCTCGACGGCTCGGTGTAGCGTCCGTCGGCCTAAGGGCGCACCTCTGGCTTATAGTAGCTTAAACGTCGCGACCGAACCCTCCGCCGTAGCGATTTTAAGGACTAGCGGAGTGTCGCCGGGTAGATCCACGCTAGCTCTATAGGCAAGGGACCACTTAAGAAGGTCGGGGTACCTTATGACGTACTATAGCAAGGGCTAATTAGTGCTATTAGGCCCCCGGCTATTAATGTCCTAGCCGTGTGTAATAAGTATCTTAAGCACCTCTCGCGAAGGTTTAACTAATTTATCCTTACTTATAATCGCTCCGGCGGTTATCGTGCTAATTTCCGCACCCTAATCGAGGAGGTAGGACAGTACTTAGGTTGCACTTCTCGCAACGGAGCGCCTAAGGCCATTCTAAATGACTTCTTGCACTATATTACGTGATTCGGGGTTAGACGCAATTGAAATGGCTTGAGCCATTAGGGATATATCGTCAGTCATGCAAGCCTGGAGGCTCAATGCTAAAGGGTGGATAGGCCGACTCGCGTTAGTCTGTGTCTGCGCCATTGTCTCGTGTGATTTGAAGGACGAGGCGAGGAATTTGTTGCGACAAGTGCAATAGGCGCTTGCGTTCTAAGTTGACGTCAAACAATCCGTAATAGTGGTGTTCCGCAGTTTTGTCGAACCGAACTCGATTCTGCCGGTCAAAATCAAAGGTTGCGTTTATTCGTACCGGACACTAAGCCATATTAGGCCATCACGTGAGAGCCCCTGGTGCCCTGTTTTTTAAAGGTTAGGTTTTTTTGTACCCAACACTAAACTATATTAGGCCATCACATGAGAGCCAGATGGTCATTCTAATATTCGCTGATGCGACAATGAAATGCAATCGGTCAATCCAGTCGATTCATGAACTGGAGATAATTAAAGCCATCACGATCATATGGCAAGGGCTTCCAGGGCCATATATTTTTGGGCTAAAGGCAGAGTCAAGAAGGCAATTCCATGGATATTTCAGTAGTGTCCTGCGCGCTGGAATTATCCCTGAGTGGCACCTGGTATGACTTTGCCTGTTTCACTTTAACATAAGGTCGCAAAGAGGGAATACAAGCCACTATCAACCCAGTGTAGGAATCAATGGCACACAAAAGTTCAATATTGGTAATGGGCACATTGGGGTATGTCGACACAACGATCAGAAAGCGAACGAGGCAGGCGACTATGCTCAATATCGCAAAACCAAACGTGATATATAAACCAAGCTTTCTCTTCCAGTCAAGTCGGAGAATGTGTAAGAAAAAGAAGGGCAAAATAAAAATTAACAAGTCAGATGTGAAGTGGAGAGCCCAGGTAGTGACCCAGGCAATTAGAGAACTCCGTGCGCTACAAGAAGCGAGACGAAATCTATTTGTTTGTTAATGGCGTGTGATTAATGGGAAATTCAGGAGATATTTCACGTACTCAGTTGTCTGACTATTGACACAAATTAGAGCCACGCAAAGTACAGATGCAATATATGACAGTGCGGTGTAAGTTGTGACTGCGCAGAGCGAAAAGAAGAACGACCGCAGAATGAGTGGGAATATATTAAAAAAGAAAGAGAGAAGAGCGGCCTTGCTGAGATATTGTGTAGTTAAATATGGGAACCAGCTGACGAATACTATCTATTAAAGGATCAGCGACACAACTTAGATGGTGATTTCTGGTGCTTGCCTTTTCCGTCAACAGAGCGTTGTTTGTGTTATCAAGAAAATTGTACCAGGTAGAACTTGAATTCAGCCAGCCAAGCTTCTTCAATTCAATGTCGAGTGCACCTGCCCATGTGCCACTGAACCATGCAAGGCAGATAAGATAATCACTAAGGATCAGCTTCTTCTGCTGCAAATGTAGTCGAAGATAAAGACGAGCTAGGATCAACACGAGACAGAGGCCAACTAATGCCCATTCAACAGCCTACAGCAACGATGTTTGTATTAACAAACCCCTGATCAAGTTCCACCTACAATGACCGTTGCTGCAGACACAGCTCGCATTGCATTAGGCCGCGACCGTCAAGACTTCTGAATATAGCTTCAAGGCTGGAAAAGCAGGTCCTACAACCAGTGTAATGAGGGATTGTTGTTGGTCCTGTCATTATATATGAGCTGTTAAGGATCAGCAACAGATTCGGTGACAAAATTGATGCTTTGGCATTTGCAGGAGGCTGGGTTTTATCTGAGCCCCTGACGCACTGACGCCCTCGTTATGTAAATAATCAATGAAGTTGATTTTAACTGGATCTAGTGAGGGGGCGGCAAAATATATCAGTAGGAGAGTCAAAACTTTATTTAAGAACCGTATTGTCGGAAGCAATGGGACGTGGCGTCAACCACGGGCTACCAAAGCCTAATTTCGCGTTAAATGGGGTGTAATTTACTATTACCAGTCATTTCAGCACCAGCCATTTCAGCCTAGGTCTCTAGGCATCATGTACCTCACCGGCCCACTGAACGCCTGGCGCCTCTATATAGCACTCAACCACAGCAGATAATGAAGACACGCTCAACCCTCTCAATTGAATTCATGAATACTAGTTTGCGCGGTATTATCAACGACCTGACAGCTTGTCAACTAGCGATCATTTGACTAGGCGTTGTCTAGGCGGAATCTAGACGCACCCGCCGCCCCAGAGGTTTAATTCCAGACAATTTACACATTCCCAAGCTTTTGATATAATCTCCGCTCACAGATACCCACCATTGCAGAAGAAATCGTTGCCATCAGTCGGTACTTGCAGGAATTTAGTGAAGGTTGATGTTGTAATTAACTAGCCATGGCCCCTTGAGAGCCTTTGATGAGCCCCAAAAAAGCTCGTCGGCTGTAGAAAAAGGGGTCTCTTCGCAAGATGGCTGTGTGGGGTATTCTCTATCCCGTACCAGCCGCGGATCTGATGAGCAGAGTGGCTGATTCTGACAATAATGTTTTCAATTATAGGGGTTAAGCGGTAGAATTGTAAAACGAAATTTCTAAGGAGATGAAGAACGAAAGTTAGATTATAGTGCAAATGAAAATTCAATGAAAAGTCCGCCGCGTCTCAAAAGGCCACAAAATTGTCCTCTGTTGGCCTTTCCCCACCGAGGATAAATGGATTATACTCCGACGGCAGTGACTCGTTAAAACGAGTCTCTGGGAAGGAACTGCCCTGAGGTGAGATGGACATTCTCTCTTCTGAAACAGGGGGCGAGTCTAACATGAATCGTAGAAAGCCGTGCTCGTCTGGCGTAGTCCGAACGCTATTCAAAAGCCCCATACAGTCACTGTTGATGGTTTCCTTTGATTCATCGGCGTTTGGTGCTGCGTTTTTCTTCGATGATTCTGGTGTTTCGAGCTCAGAGGTCTCCTCCATCAAGGACTTCGAGTGATCGTAGCACCCATAGTAGTTGGAGGACAGAAGGGGATTGTGGAATCTGATTCTCATCATTTGCCCTGGGTTGGAGACCTGTCTCTTTCCCGGCAGCCTAACGCGAATGTCGACTCCATTCAGTAGGATCGACAACTCCTGTGGGAATTTCGAAATTTTTATTTTGCCTGCCGGGGACCCAGATTGAAGGTAAGGATTCAAGACGACTATTGTATTGGGTGAAGAGTCAAGACACGGGTCGTTGTTCATTTTTGCTCGCTTTCTGGGGCGTAGATCTTCTCTTTCCATGGTACGATTCGTCATGATGGCCGGCTTCTTCTGGTGATATGGGGAGATTCTCACTGTATGCTGTCGAAATGGACCAAACGGGACTTGAGAGGATAGCGGAATTGACTGTGAGCAGAATTACGGGGGAATATCTCGATACAATAGCTTCAACCAGGCGAAATATAAACGGGCAATCTTTTGATGAGCCAGTTCGATAATATATATTAACCAGAGCGGAGCCGCGTGCGGAACCGCTGATTTCAGGACCGTGGCGACAGCTCACCCTGTCGACCTGACGGCGATGCGTACCGGCTAGTATCGCAGGAACCAACACTTGTAAGCAAGGTACAGTGGGTTGATTATGCTAGGAGGCTACTTCTAGAACGGTTTTATTCTAACTAGAAACAAAAATGATGCTTAATTCTGCCAAGATGCACTAGCAGCGCAGAGCCCGCAGGGGCCATACATGATCGATCTTTGCGCGACAGTCGAGTCAGGCCACTCATAAGACGAGTGAACTGGATTCCCGGATCTATGGGATGGGGATTATTTCTAAGTAGAACTTGTGGGGCACTTAGCCCACGACTCCCATCTTAATTTCCATCAGTAGATGTGTTAAGTATACAAGAATGCATTATCATCTATCTAAATGTCAAAGATCGACTGTGCCTGTTTACATGCCAAGTTCCTTGGCAAGATTTACCCGCCCGCGACGATTTGATCACCTGATTGGCCATATGATTAAGCCAGGAGGAGTAAGGTATCGCTTTCGATCAGGCACAGAACGCAGTTTGTCAAACGATCTGTGAATCTAACGACTATTTCGATCCAGAATGAGGGCCATGAAAATTATAAACACGGCAACAAATCCAATATGGACAATTAATTGACAGAATCGCGCTTTCCTGCAGACTAGTCGCTCTCTTGATCGATAGTTGACTGGTTTTTCGGCATTTTCTCCAAGCTCCACTAGTTAACGTTGCCACTATCAGTCAACTAGTTAATTAGTGCCTCATGAAGTAAGTTGCGGACCCCGCGGGCCCCGAGTCGGGGCCCGCAGCTTCGCGGCTCCGCGGCTCCGACTCTAGATGATGTCATGGCAAGGCGAGCACCCAATGACTTTATACGCGAATTATTCTATGACAGCAAAAGCTTCTAAGCCAAGTTGCCTCGGTATATTACTGAGAGATGGAGAGGTTGTCGACACTCCTCGAGAGAAAAATTCAGATATTCTAAGTATGGAGTCCTCCCGAGTTACCAAGAATATATCTGATAGGAATGTACCTCAAATAAGACGAACACCTCACGCTTTATTTTTTCCTCCTATATAGTATGCCGCTTACGGCAAGCTTGAAATAGTCTCATTGGATTCATCACCGAAGGAAAAGCCGGGTCTTCCACGGTTAGGCCCGAACTTACCTAGGTAGTAGTACGTACTAGATGGCGAGCAACCCGCCACCAGCCCTCACTTCCCCCTCTTCCCTTCTACTCCACAAAAGTCAAAAAACAAGCAACCAATAGCCTTACACGTCAACTTACCTTCAACCTGCGGTGTAGGTAGAGATGCCAAGCGCGTGATGTGAGTCTATTTATTCCGTCTGGTCCGTTATCTGGTCAGGCATCTTAGATCTTGCAATGAGCTCCCACGCCTGTGCAGCTCACATTTCTCTTCACTTTCAATTTTCGAATTCAGGAATGCCACCATGAGCTCAAATAACTCAAACAATGACTTTCCTATCGATGTGCTGTTTGCTCATCATAGAGGGGATAGCCTTGATGTGTTACCAGCAAGCTTCACACCACAACTCCCAATTGAGATGTCTGAAATGCTCAGCGATCTCGACTACAACGGAATTGTTGGAACCATTCCCACAGAAACAGATCCATTTTCCAACTATCTTGCTCTCTTTGGAAGCCAGGCGGAGACACAGCCAGCCGGCAGGTATGAGGATGAGGATTGTAGTGCCATCTCCAACCAGGTCTTCCGCCAACGACTTCCTCGTGTGATGTCTGACATCGATAAAGAATCAAGAGAATCGCAAGTGTCAAATACCGGCAACCACCAGGAACTCCACGATAGCAATGGCCAGTCTATTTCATTCAACCCCATATCCGTTCCCAGTGAGCTGGGCACAACCACGGGCGCCTCCCTTTCTAAGAGGGGAATGCGGCACCCACGCAGACAGAATCATGCGTGCGATCAATGCCGGTCATCGAAGAAAGCTTGCAATCTGCCTCTGAATACCAAAATTCACCAGCAAAAACCTTTGAGACCCTGCTCCACCTGCAACATACGTGGCCTGAAATGTACGGTCGCATGGTTGACAAGCAAGAACTCGGAACAACATGCCAGGAAACGAACGCGTACTGAGTCTGATGGCCTTGATGTGGAGGCCTCAAACGATGCGGTCGACGTCCTTCCACCTGCCGACCGGGAGGAACGGGTGCATTCTAGGTTACTGAAGAGCCAACGACTACCCGCAGTTATGGAAGGGGAGTTGTTCCGACAACTGAATGCGCGCGAGCTCTGTCTCCAGCAATTCAACCTCTATGTCGATGTATGCGATATGCCAATTTCTCAAAGTCTTCTGCACGGCTGCATGCCACCGCGCTATTCCTTGGGTATCGCCGCTCTGACGCCGTTGAGCAACAGCGTCCATTTAAACACTTACCTGGAGAAGGCCAACACGTGGATTCAAAGTTGTTGGGAAATGAATTCGACCTCATGGTCTTCGACTGCAGTGGCCCCACATGCGTTTCGCTCGGTCAGTCTCCTTGACTCCTTATTCCAGGGAAAAATCGGGCAACGCTTCGCTTCATCCCCGTCGCGCGATGCATCAATCAACGACGCGTACAAATGTGTCGCAATAGCAACAGCCGCCCAGTTTTCCCTCAAAGTATGTGACGCGAGGAAGGCGACATTTCATAGTCGTGATCTCGCATGTGCGACATGGCGTAAAGCCAGAGATATGGTGTTCAAGAACATCGCAGCTACTGGTTCATTTCGTCAGTCCTTGTCTCTTGTACTATTTGGCTTCATAATTTGCCCTGAAAAGTCGTCTAATGAAGGTACTCGCTTTGAAGAGGATGCCACGTACGCTTTGTTTGAGGGGATTCGTCGTCTTATGACACTGTGCGCCAGTGCACGCGATAGTGTTTGCGATACACAAAAGACCAATTGTACAGCGGCATCGGAAAACATGGGAGAAAGACCAAATCCCATCCAAAAGCTACCAAATGATATGAAAGAGAATGTCATGGAGCTCATTGGTGCCATCGAATGGCTGGCTAAGATGACAAACGCTGTTGTTATTGCCACATCACGCGGAGAAACCTGTCCGGTGTTACCAGGAAAATATGACGACAGCCTTGGAAGCCCAGTTATGAACCGGTACTCCATCCAGTCATTGGAAATGTCTATCATGCCTAGGGCAGTAGTAAAAGATGAAGAAATTCATGATTCAATCGTATCTCGGGTTGTGGCCGAGCAAACGTTGATGACGATATGCGGCAACGGCCTCTCAGGCGACAGGTTGGAGAAGATAGTGAGACAGTGTGGCTCTCTTGTGGTCCTTCTTTGGATGTCACTTGCTTTATTGATCTTAAGCATCAGGGATTTTGACAAAGGGAGTGCTGGCTTCGATCGGTTTCAATGTCACTTCGAGGCCACATTGAAGCTTGTGAAATTGTGGAGATCAAGCATTGGGGTATTTGATGACATTACTAAAGCACACCTGGAGCAGTTACCATCAGATACCCGACGTATTGTTGCATTTTGTTTGAACGATGGAGATCTGGCTGTGTTGGCTTTTCATGACGCTATTCAGAGACTAGAGATGGACTTAGCACTCCAAAAGCCGACACCGGAAAAGGATCGCATCTATAGCACCATTGAATTGACAAAATGCAGCCGCAAGGCACATCGGCTGATGAGTGCTACGCAGGTTTGTACCCTTGCCTCGATATCACAAGGGATATCGAGTCCTGGGCTTCAAGGGAGCAACGGCCTGAAGTCAAGCGTTCAAGATATGGGAGCACACCCAGTGAGTACCCCCAAAGCGCTGATCTATTCTTCCGCTAATAGCTGAATACAAGTATCCTACAATGGTGGTGCAAGCGCACACCTTGGCCGCCAAGGCCTTCGCTGATGAGCTTCATGCTCGGGTAACTAGAATGGATATGAAGGGAGCTTCTGAGATGACTACAGGATTAGACACATGTCTTCGGGCCTTGAGTGGATTAGAAGAGAGTTTAGTAACTTTCCCAGATCTATCAAGGTATGATTGCCTGACGGTGGTATGAATAACTTCATGGCTGTCGTCAAAGCTTGCCTTTAGCCATCTCAAAATATGAATAATACATAGTGGAATCGATCTCATAATTTTAACTCGCCTCCAATATTTATCCATTGTTGTACCTACATGATATGATTCCACAAGCAGATAAAGCTTCTCTAGAGAATCTTCTTGAGCCACTCCTTCAGTTTCTTCCCTTGTTGTGTCTCCTTCTTACATCCTACGTACAAATTAAAAACAGGCGCAACGTGAGCCTCTCGGTCTCCGATAAATAGCTCGACCGAAGGGAAGGAGACCTATTGCAGTTCGCTCTGTTAGATTCTGAATCTAATAGATCATTGGATAGGTGCGGTACCTTGACTTTCTGTACGAAATCTTCAATCATGGACCTCATAATCTCATTACCCCCTCCCAGCACCAGTATTTCCTTGACCAGGAGGTTTTTAAACCAGGTAGAGGGAGCATTAGAGGCGTCAGTGTAGTGGTCTCTCTTAGCGCCATTGAGATATGCGCTCGACCACGGGCCACCAACTTGTGTCGTGATCAGATCCCCAATGTTGTTAGATACAGCAGGGCTCACATCGAGGGATGTCCAGGGTGAAATCAGGACGACACCTGCGAGTGGCTCCTCCAGCTTCAGCTCCGAGATAGCAGGATGCACATGAGACAGATGCGACAGCACACCGATGGCTAGATTTCCTCCCGCTGAGTCTCCACCAACTAGCACGTCCGCCGGGCTACGGTGCGTTTGCATCACGATATACCGCAGCGCTTCGACCGCCTGACCCAGTTGTCCCGGGTACCGCATGTGTGGGGCTAGGGTGTAGGAGATGACGAAGACCGCGCAGTCATGGCCGGAGATGGCAGGTGACCAGATCAAGTCCTCGAAGAACTTGAAATAGCCAATGTTGGCCGGTAGGCAGAAGCCGCCTCCTGGATTTGGGTTCGCATTAGTGGTACAAAAGGGAAGGGTGGGGGGGTGTTGAAGGTGTAAATTTCAAACCCTCGATGTATACATACCGTGATACCAGACCAACACTTTCTTCGCATTCTTGTGCCCGAGCCAGTGGCCCTTGGCACCGCCGCCTAAATCTACCGTCTGGGGAGGCAGTCGCGCCGACCGGACATATTGCAGATACGTAGCCTCTGTCGACGGAGAAGCAAATCTGTCTTCGCTTAGCACCTGATCCGCCCCCGGTAGGAAAACGCTTACTGTAGCTGTAGTGGGGATAGGCGAGTTGTCGCCTTCCGCAAAATGGCATAGGCGACGTGAAGGTGGAGGCTTGGTGCCCCCCTTTTACCTCGCACGAGGCCTGTACCGAGTGATAGAAAAGCAACCGACAGGATTGAGACCAATGCTGGGAGCAAATCGAGCTTCTGTATCAACGACAGACGTGTCGAGGAAGAACTTGGCTTTCCAGTCTTGAACATCCTGCTTTTGATTTTTTTTTCCCTCCAAAATAGTTACTGCAGCTTAAGAAGGCAAGCAGTTTATCGCTGGTATACGCACAGCAATCGCCCTCTGCACGGCTCAGATACTAGCCGCATTACTAGAACCGAAAGTTCATGGTTGCCATCTCTATCCACTATGCTGGAAACCAGTCCTCCGACCCGAGGCGATAAATTATTAATCCTGTGATTGACAATGGGGAATACTGCTGGTAACCATCACTCGGTATCCGACGTCCACTCCCTGGTTCGCAGCGTCAGGGCGGCTCCGCCAGCGGTTCCGCTCCCCCGCAGCGGGAGGGCATTGTCCACGCGCTAACCTTATCTTAGCTTCTGGTGGATCAGAAGAAGAGGGAGGAATAGACTTGATAACCGGGATTCAGAGATCCGAACTGAATGAACTGGTCAATCAGTCCTGAATGGAGTGTTCTGGGGAAGGTTTGGGCCAGTGGGACAGCCACCAAGTTCTTGAATCTGGATTGGAGGAACCATTTTCAATGCGCAGAAACATCTCGTTTGTTCCACGCAATTTATGGGGTTTGATGTGCCGACCCTCCACCTCTCCTCCCCTGCGCTCCGATTACAAGGTCACTGCACCCAGCCCCACTCTTTTGGAAAGCTTCCTACTTCCCAAATACGGGAACGAGTAACGAGTTGTTCCGAGCTGCGGTCCCGCAGCCGGTGGATCTGGCAGCAACAGGAGATTGGCTGGTCCCAAATGCGGGGGAGGTGGGTATACGATAGTCACTTCTTAGAGCGAAGCTTATCTCTCGGATTGACGAGAACGGTCTGTGAGATCCGGGGTAGCAAGTATAACTTCCAGGTCGGACTCGAAATACCCAGCTCTGTCGGAATTACCACTCCGATTTTCATTCACTTCTACCCTTGTTGACCCTGGCCAATTGTGCACCATGATAGACAAAAAGATCCGCGACCAGGAAGCCCTTGCCGAGGCAGAGTTACAGTCCCTAGAAGTCACCTCCATGGAGGACGCATTTCCAGATGGGGGATGGAAGGCTTGGCTCACAGTGGCTGGGGGACTGCTGGCACAGATTTCAAGCATCGGGTTTCTGAGCGCGTTTTCCGTCTTCCAGAGCTACTATAGCCAGGTAACACTGCCCAACTCAAGCTCCAGTGAAATCGCCTGGATCGGTAGCCTGCAGATTTTCGGTTGCTTCTTCCTAGGATTAGGTGCCGGTAGGTTGTCCGACCAGCGAGGTCCCAAGTTGCCCCTCGCCCTAGGCACCTTTTTCATGGTCTTGGGAACGATGATGGCGTCGATTTCATCCTCCTACTATCAATTCGTCCTCTCGCAGGGGGTCTGCTGCGCCATCGGCTTCGGTTTGGTCTTCACCCCAGCGTTAGCGGTTCAATCCCAATGGTTCCTGAAGAAACGCGGATTCATGGTCGGCTTGGTCATGTCAGGCCAAAACATCGGCGGTGAGTGGAAATGCCCAGATCAGGTTCTTAGGAGATGGCTAAGAAGACACCGTTGCTGAACTGAGTATCTATTCCGATAGGTGTCATCTGGCCAGTCATCGTAGACCGGCTCATCAACACGTACAAATTGTCACTGGGGTGGACGCTGCGAACCATTGGCTTCATGCAGTTGTTCCTTATGGTCGCCGCCACATTGCTGGTTCATCCACGCTTTCCGCAGATCCCTCGAGAGCCGATTCCAATGAAGCGGTTCCTAGCTGATAAACGGACCTGCATATTTACTTTCTCCACATTTATCCTTTTCTTCGGGATCTACATTCCTTATGTGTGTACTCGGATCCTCGCTTAAATAGCTTGCAATACTGACAGGCCCCGTTCATGAAGTTTTATATCACTCCCTATGCGATGCAATGGGGTGCGTCCCTGAATATGGCATTCTACATGTCGTCGATCTTGAATGCTGGCGCCTTTCTCGGTTGTTACTTATTCGGCGTTGCATCCGATCACGGGATTGGCCCCTTCAATTTACTTACGGCGGCGGCCTTGGGTTGTGCTGGGACGGCCTTTGGCTGGATTGGTGCCAGGGCCAATGCTGGAATGATTGTGTGGAGTATTATTTACGGTCTCTTCTCGGGCGCCCTCCAAGCGCTTTTTTCGCCGTGTATCTCCCAATTGGCACCAGAGCCAGGATTGATTGGTACATGGAACGGTAAGCATATAGACCACTTTTGCTTTATAAACAGTCTAGAAACTTGACTGTGTCCTAACAATATTCAACTAGGGCTATGCATCAGTATATTCTCGTTCGCTGTGCTCGGCATGGGACCAATCGCCGGAAAGCTGTTGGACAACACGGGCGGCACTAGCTATCGCACCATGCAACTGTTTACGGGGGTGTTCTTAGCTACTGCCAGTGTTTTATACTTGATTACCCGCCTTCTCGTTTCTCGAAAGGCCATTGCTTGAACAACTCAGCAAGTTGCTCACACGCCGGCTGTTTCTACGATTACGTACAATAGTTCAGAGCTCTCTTCAGATGAATAAGTAACCTATAGCGTCAAGGTTAATGCCAGAATGCATTCATGCAGGATTTTACTTCTCCTACAAAACTTAACGGTGGAGTACTGTGGGCGATTTCTCCTTAAGACACTTGGTTACGGAACCACGAAATCTGACTAAGGCAGTGGTGGAATCGCTCACGGTGATTGCTATCTGCGGAATAAGTGCCAGTTGAACTGTGGTGCTCACCAGCCCATAGAAATACATCAAACTCTGTCTTCTATTGCCCCTTCCTCTAGCATTTTATATGGATTTTACAGCTGACTGAGGACAAACCATAAACAATACAAGCATGATGGAACATTTTCAGTAGTTTACCTCGACTGTATCTTAGTGCCGTAGGTATCAGGTGTCCACATGTGTCCTGTCATAAACAGTCTTATCCTCATACACCTCAAGACTGCTATAGGGGCGGGTGTGTGGGTTGTTTTCCTCGCCTGCCGACATGTCAGCTATGCCAGACTGCCATCGTTCATTTCCATCTTTACTAATTGAAAGACACAACATGCGTACCCAGATTCTACATTTCTGCTACATTCATGTGCTTGTTTTGTACCAGTTGCCAGAGTCTTCAGCACAAAGATTGCATGTGATTGAGTACATGTGGATCTTCAGTGTACAGTATGGTTTGGTGGCGTGTTTTACCTGCCTGGGAATCCCTCGCGAAACTCCTGCCAGGGTCTCAGCTGCTCAAAACGCAAAACCAAAAGAATCCCATAGAGCAATATGCTAAGTAACAAACCTATTGATAATTGCTAAAATCCACCGACTGGTGGAGTGAATATTATGGTTATGATGCAGTGCCTACAGCAGTAACACCATTGATTAAAGTGGCAGCTCCTGGTGATCAAAAGAAACATGTATGGGAAGTAGTGATCGCAGCCTAAACGTGTCGCCACACTACTGTAACTATGTACATTGAAATTGCAAATCCAGGCATAATATCTCCGGCATTGTACCCCATCTACAGGTGCGACTTGGCTTCCGAGTCCTCAAGCAGATGAGCGAGCTCATTGTGCGGCACACCAACACGACCTAGAGCCTTATAGAAAGCTTGTGGGTCAACCCAGTCCTCGGGAGCGAAGACGCCACTAAGCTTGGACTCATGCTCCAGTGCCAGAACCATAAACGCGGCACAAGCGCCTCCGGTGATGGCAGCCATATTCTTAAAAAGAACAGAGCCCTCACCACACGTGCCCGAGCGCTTTATCTGAACGACTGGCATGCCATTCCGAGTACCGGCGACACGAACAGTCAGGCCTGCGCGATAAGGTGCGATCTTCCCACGAGCAGAGTCGAGAAGGAAGCTGAGCACATCTCCAGTGGTACATTCACCAGTCCTGATCTGGTCAAGCATTCCATAGGTAGCATAGCGCCACGGTCCAAGAGCACTGGAGGTGTGGGCAAGGATCTGCCATAGCTCGTTGAGCGTGACTTCGCCGCCGCGGAGGTACCCGCTGGCCTCACCCAGAGCGGCCTGCCAGCCGTTGATAGGGTTTGGATTGTTAATCAGATTCAGCAGAAAGTCAACGGCCTCTTCAAGCGTGATCTGTTGCCTCCTAACAGCGCTACCAAGGCCACGGGCAACGCCATTAAATGGTGCGGGGTGTAGGCCACCGAGGCAGCGGATGCGGTTGGCGTCTGGGAAGAGACGGGGGAGGGTCACAGGCTCCGGGTGGGCAGTTTCGTGCAGAAGTGTCTCTCCGTGGTCACCATACATCGGTGCATAGGCGGTCTCGACCCACGATTCATTGACAGTAGCCTTTCCATTCACCCAGGTGAGGCAGGGGCCGGCGGCAACGTGCATCAGGTGCTCCAGTACGGCCTTGCCAATTCCCGGTCGCTCATCACCAACCAGCCAGCAGACATCAATCGTATCCACCTTCTCGATTCCCTTGGCCGCATCGACGGCCATGACATTCGTCATGCCGGGAGAGGCACCGCAGCCAATAAAGCAGGACACGCCGGCGGTCTTTGCTTTCTCGTGCAAGGCAAGGGCTGCAGTAGTGCTTTCCACATCATCGTCGAAGTCAAGGTAGGGAACTTTGTTCTCAATACAGGCCGTAAGAACGGGTTCGCTAGTCTTGGCATAAGGACCGGCGCCGAGGACGACGAGGGAGGCGCCCTTGGTGATGGCGAGCAGGGCAGAACGATCATAGAGATCCAGCTTCAGGGTAGTTGCCCGTCCGGCAGGAAATTTAGCCGCCAGAAGCTCAATAGGAGCCACATTAATATCGGTAAGGACGAGCGAAACGTCCGTGGCTGCCGCAAAGCGCTCGACAGCAATACGACACATCTCGCCAGCGGCGCCGATGAAGACAATCCGCTTGGGGCTAGAGAAGGAGGCCATAGCGAAAAATGATGTGTATTAGAGTGAGCTTTTCAAGAGAGGTTATTCGGAGTGGAAGTGGTGTTTGGGTATGACCATAATACCAGACCCGTACTGCTGCTTTTATATCCAACCACGCTCTTGATGTGTTTAACGAGCAACTTTCTTTTCCCTAGTGGTACGACCCGACGCAGCCGGTGACTCCTCACTACTCGGTAATCCAGATAGAATATTCAAAGCTTCCGTCGTGACATGTGTCATGGGCCCTTCCACCCATAATGGCGATTCTAGGGAAATGGATGCTGCGGCTCCGCGGCTCCGATTCCCGCAACGCGACACGCAGCGAGTCGGATTCGGCGGGTCCCGAGATCGTTATTGTGGGTGAGTAAGGTAATTAAAAATGCAACTGAAAATGCACATTGCTATCTCATGGCTTAGTCCGTTTCCAATAACCTCTTTTTGTTTCTTTTCTGTGGCTGGCGTGGAGATCAATCGCTCCCGCATTGATTTAAATCCGGTTCTCGGAGACTATCTTTTATACTGCAAAGCCCCCGGGGAAAGAAATACCATTTTCCATTTTCCCGCATTTGCTGAGATAGACTCTACGTCGAGTGAAAGCTTCAACCTGTATATTACCCAGAAAGCGACATTGAGCGCCAGACCTTCCCTTCAAATTGGTGGAATCGTTTGAGTGACAGAGACGAACACTTCCCTTCTCGCGAAAAAGATCGAATTGCTGTCACAATGCATGCAAAGGAGCAAGATGTGGATTACGATGTTATCATAGTCGGCGCCGGAATCTCCGGCATCAACTTTGCGTACCGGTTGCAAGAACGCAATCCGGAATTGAGCTACTGTATTTTGGAAGAACGCCATGAAATCGGAGGCACATGGAGTCTATTCCAATACCCTGGTGAGTTAAATTCTGCGGAAGTTCTCCTTTAAAAACCAACGACTAAATTTCACGCCCCTTAGGCATCCGATCGGACTCGGACCTGTTCACCTTCGGGTTCGCATGGCGGCCCTGGACCAGGAAGCAGTCGATCGCGCACGGCTCACTAATCGCGGAGTATATGCGGAACTGCGTGGCAGAGGAAGGCATCGACACAAATATTAAGCTTAATCACCGAGTCAACAAAATGTCCTGGTCTACCAGTTCTAAAGCCTGGACTCTGGACCTGACCGTAGACAAGACAACTTCTAGCACCCTCCGGAGCCGGTTTGTCCTCTTTGGGACGGGCTACTACGACTATCACCAGCCGCTTCAGGCGGATATCCCTGGAATTCAGAATTTCACCGGAACCCTGGTACATCCGCAGTACTGGCCCAAAGACCTGGACTACAAGGACAAGAATGTCGTCATTATTGGATCTGGCGCAACAGCCATCACATTGCTTCCAAACATTGCAAAGGAGGCAGGGCATGTGACGATGCTACAGCGCTCCCCGAGCTATATTTTATCGGTCCCGAACGAGGACTTTGTCGAAAAACTGATTCGACTCCTGCTCCCCAGGATGTTGGCCGGGAAGCTCATCCGGTTCAAATGGATTCTTGTCCCACTTTTGATGGTCAATTTCTGTCGGAGCTTTCCTCGCCTGGCCCGGAAGTCGCTGATGATATTAACTGCCAAAGAGCTTCCCAAGGGCATGCCTCTGGACCCTAACTTCACTCCTAACTATAACCCGTGGGAGCAGCGGTTGTGCATGTGCCCGGAGTCTGACTTCTACGAAAGTATGCGGAATGGCAAGGCCGAGGTGAAGACGGACGTGATTGAGAATGTGGACGAAAGGAGCATTCAACTCAAATCAGGTGAGAAGCTGCATCCCGACATTATTGTCACGGCTACTGGTCTGAAGTTATGCATCGCCGGCGGCATTAAGATCTTTGTCGACGGATCGCAGTATGACATTGGCGACAACTTCATGTGGAAGTTTGCGATGATGAACAACTTGCCGAACGCCGTGTTTGCATTCGGATATATTGACGCCAGCTGGACTCTCGGGGCGGACGTCGCCGCCATCTTGGCATGCCGATTGCTCAGAAAGATGAACAAGGACCGTGCTACGATGGTGGTACCACGAATGGGAGCCGAGGAAAAGGAGCACATCACGAAGTTGCCATTCCTAGACTTGAAAGCTACCTATGTCCGAGAAGCACAGAATGTGGTTCCAAACTTGGGAGACCTCTCTGTCTGGAAACCAAGATCCTACTATTGGAGGGACCTTACGGTAGCCGTGTACGGGAGTCTCCAGAAAGGTTTAGAGTGGACACTATGAGCATGGCGTTTGCTTTCTGGGAGGTGGTGAGTGGGTGTGATTCTGTTTTTGAGCAACCCTTACTAGTAGTACTTGACACTTCGGGGCGTGAAACTGTGCTATGTATTTCTTTTCCTATCCAATGTAACTTACAAGATGATTTAATTCACCTCAGACATGTTATTTAGACTGAGTTGGTTTGTGCCTTTTTGGAGTGGTGGGAATAGATGACGAACTGAACGTTGATGTTTTACAGCTACAAACAGGACGATTCACCGTCCATCAAATCTCCCTAATTGATTTTCATGGTAGATCGGGTCAACTCAAAGTACCCTACTTGTAGCATGCCAATACTGGTCTCTTAGACTATAGATTCTTTCAACAGTAATTTCCTGAGTTTTTCAATCACTTGTTTCAATTGGTTTCTTCGGTATTAGTGCGTGTGATCTGGTAATAAACTCTCATTTAAAACAAGCCTTGCGCTGTTGAATATGCAGTAAAAGAACAGCAATCTAAAATATACAAAGCTAGATAATTCAACTTCAATAGGTAGAGCACCACACAGGATCTTACAGGCAAGAGCTTCTCGTGTTTGCAACGGACAGCGCAGCAGCAGTGTCGCGAGCAGCAGCAGCAGCAGACTCCATGGCACCCTCGATAGCGCCGGTCTCGAGGGCTGCAATGTCACTGCCGCAAAAGCGAATGCAACCATGACCCTGGCGGATTTGAACTGCGCCACCGGTTATATGCCCGGGCCGGTGCATCATCCAGCCGCCCTTCGAGAATTCATCTTCGGCCCAGCTGTAGGAGGCGGTATCGACCACTTCGATGCCAGGAATGAATTTTCGCAACGCAGCCTGCACGGCCTTTTGGTCATCGGCGCGGATTGTGGCCGCGTCCGAGCAAATACACATGATGAGCGTGTCGCCATTATGGTAGCGCTCCGTCCGGACTGCGTTGAGGGAGTGTTTGCCAGCGGGGGCGAACCCAGTAAAGGGCTCGATCTGGCCTCGCACTCGAGCCCAGATTTTGCTTGCCATGACGGGGTTCCTTTCCGCGACCATAGAGCTCGCAGCATGGGGGAGGCTAGGCGAGATTTTGATATCGCCGAGAGTGCCAACGGGCACTGCAACAATTGCTGCACGCACCAGGATCTTCTGGCCGGCACACGTGGTAATCGATACCTTCGAGCCATGATCCTGTATAGTGCTGACGGGGGTCGAGAGGCGGAGCTCAGCGGTCGATTCGGACAGAATAGCGTCGATGAGGGATTTAGTGCCCCCTTCAATGGCCCAGAAGCTTGCCGTCTCGAAGAAGGCTTTGTAATCACCGAAGTAGGTTGCCACATTGCGAAGCAGCTGTGCAATGCCGTGGTCCTTATATTTGTGAACCACGCCAGCCAAGGCTCCCTCGAGGACATCCCGATGATAGGAGTCAAGCCCCAACGAGTTGATGCGGTCCTCGATGCTTTCGCGTTCTATGTCGCAGTTGTCCACAGTGTTGATCATCCAAGGCAGCGGGAAGCGCGCGCGGGCGTCGGCGAAGAGCTGCGCCATCGCGGGGCCGAGGATCTCGTAGTATTCCTCCTCCGTCCCAGAATGAATTTTCCCATCCGCCATCCAGTAAGCCTTGATGCTGGGGAGGGGAGGCAACAGCCCGATGGCATGCTTTTGCAGTTCGTGCCACACATGCGGCTGGGTCCAGTGCACATAGGCACCACCGAGCTCGATCTCGTCCCCAAGGCCCTTTTCTAGATAGGTTCGGCCGCCCACTCTGTCTCGCGCTTCGAGTAGGACCACCGAAAAGCCCTTCTTGCTGAGGTCGCGGGCCGCGGTGATTCCCGCAATCCCGGCTCCAATGACGGCGATGTCAAACTTCTCCATGGTGTCTTCTCTGCGGCGCAGAAAACTTGGGGTAGTGATTTGGTGGAAAATTTGATCACTGAGAAAGGGATCACTGAGCAATTAAAAATTTAAAGACCTGTGTTATTATCCAAGTCCAACGCAGTGCGACCGCTCCGCTCTAATAACAAGGCGAACCTTTTCATATCATACGTAACCCTGAATATCGGCAGAATATAATCCGTTCTGCATACTCCCAGGTCCACCATCCCATCCACTATTTCAGGCAACCATAATGGCGGTATATCGGATCCGTGGGAGGACATCATGAAAGGGGCGGGGTGGGACGCGGCTCCGCTGGGTACCGCGGGCACCGATAGTGAGCCTGGCGTGGCCATACGGAACCGCTCTCCACCTCCGGAATATGCTCTGCGCTGTGGTTCTGGGGAAATTAGGTTCCCCCACGCCGATCGGGTACCAGGAAGGATTTGCGGGGACTGGGGAAATGCAGGGGTTGCGGAAGTCAATCATATGCAATGCAGTATGTGTAGGGCTTGAGGACGAGCACAGCAACGAACCCCGCAAATTCGCAAGTATAAAGGGAGGCCGGCGGAAATCCTACTGCAAACCGTCGTTGCCTAGACCTACTCGAGTTTGATTACCGTTTCTTCCGATCCTCCCACACTTCATCATGGGCCGGTGCCATCGCAACCCGCTTACGAATCCGCTGCAATATGCAACACTACAACTGCGCACCGGGCCCCCGGTAACATACGCGGCCGCCGAGAGGGGCCTTGTCACATATGATTACGGTATGTCGCAGGCGTATTACCAAAGTCCTAGAAATCTTCACCGAATACTCACTGGCTTGGGTCAAAAAAGTGATCATTGGCGCCGGTGCAGCAGGCTGTGTCCTGGCTAACAAACTCTCCGAGGACAAGAATGTCTCAGTGCTCCTTCTCGAAGCTGGAAGCGACAACGCCAAGGTCTTCGAAACCAAAGTGCCTCTACTGTTTTCCAAACTGTTTCATACGCAGAATGATTGGGACTACTACACGGTGGAACAGCCGGGGCTCGCCAATCGCCAGCTATACTGGCCCCGGGGGAAGATTATTGGAGGTTCGACCTCGCTCAACGCTATGATTTATCACCACTGCTCCAAATCCGATTTTGACGAATGGGCCTCGGCGTATGGCTGTGCGGGGTGGGACTATGATGAGCTAGCCCCCTACCTTCGGGGCATGGAGCGCTTTACCGCCAATCCAGATCGCCCAGCCATCGACGTCCAGCATCGCGGCACCGTTGGGCAATGGCAGACGGGTTATACGTGGCTGTCAGAGATTGTCGAAAAGGGGTTCCTGCCCGCCTGTCACGACGCCCAGATTCCTCCCATCGCGGACATTAATACCCGTCAGGGCAGCGTGGGCGTGACGAGACTCCAGACCTTTATCGATCCCAAGGGACAGCGCTCGTCGCTTGCCACGGCCTTCCTCACGCCGGAGGTGTTGGCACGGCCGAATCTGTATGTTGCATGTAACGCCCGAGTGACTCGCGTGCTTGTTGATCAAATCACGACCAAGGAGCCGACCGTGATTGGCGTTGAGTTCCAGACTAGCCGTGGTGGTGAACGCTTCCAGGTCCACGCGCGACGAGAGGTCCTCCTCTGTGGAGGAGCGGTCAACACGCCGCAGACGCTGTTGCTGAGCGGCATCGGTCCTGCTGACGAGCTGAAGGCCCACGGGATCCCCGTCATCCAAGAGAACGATGCGGTCGGTCACAACCTCAAAGATCATCTCTGCACAACGCCAGTTATAGGCAAGGCCAAGGACAGTGCCACTCTTGATTACTTGGGAAACAATGTCAAGGCCATTCCGGCTCTAGCGCGCTGGATGCTCACGGGCGGCGGCCCGCTGTCCAGTAACATCGGCGAGGCGGCTGCGTTCATCCGGTCCACGGACTACCGCTTCCCTCAGACGAAGAACGCTCCCAACGATCATACGTCTGGTGGTTCCGCACCGGACATCGAGCTTATTGGCGCCCCAATCGCCTTTATCCATCATGGTGAAGAGAAAGCAATCGATGGAAGCAGTGTCTTCAGCATCATCCCGATTGGTCTTCGCCCACAGAGTCACGGCACAATCACCCTGAAGAGCCGAGATGTCTTTGATGCACGTAAGCCCCCTTCCCTACGTGTCGTCCGATTGGATGTTTGAATCGAAATAACCAGACAATGAATGATTACAGCGATTATCGACCCGAAGTACCTAAGCGACGAATGCAGCAACGACCGAAATGTTCTCCTGGTCGCCCTCCGCGTGTGTCTCAAGATCGTCCACAGCCCGGCTTTCAAGAAATATTTTGAGGCTGTCCCCATGAACGACGATCCGAGCTCATACTGGTGGCCCTACTCGAGCAGTAATATTGACAAGGTTACCGACGAGCAACTCCTACACTTTATGGATAAGAAGGCCTTCACACTGTACCATCCTGTCGGCTCGGCCCGCATGGGCCCGTCGCCTACTACGAGCGCCGTCGACCTTGAATGCCGGGTCCATGGTGTTAAGGGTCTCCGTGTGATGGATGCCAGTGTATTCCCAGAACAGATCAGTGGACACCCCACCGCTCCTATTGCTGCCATGGCTGCCAAGCTGAGTGAGATGATCAAGGAACGCAGCGGCGTGGCTACTCCTCTCGGTGCACATTTGTAGAAAGGTTGTACGGAACCGTTATCTCTTGTATAAAATTATTTTCTCAAATCTATCTTCTCGCAATATTGGAAGTAATTCTGATTAGATGAAACTTGAATCGAACACATACATAACCATGAATATCGGCTGAATATGACCAAATTATTACCGAGACTGGAAAGACCGGTCTCTCTCGTTTGCTTAAAACGGACATCAAGGGTCGCGAAGATTTGCCCCAATAAGGGTCAATTCACGATCGCATCCTTCTATTGGAAGTCAGTCGAGGGGTACTGCAAAAATTGATTCACGACCAACGCATCAAGGACGCCGCTGCTCCCGCTCTCCTTTACCCGGATTTCCAAAAGAGGAACATCTACGTCTTGGCCGAAGAGCCCACCGTTATTACGAGCCTGATAGATTTCCAATCAGCGAGCATTGAGCCCTCGTTTCTGAGACACCTGGTTTTTCTGCGCTGCCGACTATTCCCGACAATGATTCACCTGATAACGAGCCAAGTGAAACGGAAATTTCTAAACAACAAGCACGAGACTTCAAAAATGCAGCCATCTGTCCTCAACCATATATTTTGGTGATGACAGCTCTTATACCCAAGATACGCTCTGCAAGATTACTTGATCCGACTCTCTTCCGACTTTTCCACTACTGTCACACAACATGCCGAGACTCTGCTGCTCCTGTCGCCAAGAGCTGGATGAAATTGGGCCTCGTGGGCTCATGTCCATTCTCACCTACGGAAGCGGAATTAAGGGCGCATGCTCGAAACTATGAAGATTTTGAGGCCGTCCAAGCACTCAAATCATGGCTCAAAAGCACTCTTGATACAAACCGTGACGGATGGGATTCCAAATAATGCAAGGGACGCTGTGAGGGTTGCCCATCGCGCGGCGTATAAATGAATGGATACAGACTGCCAAAGAGGCCGATGCTCTTGGGGTGGATATGACAATAGAAAAGGCGGACAAGATGTGGCAATTTGATGCCAGATAGAAACTCAAGGCAATCGAAGAGTCAACTGACCTCTGCATGTATGAATTTCGAATCGAAGATTCTTCATGAGGAAATCTCGCCGTAAGTTCCGTTTAGAGGAAGGGTTTAGGAGAAAGTTTGGGGAGCTAAGGCGAAAGCTTTGGCTGGGGAGGAAGTCCAGTAATGAAACTGGATGTCCTGCGAGATCCCAAAGAGACACTGTTTTAACTCAAAGAGTGACGGCCTCAGGATCTCGGAACACACAGAAACACCCGTCTTCCGTGCGAAAACTGCCGTCCTCACTGAAGCTCGACCGGCAAAATATCCAAATCAGCTGGATTCATCACGCCGCCTACCTGGCTCACGATGCGCGCGCCACCACTTCCAAATCGAGCCGCAAGTGACTCGATTTTGCATTCCTAATCCAAGTCTTTGGTCATTTACAAACTGCCACCGCCGCCTCTTCCACCACGGAATCTCCGGCCTGGGCCAGGGACAATCAAAGTAGTCCCGGCAGTCGCCCGAGATCCCGTCCTCATATCCCCGAAAGACCAAATATCAGCGCCGGGCCACAGTCAGCCCCATTTCTCAATGCATTCAACCCAAATTGGAGAAAACGGAGTGCTACCGACCTCGCAGAATTTACAGCTCAACCCGGTGCAACTTAGTCCACGAGCCACTTCTCTCGCACAAAATTCATCAGAAAAAGAATTGAATGAGCTGGCCGCTCAAATCGACCAATTTCCCGTCTTGATTTTCATTTTTGAAGGGGTAGTTATGTGGTCACCTTTTTGCCAGTTTAGGGTTGGCTCAACATACGTCTTATACTATGGATGTTATAGTATGTTTATTGTTTGCATTTTTATCATCGTCATTTTATACCAACTGTTAAGGGAAACGAGAGAATCATTCATCACAGACACGCCTATCTTTCCCACTGAGCTATAGTTCAAAAAGTAGCGAAATGCAAAAAATAAAAACATACAACAGTGAGGATTCGCTGGTGGTCACCCACCCAACTACTAACTCACCGGCGTGTGGCTTAAGTACGGCTGAGCGGACGGGAAGCCCTGTTTTCCACACCCTATGGTCGTATGTATCATATTACGTGTGCGATAGTACCATGAAGTGAAAGGTTGTTTGCAAAATGGGCGATGTGTGTAGGAATCAGTATTTACGAACGATAATAAGATGATTCTTTTGTGTTTGAATTCAAGAATTAGGTCCGACCTCCGGACTGATTGGAGTAGGTAATATCTGGAAGGGCAGACTACATTCGGTCTATAGGTCTGGAAACAGCTGACACTGGACTTGACATGCTCAATCGATATTAGAAAATAAATAGCTGCTCTTTTTTTTTCATTTCATTGCACAAGGTATTTCTGACGTTAGATAGGAACCAAAGAATATTGAAAAAAAAGGCCGAAAAAGACCAGTATACTTCCATGCTGAGCTTGAGTTTTATTTCAACCCCAGTTTGTTTGAAAGCACGCGAGATTTTACTGGTATTTCATAGTTGGAAGAAATATTGCACTGGATTTCTAATAAAAAGTCCTCTAACAGGCCCAACCAGAAAATGGAAGGCTTCACAGGGTCGCACCTAACTATTTCTTTATGTACTTGGAGCGTAGCGTCTCAGTAATCAAATCCCCTAGTCCTCCAAGAGTCGCTGCCTTAGTTATCGCAATCAGTGACAGGTCTAAATCAAAATGACGACGACACCAGTTTCGGATCTCAACCGTCATAAGAGAGTCGATATGTATGGAAGCGACCTGCGCGGAGTCTTGCCCGCTGGTAAAAGTTGAATATTTCTGCAGAGTCTTCACGATCTCTGCCATTGTTTGCTCCTTCCAAGCTGGTCCATCTAGAGTCTCGGGCTCCTTTTCGAGAAGGGAGATCATGTATCGAATACTCTGGGAAAATTTGGAGGCATCGGCAGGTGATTCAGGGTCGAAGTCCACATGTGAGTAGGCTCGGAAACGTGCATCTTGCCCCCAAAGCGGACGAACGGTGGCATCGGCAAGAGACTTTGTGCTGCTCATGCCAACAATCAGATTGTTTGGTATCTGCAGCGATCCCGAGGACTTTGAGGTCTTTCTAAGATCGCCACTGAATATGGCAAGCTCAAATGCATCCAGAACTTCCTGTTCGTTTAGCAATCTCACAGAGGCTGAGCGCATTCGCTCTCGAAGCGTGTTATCCTGTGTCGCGAGGAATCCTACATCGTCGACTCCTCCAAGATTCACAACAGAGGCCGGTAGTCCATTTTGTAGCCGATACTGGGCAAATGAGGAGAGAAAAGTATTTGCTGCTGAGTAGTTGACTTGGCCAGCGTTGCCCATGACGCCGGTTATGGAACCACAGACGACAAAGAATTGGAGATCGCCATCTTTCCCATGCAGCGCATTGTGAAGGTTCCATGTTCCGGTTACCTTTGCAGAAAGCACGTCCTGCCAATTCTTGTGAGACATATCTGGAATAAAAGAGTCCTTCGGTAGTCAGCAATTTTAGTTCAAGAACTTGTAGCATACGGGGGTATGATACTTACCCGAACTATCATGGAGAGCTGAAGAATACCTCCAACCGGATGAGTGCAGGCGTGTATGGCAGCTTGAACCTCCTCTTGGATTGTCACGTCACATTTTACCATGATAACTGTACAGCCTTGCAGCTCAAGCTCACGACGAAATGACCGGTCGTGACTGGTGGCTCCTGCCGATCGGGACAAGAATACCAAGATTCGTGCACCTCGTTCTACCATCCAAGTTGCTATCGCTCGTCCAATACCCCCTAGACCACCAACGAGGACATATGATAGCCCTGGTGAGAACATTGACCTGCAGCGCGACTTGGCAATCAAGCCTTGCTCGGATATTTCTGGCATCCTCACAACAAGTTTTCCCATATGAAGTCCCTGCTGAAGCTGACGGAATGCCTTGTGCGTATCAATGCTGGAGAAAACATTCAAGGGACGAACTGGGGTGATTTTCCCTGTATCGTAGAAGTCTATGACTTGACGGAAGAGTCTTGATTTTCCAAAGTCAGTCGGATTTAGATCTTTCCTGTTGTGAGAAGTGCTAAAATGTTAAATACCTTGTAATAATCTTTGGCTTTTCTGCAAGCCGAATCAAATCAACGCCGAAGAATGCCCGATTTCCCCCAAATCCTTCCAAACCCAGGGTTCCATGCTCTAGGAAGTCTCGCTTTCCAATCTCGATCATCTTGCCGAATTCTGCGACGCATTTCCATGACGCGTGGAGGAGATCACCGGCAAGGCAATTCAGCACAATATCGACGCCCTGACCTTCAGTCTGCTTCATCAGGTTGGGATAGAAGGAGGCATCGCGAGAGCTGAAAATATGAATTCGAGGAAGGCCAAAATTATCTATCAAATACTGTGCCTTTCTCTCACTTCCCACAGTTACATAGACCTTTAAAGAAGAATGAGTTAGTCATTTGTCTCCCAATACATATAATCATCTCTTACCTTTGCCCCAATCATCCGACAAAGTTGAATTGCAGCAAGGCCTACTCCTCCACATGCTGCGTGAATCAAAACAGACTAAAGATACGTTAGTTAGAAGTAAAGTAATGGGCATTCGACGTACCTGTCCTTTCTCCAATCTCCCAATGTCCATTATACAATAGAGCGCTGTCCCGTAAACCACAGACATCGATGCAGCCTCTTCCAACGAAATCGACGGTCGCACATGCACACACCGGGAGGCAGATACTATCACGCGTGTGCGAAACAGCCCAGGCTGCATTATCATGATTCGATCACCCTTCTTAAACTCGGTCACTCCGGTACCACATCTTTGCACAATTCCACTTGCCTCTATTCCCATTTCCTCTTTGTTTGCCATAAAACCCATCGCAATCATCACATCCTATGTCGTTTAGTATCTGCTAATATTCAGCGGTTAAGATTGAGGACTTACACGGAAGTTAACCCCAACAAACTTGACCTCAACTTCGATCTCGTCTGCCTCGGGCGAGCCAAGCTCATGTTCTCGCCAAGACAGCGAGTCCAGAGTTCCATAGGAGGCAATGTCCAGCTTCATGGGTGCATCGATGTCAGGTGAATATAGCAGTCTATCCGAAAGTGAACTCCATCGCATTCGGGGGATGTAAACGCAGCCGTCGTGGAGGGCAAATTCGTAGTCCACATCATCCAACCCAGTTAGATCCCCTTTTCTGAAGAATTTCATCGATATTTTGAGTAGTGCTTCTGTCGCGACGCTGTCAAAGTTGTCGACTTGAAAGGTTCCAAATTGGATTTCCTGTTCTTGCCGTGCCGTACGGGAAACCCCCATTACGAGCGAAAAGTTTGGATCTGCACACTTTAACTCGACAGAGTTGGTAACCCATAGTATCTGTGGAGCGGAGTTCATAAGCTGCTGAAACATTACCCAGTCTTTCTCACTCGTATTATGGAAGAACGGGCTCTCAAAGTCGAGGAATGAGATCACCCGTTGCCCGTGTGGTATCCCTTCTTCTTTGGTACAGCGTTTGACTGTGTGGCCGTTCTCGATGAAAGAATTTTCAACTTCAATCAACCAGGGATATCGATGCTTCTCACTCGGACAAAGAAGATAAACAGTGTTTCCTTGCAGATAGCTCTTGGGTGGAATACGTGCGATCAAGTTTCGATAGAGACGATAAGGCGCTCTGCCGTCACCACCTTTTGCCTCGACACCGCCGAAGCCAGCATGTCGAAGTTCTTCGTCCCACTCCTCGATTGACATATGCGTGGTATCGATATCCACTTGGGGCTCATCAAACATTTGGGTTTTTGACGGGTTCTTGAAGCAGGTTAATAGGTCTTCTCTGCCAAGATCGGTTTTGTGACTGCTTACTGATAGATAGTGCACCACCGGTAGTTCTAGATTGTGTTAAAAGCCTGGTCGTTCACTGGGCAAACAAAGCAGCTTACCGGGACAGTGTTCACGAACTAGAAGTCTTCCGCCAGGAGCCAGAAGCTTCCCAATATTCTTCAATGCTGGTGTCACACCAGACATCCGAGGGCCAATCTTGATGGTTGTCAGCTATCGCCGCTATAGGCATCGATTGTGGACTACTCACATTCGATGCAATGACTAAGTCATAATGAGCCACATTGAAGTTTTGCTGAAGCGGATCTTTGTTGAGATCCAACGGCTTGAACTCTACTAGATTATTATCTTTGAATCGATCTTTGAGAGCACCGTCAATGTCAGGTGTTGCTGCCAACGTGTACTGGGCACAGAGGACTTTTCCGTCGGAAGTAAGATATTGAAGAACAGAGGAAGAGAATGATCCCGTATCGTCACCAACCGCGAGGATACGAAGGTTCGGGTTGGCGTGGCAAAGAAGAGAAAACCACTCCTGTAGGTCACTGAGAGACTTAATCCAGTTATCAAGTTTCTGTACCTGTTTGACCTTTCTCGAGGCCAATGAGGAGCAACTTGATCCTTCAACAAGGGCTGTCATCTCTCTTACTGTCACTTTGCTGAGTTCGGAAATGAAGCCCAGTCCCTCAGTCTCAAGCTGCTTATCCAGTGTGAGTCTCTGTGTCTTCAGGCTGTCACTGTCCATTTGGGCCCATGATTGCGCCTCAGGAACAGCAGGTATCCCCTCTGTCTTCAATTGCATGATTTTGTTTGATAACCAGTGTTTATAGCATTCAAGATGTTCTGAGCATGGTTCTAATTGGGCAATGTTCCGATGCACGCAGATCATAGACAACACAGAAGCCCTGGTCAACAACCCAAGTGTATTGTCCCTGTCCTTTTCACTGGGCAGCTGAAGATGCCCAGGAAGGAGATCAAGGTCCGGAAGCCACTCCACTTCTGAGAGCAAAGGAATTCCGGAGGTCTCGTCCCCAAGACTTTGGTCCAACTGAGCTAGGGTCACCCCGCGCATTGTGAGCACCGTCTTCATCCCGTCGCTCAACGAAATACTACATTTGGCTTGAGTTCCGGTAAAGCTTTCCCCAGTGACTTCGGCCTTCATTAAATCACCATTTTGACCGAGAGAAATTTCGTCGATGAACATCGGAATGAAGAGTTTTGTCAGATATCTTGCCCTTCCTTTGCAGGCTGCGACGCTGAATAGTTGCAAACACTGGTCAATGGCAGTAGGGTGGACGGCATGGCTGTTTTCGCTTCCTTTGAATATTCCGTGAACCGTGGCGTTGGCCGTGAAGCTGATAGGATCTGTAGTGATGTCCTCTAAGCCTTGAAAGTGTGGTCCGTATTGTAGTCCAACTTTTGCGAGCGAGCCGTACCAGGACTTTGAATTAACCGACCTTTGAAACCGGTGTGTGGCTGGAACATCAGCCATTAAATTCTCGGCACCTGCCACCACTTGTCCAGTCGTATGCTTAGTCCACACATTTCCATCATAGCATGCGATGGTAAATTCGAACCATTTGGAATCAAGTCGGTCATTTATCCGCAATGGCCGCATCGTGGTCACAATCTCAACATTATTACCCTCGGTTGTCGGCACGACAAGCGGTACCTTGATTTGCAGATTGCGAATTGTGCAATCTTGGGTGTTGAACAGCTGGAGCATTGCTTCGTTGATCATTGCGATATAACCCGCGCAGGGAAACACGACATCTCCTAACACTTGATGATCGCTAAGCCACGGAACGGCTCTTGCTTTGAGCAAATTCCTCCACGCTGGCTCAATATCACTAGCTTCCAACATGCGAGAGCCGAGCAGTTCATGATGAGGATGTTTGCGGAATCTCCAATTGTGGCTTAGACGACTTTCTTTCCAATCAATGCTTTGTCTATCCCAGGGATAGGGTGGAAGATCGTGGAGAACATTTCCCGTGCCGTTTATCGCTGCGAAGTCGACAGGGTGTCCATGACAATACAGCTCCCCGAGTGTTCTCAAGAGGGATTGTGTCTGGTCTTCCATCCTAATAAGCGTGGGGAGATAGTAGGTCTGGACCGACTGAGGTGACACGATCTGACGGATAGGTCCGGCCAGGGTAGAGTGAGTCCCAATTTCTACAAACACGGTTGCCCGATCCTTTTGGTGATCAAGCAAAGCCTGAACCGCCGCAGAGAACAGAACCGGTGATTCTAGACTTCTTCGCCAGTAAGCAGCATCTAGGTCATGCGGGTCAGATAAGATGGTGCCTGTGACGGTCGAATAAAGAGGAAGCATCGTGTCACTGTGAGCAATTTGAGAGGCAATAGTGGACTCAAAAAGCACGCCAGCATCCATCATGTCCGCTGCGCTCTATTAGTATCAAGAATACGATTGTTCACAAAGGCAAAGCTCACGAGAATGATAAGCAACTTCGACGGGCAGGTGTCGGATGAATGTTTCTGGCATCTTTTCCACGATGCGATCAATGACTTTCCTCAACAGTGGCATGGATCCTGAAATATTAACACTCTGAGGACTGTTCTCACACGCAATAACCACGCCGTCAATCAAATATTGGTTGACAGTTTCCTTTCCAAGACCAATAACTGTCATCCCTCCACCGTGTGAGGTGGACTGGTTACATTGTCCTCGGAAATGCGCAATGATGATAGCAGTACGCATCGATATTGCCTTCGCTGCATATGCAGCAACAACCTCGCCACTGGAGTATCCAATCACAGCCGACGGGCTAATTCCCCAGCCTAAGTTATAAGGTTGACTAAAGCGATCTGAACTGCAGCACACAATGTCTGAGAGTACTCCGTCTTATCGACGCAGCTGGAGATCTCTGGCTTCAAAAGCTCCTCTATACGAGATTTTGTTAGTGTCAAGCAAGATTAAAACAAAATCGAGAGTGATCTGATATGAATTGGTACCTTCAATGCTCCACGAGGGTGGCGACTCTATCTCTTGCAATATCTGGTCCATAGTGCGGATATCACGCTGGAAGATCTCAAAGTAGCTCATCAGCTCCGTTCCCATACCCGGCCACTGAGCACCCTGTCCAGTGAATGCGAATACTACACATGGAAGTCCTGTGCCTGCTGGATTGATTGATTGATTTTCAGATGTGCCATTTTTACCATCACAGATCAGATATCCTCGATGGGACAGATTATCGCGGCAAGCTCCCAGAGTGTATGCAAGATCGTGTATCGTATGTGGTTTCTTCTTCATGTACTCTTGTATGCCCGCAAGTCGTGACATAAGCGCTGGTTTGCTCTGAGCTGACACGGCGAGAATGCGAGGGATGAGCGGCAGGTCTATAATTTTTCTATCGGTATCATCGATATCAGGGGCTGCTTCCAAGATGGCCTGTGTATTTTGTTAGCCAAAGCATTGACATGGGGATAGCCACACTGACATGGGCGTTACTCCCTCCAATACCAAAACAGTTCACGCTGACGCGTTTCTCGCGATCGAGGGGCCAGGGAATGGGATCAGTGGGGACCTGAAGCCCACCTTTTTCGAACGGAACTGAGTGACGTGTGTTAGAGATGCGATTTCATGAGGAAGTCATCGGGTTTTTACTTCTTGGGTTGGGACGCATAAAATGCAGATTCGGGGGGATTGTGGAATGTTCCAAGGCCAACACGGCCTTGATGATGGCCGTCAACCCCGACGCACCCTCACCATGTCCAACGTTTGATTTCACCTAAGTGGAGATATTAGCACAAACAAAAATATGCTGTTGGAAATAGCTGCCTCTTACAGATCCGATGAAAACGCCCTTCCCCTCAAAGGCCTGACTAATGGCAGTTGTCTCCACGATATCCCCCACTTGTGTGCCGGTTCCATGACACTCCACAAAAGCTGTTTGCGAGATATCACGAATCTGAGCTCTTGAATATGCCTCTCGGATGAGCCGCTCTTGGCTTTTCACATCCGGTGCGTAAAACTTTGCTGTCCTTCCGTCATAATTCGCGGATGTGCCTCGAACGATGGCCCGGATATTGTCACCATCTGCGATCGCTTGATCTAGAGGTTTGATAAAAATAGCATTTACCGCTTCTCCACGACCGTAGCCGTTTGCACTTTCATCAAAAACTTTGCAGTAGCCGTCTGGGGAGAGGACCATGTTCTGGGACATGTCGACGCTTGTAGAAGGCGTTAACAGCATGTTAGTTCCTGCCACCACAGCTGAGGAGCAGCTTCCACTGTAAAGAGCCTGGCAAGCTTCATGCAATGCAACCAGTGAGGATGAACATGCAGTGAGAATGGTCGCACTGCAGTCTCATATTAGGAACTAGTAGTCATTTTGGTTAATGAGGACAAATACCTGGGCCCTTTTAAGTCAAACTCGTAGGAAATTCGATTTGATAAAGTGAAACCTCCGTTCGCAAATGTATGCACGCGGGGAATGTCCTGCGGTTCTTTGGCTGTCAGCTCATGCCAGTCCTCTCCAAAAACTCCCACATAGCATCCGATCTGTTCTCCTCGCCAGTTGGTCTGTCCTGCGTTCTCCATGCATTCCCAAACCACCTCCATGAGCGACATTTGCTGTGGATCGAGTTCGGAGATGTTGAAACCTGGTATTTCGGCAAAGAACGACTTGTCAGACTTCTGCGTGTAATCGTCACTGAGAAAATAACCGCGTCTTGTCTTCACTGATTGGGGCTTGTCGGGATGATAGAAGGCATCAATGTTATAGCGACTCTTTGGAACTTCAGAAGAACAGTCCCGTTTACTGATAAGAAGATCCCAGAACTCGTCGCCTGTTCGAACATCTCCAGGAAGTCGCATCCCCATCCCAACAATAGCGACCGGTGGAACGGCTGGTGCTTGAACGGTTCTATCTTTACCACATTCTAAAGAGCCGACATGTTTTTTCTGCTTGGTGTTGGCATTGTCCATCGGTTTCCCTTTATCAATATTTAGAGTGTACCTACTATCGATGGATTTGGATACCTGATTCTGTCTGGTTTGGTTAAACCGGTCGCAGTCATTTTTCCTTTTCTTTCGATCTCGCGGTGCAAATTTGAATGTTGAGTTTACAGAGCTGAGAGAGCAAACGCACTAGGAATTCGATCTAGTAGTGGTCACAATTCTATGATTGTAGATCACATATTTTCACTCCATACCCCTTGCGTAGCTCACGCAAGGTCGAAAAATCGCCTCGGACCATTATGTGATCATTACTATTTACAGATCAGGGGGCTCGTCAAATAGCGTACTAGGATGCTTGATGTAAGGTACGGGTTCCAGTTGGGGGAGGTTACTACTTATGCCAAGCCAGGGTACCCACACTAAAACCGGCCACGGTGACCTCCCTCAACTCCAGTACCCTGGTAACAATTCTGTTAATGTGGATCCGCCAAGCCTAAGCTACTTTTCAATTACACTCGGTAATGCATTTACTATGAAATACTAGATACTATATAAATCTGTATATCTTCCATGGTTGAATCGATGGTAGGCTTTATATACTAATAAGTATTCATTCACGAAAAATACTCGAACTTCTATGCCAAATATCATCAAGATTAGGCCTTGCTAACTATGCAATTTATTGTACTCGGTTGTTTAAAAACTATATTATTACTAGCGCAAACTGATCGGCGGGATTTACATTGACAGAATTGTTGCCAAGGGGGGTACTTGGGAGAGGTCACCGTGACCATTTTATTATTATATAATCAAGGGGTTTTCCGTATTAAGTTAACTTAGAGGCTTAGCGTAAACCTACCACACTAAACCGCACCCTTTATTCTACATAGTATAACATACATTGTAACTACAATATATAACTACATGTCACCAATCCTACTACAATATACAATGTAGTGGGGGACTATGTCCCCCACTGCACATTAGCCTTGCCTGCCTTTCTTTTTGGAGTTTAGTTATGTAAATACCGACGTGCAGCCCTGGAGAGGTTTAAAGTAGCAGATAGTTACAGATTGAAAATACACACTCCTACACCTCTCTGAATTCACTTCCTGGACTGATGTCCCAGTTCTCTTTGTATGCTTTGGTTGGTATGAAGCTGAATTGCGAGTGCTGAATCGACCCGTATGCCAGAGAGCATACTGCCTTGAGCGTTCCCCTCTTCAATATTTACTTATATTATATAGAATAATCAATTAATTTTTGATTCTACTTGCTATAATATATTTGTATCTTATAGAATAGCAATTTATTTTATTTTCCTCGAATTTGTTAATATTTGTAAGTGGTTAAATGCTAAAATAATAAATATATATATTCCTTACCACTACTCCGTACTACTACTCTATTCCACTACCATATATACTACTACTAACGTTCGTTCTCTAATATTAATATTTTATCTTACTATTTACGTTTTATTTATTATATTCTTATAATAAGAAAACATATATATAATATAGAAGGGTGTATTATAAGGATACATATTAGTATATTATGTAGTTATGGAAGTATAGGCGGACCGAAGGATTAAAAGGGGAGACACAAATAAAAGTCGAACAGAATATTTTAATAATAATAGTTATCGGAAATAAAGTGGTCACTGTGACCTCCAAGTCCACGATCTGAGGGAGGTCACCGTGGCCGAGTTTACTGTGGGCACCCTGGCTTGGCATAAGTAGTAACCTCCCCCAACTCGGTGCGTGCCCTGTAAGGTAATGACTTTTTGGCCTTCTTTTGTCGCCCTACCTTATAAGTTCTTCTAGAAGCCTATTGCAATACTTTCAAATACTATAGCGTCCAGGGTAAACTACACTTGTTATCAATATTTCGTTAGTGAAATCTAAACAATTACTGATATGAGACCTCGGGAGTGTCAAACAGATTAATGTTTTATTTAGTAGTAAAATAGTTTTTTGAGTAGAGGATAAAAACAAAGGGGAGTGATGTTTTCGTAATTCTAAACCAGGAATGCAAAGCCCCCTGACTTACGTTTCCAGCAATTTGATCCCTCTGGTTTGTGTCAGAATGCACAGGTCAAGTTGATAATCAATAATTATACTTCATATGAACTCTGGAGAGGATTGACGCTCGTACTGACAGGTTGTACTTCAAGGATATGTACCTTTAATGAGCCCAGTGTCAAGATTAATAGAGAATATTGACGAGAATCATCTCCACATCTTTTTCACAAGCCGTCTAGGAGTCCTTTGAAGGCTTATTTATCTGCTAGGTAAAAGAAATACCTTAGTCTAATATGTGTGAAAGGCGGTTCATCGTAGATCTACACCTTTCCGGATATTGCCCTACGGAGATCCCCCAAAAGCGCCCGGACTTTCGTCGTTATATTGCGATGATGCAAGCATTTCAGCATGTCGACTATCGATAGATCTCCTATGGGAATGCAATAAATACAACCTTGGGAATAACATTCCTCCCTACGTGGTATCTCTAGGTATCTTGATCGGTCATCCTCCTCCATCGTCCAGTGCTCATAGGTATTTAAGTTGCCCTATCTGCCCCATTGTTCTTTGTTCATCCTTAGTCCACCATTTATTGGCGCTTCAACTCCATTTTTCGCAACCTCCTCACCACCATGCTGTGGACTAAAGTCAACATGCTCCTTGTGAGCGGCCTCTGTGCACTGTCACAGGTCTCAGGCGCGGCAAATGTTGCACAACAGATCGAATACATGGATACTATGACCGAAAAGATCGGAGCCGCGAGAGACTCGCTGAATAACTACAGCGGCGGTATCCCATCCTCGCTTGGGGTTGCCAGATCCATCATGGTTGCGCAAACATCCACTCGCGAAGCCCGCGAGAAACTAGCGGACGAGGACAGAATGACAGCTGAAGAAGGCAATCAATACTATGATTCCTATTCGCGAATGGTCCCTGTCCTGCTCGATGCTATTCACTCTGCTAAAGACAAGGTTTGTTTTTATGGTTCCACAAACTTTAATTTTCGATTGGAAATGCTTACGGAACTCTTATGTAGGCCCCCCTTTTCAAAAAGGCCGGATTGGGCCCTGAAGCTCGCACATATCTGGGCAATCTGCACAGCGAAAAGAGACTTTTTTGAATCCGAGGCCAAGAACAAGGTCCCGGAGGAAACCTTTCGCAAGTCTCAGCCTTCGATTGACGAGATCAGCACTGCATTCGACGAGGCAGATCGGGCATTACAGTGATTGGCATTTGACTAGCCTAGGTGGATAGTGCGGCTCGGTTTCACACTTTGCTTCTAGTGTGCCCGAGCCTCGTCGTGAGTAAACAAGTAACGAGCCAATTGTGGGCTCAGCAGTGGTCAATCGGTCCTCTTAATGCACTTAATTAAAGTTTTGTTCTCTGCAACAGATTTCCACCATACTGTTATAAATTCCGTGACCGTTCTGTAGAAACTTTCTCTATTCGGAGTTAGGACCAAGACTGTGCCAAGCGAAGGACCAATCTCGATATAGCGCTATGATATTACGAAGTACATTCCGGGGAAGACAATAAGTTTTCAACCATGTAGGCCTGGTCATATGTCAATTGATCCTACAAACACATCTTCTCGGGAGCATTGATCAGGCCCCAGAATTTCCACCATGCATATTATGTACAGCTCGGTTTGTAAAATTTGTAAACAGATCTCGAGCAAGCCGAGGTAACGAGCTGTTGAGTATGCCTGCGAGGAATCCACGGGGAGTAAATATGCCGATCCATGAGGAACAATGTCTCTTTACAGTAAACTCTAATATTGCAAGGAATGATGGTCTTGGAAGGAACTAGACCCTTGTTGAGTTCCCCTGTCCTCATACTTCCAGCCACCCTTTATCCAACGAAAGAGCAATTGCAGAACTTCAAGACAAAGTACTCAGCCTCACTTAATTTCTAAACACCAGTTAATAATCTCTTCAGAGACACCGGCCCCAGATCAAGGCCGCAGCTACGCCTAAGCCTAAGCCCACGGGAAACTGATAGCACCACCCCTCCGGCGCCTAACGATTCGCACCAAATTGGTACATTCGAGGATGATGCCATCCCCGTCTCGCTGGCGGATGTTATGAGCCTTAGTACAGTTTTTGCCCTAACGGGGGTTTCCCTGTATTCTAGTGTGAATGCAAAGGCAAGGATTTATATAAGGTATGCGTGAGAATTATTTCTCGGCATTGTTTTGATGTTAGGGGATGTTCGAGCCTTGGAAATGTCTAATTTTTGGATAGCCCGGGTTTTCATATCGTCAATCAATTGCATCTTACACTATCATTTAATCTTCTCCCTTTATTATTCCTGATAAAGTAGGATTCCAGAACAGATACGAATTTATAGATAAGGGTGAGGGTACGTCGAGAATCCAAATTTCTAGATCTTCTCTGCATCTTTTCGCTATAATAATAATAATAATAATACAAGAATAGTCGGCCGTTTATGCGGCCTTCTAAGGTGTTTTTTGGTAGGTAGTCTTGTTAGATATTGTCAGATGTTCTTTTCAAATATCGTTTTTCCCCCTTATTAGTGTTGTGGCTAGAATATAGGCGGTGAAATTGGGAGGAAACGACTTTTCTATGTATAAGTTTCGATGATTGATTTCATAATGATGATGATATATAACTATGCTCTTCATATGTTCACAAGCAAAAAAAAAAACATACAACAGTGAGGATTCGCTGGTGGTCACCCACCCAACTACTAACTCACCGGCGTGTGGCTTAAGTACGGCTGAGCGGACGGGAAGCCCTGTTTTCCACACCCTATGGTCGTATGTATTATCTTAGGAGGGACCAAATATCATGAAGTAAATAATTGGAAGTGGTTGGTGTTAGATAGCTGCCCAGCTGGACATGATTGGTTACTGGCTAATCCTTGCAATCCTTAATCCTGCTCTAAGTTACCCCCCAGGCCCCCCCCCCCCCCAAAGTAACCCGGGGGCCGGCCGGCTAAACTTCGGGTAATCCTTCTGTATAAGCTTCTAACCTGCCCTAATCTCTGCCCTCGCCTTTCACACCATATCACCTCCGAGAAAGATGGGTACATGTGAAGAAATACGAGCGTCCTCACAAGATCGGTACTCTGGCCTCATTCTATGGATGAAAGCAGCATGCATACGTGCCTACTTTTACGTCTTTGCTCGCTACATTGCGTATAGATTTGGAATTCCGAAACCCGACAAAATCAAAGCGTTCAGGTCACATCCAAAATTGCAGAATCGCATCTTCTACCCTCCAGATTATCGAAAAGGAGATAAGCCACCATTGCTTTTTGGGGATTTATCATTAGCGAACCTTGTATCGACGATGGTGATAATGACCAAGTTCGCAGGGAACTTGGCTGCATTGTCATATCCTGTGACTACAGCAAAGCTCCTATGGCTAAGTTCCCGACCGCCACAAATAATATTGTCGATACAACTCTAGACGTCTTTGCCGATCCCGAGTTGACTTTCGACGAACGTCGGGTAGCCGTTGGGCGCTATTCTGTAAGCATTTGCCACTCCCAACACGCGGGATAATTTACCTTCTCATTGAATAGGTTCTAGATTAAGAAATTTGTACACTGACTCTATCACAGGCAGGAGGGAATCTCGCGATTTCAGTTACACAAAACCCTAAACTTCAATTGCAGCAGCAGTCGCCTGGTACCCAGCCACCGACTTTTCCGACAACCCGGCCCCCAAAGCTTGCCTCCGTCCGTATGACTCTGTCGGCGAAGTCGATCCACTTTTAGCGCAGATTCCTCTAATAAGAGAAGCGTACCTTGTTTCGGGCCAAGATTGTTATGATTCGCGTTTGAGCGTTCTGTTTACCGACCGAACACATCTTCCGGATCGCATTTTGATTTTCGGGGCTGAGCATGACATACTTTGTCACGAAGCTTGGAGGATGGCAAGAAAACTCGCGAATCGAGATGAAAAAGTAGACTGGAAAGCAAACCAAGAGATAAAACTTGCATTTGACGAAGATGGGGTTAGATGGAAACTGATAGCAGGAGCCAAGCATGGCTTCACACATTTTGCAGGACAACACGGGGATGCTGAAGACAAGAGGATGGCACAAGCTCAACACTGTTTCGAAGATTCCAAGAACCTCATGCTCGAGGGTCCATTTTCAAAATTAGCGAGATAATTTAAAATCCACCCCCTATTTATGGATGTATCGCACCTTGATATCATCATAAGCGACCGGATCGCAACTACCACCACCACCACCACTACGATCCCTAATTGAGGAATACACGAAATTAGAACAAAGGTTTTTCAAGTATCTTTATTAGCTAATTTACTTTGAAGAGCAATAACTAGATATAGATCCTGCACAAAGACACTGAAATCAACACAAAAGAAAACAAAGAAACAAAATCAAAGAACAAATTTGAGGATAAAAAGGGGGAGAAATCGAGAACTAATGTCCATGAACCGGGCATTGATCATCACCAGGTCCATAATCTTCATCACGTCTATGCCTGTAACAGTTCATATAATGGTCGTAGGTCCCCTTTGGGAGCCGTCTCTTGCGCTCAAGTCTAAGCAACAGGTAACAAGCCCATAGTTGGCAGCTCTGTAGTGGAATCTTTTCAGCCTCTTGTATGACAATACCACTATCGGCTTCATGAATTCTACCGAGATAGTGTGTGTGTTCGACTGACTGGCTATCAAATCTTTTGCCAGGTTCTATAGCCAATGTACGATGACCCTTGTAGCCAATGCTGTGGAGCCGGGTGCCACGGTCAGCACCTGTATACTTCATAACGATCATCCAATGGATGGCACCGTCATCCCCCGGGTAGCAAATTTGAACGTAGAGCTCACAGTGGCCGTAATGGATTGATCCTTGACTAGGCATGGTTGCGATATGGAAGGTTTCTAGAAGATTGTTTGTTGTGATGATCGAGTTTATTCCGAGCGAGGACTTGATCATTCTTATAGACCTCTGTCGAGTCCATCAACTCGTAGTTTATACAATGGGTTATAAAAAAATCCTTCGTTAAGTGCAGATTAATAAAACCTCAGTCTTGATCACCCGAGTTCCTTTACAAAGACTTTCTATAATTCTTCACAAAGGCTTTCTATAATCTCTTTCACTAGCCTAAAATAGCTAGCATTATGTCTTCCTAAATTAGATGACATTGTGTCTTCTTTGTTAAAAGGATTGAAAGGACATTTTTCGTGTGAGGTAGAAACAAGTCGAAAATGGTACAATTTTGTGACAGAAATCTGGCAGTACAACAATTTATGGTATACACATTGTAGTGGGGAACATGGTCCTCACTACGTATTAGCCTCTATTAGCCTCGCCTGTCATTTCCTTCTTTTCGCAGTTTTGTTATGTAAGCATTGATGCACTGGAGAGGTTACAAGTAGCAGATAGTTACAGATTGACAATACACACTCCTACACGTCTCTGAATTCACGTCTTGGACTGACGTTCCAGTTCTCTTTGTATGCCTCGGTGGGTATGGCGCTGAATTGCGAGTGCTGAATCGACCCGTATGCCAAAAGAGCATACTACCTAGAGCGTTCCCCTCTTCAACATGTATCCCACAGATATGTAATTCTCCAACTAAAGTGACAAGAACGAAAATTCAAGGGACAAACTGACAAAGCATAATATGTGTGGGATTCGCTAATTCAACGTCCTATGATTTTCCGGGTAGAATACCCTATATTTAACCATATATTCAACTGTAGTGTTTGACACATATTTAGCAGGTTCCCGTGTCACTACTTAGATTTTCCTTTGCGCTTTTAATCAAGAATTATGTGTCCTCGACTAAACATCCAAACTCCGCATACCAAAATACTGATCACCTTTATACGGTGGCACCTCGGACATAGTATCAAGATCTGTCTGAATACTGGCAATATCCAAACCCCGAGTCAACCTTATGAGCACTAACATTATAGAATGCTGAAACGCATCGAGGTTGCTCCCCCCTTAGTTCACATCGTCATACTCAATGTGTAGAAAAAAAGAACCATCTCTCTGAGCACAAAATTCCATCATTAAGTTGAACTTTGCGCCCTGACACCAGGTCATCAGTGGCGCTACCCCGGAACGTCAAAAATTCGGACCGCCGGATAATCATGGAATATCACAATGGCCTCGATGAAAGGGACATTTGGGTGATCTGGATGAATGTCGAAATGATATAGAAGAGCGTGCCATGGGATGGCGTGGGAGAGAGAATCTCGGCTTGATTATTGCGTATCGCGTACATATGTGATTCCAGTTCCATCGGAAGGGGCACCGATGCGCATAGGTAATGGCTCGAGAAACAGGCCAACTACATCAAGGTCGTCCAGCCCTCGATTGAGGAACGGCGCCCCCAATACCACTGGTTGATATGAGGGTCAATTTTGACGCAGGCATAGTGAAATAGCGGTGAGACAGAGCTGGTGGAATTTAACTCCGTGTTGTATACTGTATTCTGTTATGTTGTACATGACCTCTTCGGGGAGCTTATACACCCGGGAAGTTCCATGGAAGTTGGTTCGGTTCGGGGTTGGATACAAAGGCAGACCACGCAAAGAAGCATCCCAGAACTCGAGATCATCTGAAGCGACAGGCTGATTCCAGCGTGTGGTATCTTTAAATCGTAGGGTCACTGGTGGGAGGCGACCGCCCTTGACAGCCAGTTCCACCTCTCGTAGTACTGTCTGGAGAGATATCAAGTGTGGGATGATGTGAGAAGCAACCAAGAGGAGCATATCGAGTGAGAGATAGATGCGGATGGGAAAACCTTTAGAGAGATCGAAGTTGTAATTGATTGTTTGTTGGATATTAATATCCGAGACATAACGTACTTTAGGTCACAAACGACTCATAATCCGAACTTACTGCGACCCTTGTGCGCAATCAAGCGATCGGAAAATATCGTGTCGCGCAATGACAGTATTCTCCATGCTCGGTCTTCCTCGTCCAAGCCCAAAGTACCGAGCCATCATCTGACCCTCCGATTCGGGGCCCTCCCACTCTCCTTTGTACGCCGGACTTGGGGGATTGGTAGTCCAGCCCACAGGAACGGTAAACTAGCAAGACAAGTGATGTTAGTGACCCGACTCAAAGCGTGGTAGGCAACTGGGATATTCTTACTAGTGGTAGGGAGGCACTATGAGCGGGCAACTCGGTGCGGGACTCGGTGGGTGACTTGGTGGGTGGTGGGCGAGGTGGGCCTAGGTGGGTTGTCCATCCAAAAAGAAATCAGCGACACAACTTAATCCAGTAGCAGAGTGCGGTATACTCACAAGTACGGTGGACGTCTTGGAGGGAGGCATGTTGGTAAGAAATTGGGTGTTAGGAGAGGGAGAGATGGATGATGAGATACGGGCAGAGAAATGGAATAGCGATGAGACAAGTCAAAAAGAGGCTCTCGGGTCTTGCTTATGAGATTAAGATGAAGTCCTTATGGGGCGATATACGATAAATATGGTACAGATCCACGTGGATCCCGGGAACGGTAATAATTAATGACATTGTTCTGCCAAGTTTGGGTATCAGTCATATGCTATATAACATTCGATCTGCGATGGCACCATTCATACTCCTGTGACCAGCTTTCTCCGTGTATTCAAAATCCCTATTGTCCGACTCACTTCCCCTACTCTGCTACAGGACACCAATCATAGTTCCCATTCTCGTTGTTTCCCCACCACGCTGGGAATGGGTGCGAAACTCCACCAGCCCCGAAAACAGCAAATGAGAGGACGAAGAGAACCGTCAGACTAGCGCCATCAAAGGCACCCGTAATCAGATATGAATAGTCCTTGAAAATTCGCGGTCGGTAGTTCCGGAGATAATACTGAACGTAGAACCCGGCAGTGATCCAGGTGAAAATGACGCAGGTCTGGGTTTGGTTGTAGGGAATAAATCCGGCGTATTGGATGAACTGTGGTAGATTGATATCCGAGACGTCAAACTTCCCAATTTTCGGCACAAACTAAAAGTCAATCAGGCGTCAGCTTCAAGTAGAGTAGGGAAGATGTGGGAATACTTACGTGATAAAAGATACGGTGAATAACCACAGCAGCAGCGCCAGCGGCCAGACCTAGAGGTACAGCCCCATATGGGGTACCGACCTTATAGATATAGGGAGCCAGAGCCCACGATGCGGCATTGGTGTTGTAAGATTGTATAGTTGCACCACTCCAAGAGGAGTTTCCATTACCATCGACGAGAAGATCTCGATTGCTTGACACAATAGAGCTCATAATGGCGTAGTTCACGAAGCCACCAAGAACTGTTCCATATATTTGCGTTAGGAACATGATACGAGGAGGGATTTTCACTAAAAGATAAGTTCAAAACAAATGTCAGCTTGTAATCAAACCTTGGAAATAACGGCAGAGATACTCACGGTATTCGCCCATCTTCAGATCATTGGAAAGATTAACCGCATTTGAAATGACGTTATGCGACCAAGCAGCGAAGTACATGTTACCTATCGGGCGTCCAGGAAGGATGAGTCCAGCCAGCATTTTTGACAAATTATTGGTAGCAATACCATTGCCGTAGCGAGAAAAGAGGATGACACTCTATACCACGGTCATAGTCAGCGTTGCTGTATGAATATCAGTATGGAGGATATTGTACTCACAAAGGGGGCGATAATGCATCCTAGCAGCAGTGCGATAACATATGCCCAAACTGACAAGGTGATGTTCTCTTTCACAGTCACAATGATACCGAGAATAAAGCTGCCAACAAGGACGATGATATACCACCACCACGGAGCCTCTTTATAATTCTTTGCCATGTGCGAATGGTGTCTATCATCATATCTACCCTCTCTCGCGCTTTTATATGCCCGCCGGATATCCTTGCCCCAGAATATGAAGCAATGAACGATCAAGGCACCCATTGCTGCGTTGGCCATGAAAAGCGCGAATGCGAACGTTCCAGTGATCCTCGGCAAGCCATTTTTAAGAAGGGCGGCCTCGTCGAGGACACCACCGGGGAAAACTTCCGTCAGGGGGTATCTGGTGCCTTCGTTTGTAAGCAGTCTCGACGACATGAATGGGAGTGATCTCGAATTCCAGCCATTGCCGTAATATATGCCAATCATAATAATAAAACAGGAAAAGAGTCCGACGGCTTGATGAATTTGTAGTTTGAGAGGGAGCGAGGTTTGGAAAGATGTGAGCTGCTTCTGTTAGATGACTTGCTAGATCAATGTGCGGGTATAGGGGGTATCATCTCACATATTGCCAATCGAATGAAAACGTGAACAGGCCAAGGCCCTGATTGTTGGTAGCTCCACCGAAGATATTGTTGAGTACGGCAGCAGTTTCACCAGTGGCCTTTTGTGCAGCCAGACACTATAAAGTCTGAAGTCAATAACTTTTGTTCCGATGAAATTCCCATAATCAGAAGGATTTATCCGAGACCAAGACGAGAATGAAATAAGCAAACCACGTACAGGAATGGAAACAGAGTTTAGCCACGGGAAGATGTAGGCAGGAATAATCTCGTATATCGACATGCCAGTGAATGCATACCAGAAGTATCGAAGCGGTTTCGAGTTTTTGACTTCCTGCCAATGAAGTCCCTGGAGAGTCTTGACGGTAGGCAAACTACTCCAGTAGACTGCCTCGGTGTGCCAGACAGCAATAGGACGCAGAATTCCGCAGATCCCGTAGCCAAATAGGCCGATGGAGATAGTACTCAATATCACAGTTGCAGCGCTCAGGGGAAGATTGTAGAATAGATCCTGTGCTGCAAACACAGTTGAGGTAGGCGCAGCATTCGAGGCCGATGTAGCAGTGATTGAACAGATTGCGTGCTCTTTCAGACTCCATGGCCCATTATTAACAAATTTGATCACCTTGATCAACCAAGGTAGGTTTCCCTGGCCACCTTTCGCCCTCCAGCGAGCTTCGAATTTGTCGCCACGGGGAAGAAATTTAGCCCAGGCATTACCGATGAAGTAAGAGATGAGCACGATGAAGGTTCCCTGAATCGTAACCAGAGTCGGTTTGAACTATGGATCGAGTCATTAGTGTATATGCGGGAAATAAATGGATTGGAAGTTACCTGATAGATCTGGTTCATCACAGCCTGGAAACACGCAAGGCCAGACGCAAGTAATATACTGCGAAAGGTTAAGACATTGTCAAAGTCATCTCGAAGAGACAGCAGATGAAGAGCTGCGTCAGCACCAGTACGGATGATCGCATCCGGATTGCTGTCGGAGTCATTGTCATCGAGTGAATGCTCATCTTTGGTAGCAAGCACAGTAGCAGGGGTCTTTTCACCGATGGCTTCCTGGCTAACCACCGAGATATCACTGGTCTCTACCGGCGACTCGGGCATACTTGGAGACATATCATATAAATGACTCTCTGTTCCAAGGGGGTGGGGGTATGGCTGTAGAGCTGATCGCGCATGTTTGTTCCTAGGCCCTACGGACCTCTTATAATCCAATATCGGAGAAAATAGATTGTTATCGGACCACGGTGGCGAGTATTGTTATGATACCATGCAGCCTTAAAATGAGCCACTATGCTTGAAGCCACAGAACAGTATTTGTCTCACACCTCAATAAAAACCAATTGAGCCCTGATATTTTTTTTTAAGAGTCGCTATTTGACCCCGATGGTAACATTTCCCCTAAGATGTTAACATACCAGCCCTAGAAAGCTCGGACCCTTCACTTCCCATTGGGTTCCATAACGCCCGTCTAATGTTCCAATTGATTTTTCTTCAGGTTAGCAGCATTCCCAGCCCTAGAAGACTCCAGCCCTAGAAGACTCGGGATTGTTGTAATATATGTAAAATAATACCAGTATCCAAGCAGAATACAAAAAACATACACTATCATATTCAGTGAGATCCCGCTGTGCGTATCCACCGAGTTTTGGGGGCATTCTCTAGATAAGCTACGGCCTTTGATGCTAATTTGTTGGAGTTTTGGCGCTAACCTATCGCGTTGTTTGTCCGATCCTTGCGCACTCTTTTAGCCAATGCACGCCACTTTGATTCCGGATTACCTGGAAAAACCCCTGCTTTAATCAGCTGGTAGCCACTTGGCAGTCGGAATTCCGACGGAACACCTATGCTAGAATCGGCTCCCCGGAGCTAGGGTTGTGGTTTCCTGCTTTTTTCCGGCCTTGTGCTCAGATGTGATGTTCGTTCGGCTTTTTTATTTTTTTATTTAGAGTTCTCGGTCTGTGCCGAGGCCCCAGACAGTCGACAATGGGGAAATGAGTATTCGCTATTTTTTCCTTCGCGCGCTTCGCGTCCCCGTCCTTCTTTCTCCCCGTCCGGTTTCTCCTCGAGCCAATAGTACATGGTTGTCTCTCTTGAACTACTAGTAGTGTTACTCCCGACTTTCTCTAAATGTCGTTTTTGTGAAATTCAAGTGAGGTCAAATCAATTTCACAGTCAAATAAACAGAAGGGCTATAGGCCGTTTCTTATTCACTCATAACCAAGCATTTATCACAGAATTGATTAATTAGGCTAAAATGCCATTGAGTTTGATTAAGCGTCCTACTAACGATTACACCACAGCTTTAGGTTACATTTAGCGAAAATCTGAAACATTGCGGAGGTAGCCAAGGCTTTCCTGCCTAAGGCGAATATATCACACGTTCCTGATAAAAAAGCCACCTTTGAGCTAAGTAGTCGCGATATGACATAGAAAGGCAGGCAGCAATTTAAATCCACCATTTCACTCCGAGTTCGCCATAAAATGGCTAGCTTGTATACAGAAATAACCCCAGCAGCGGTCAGGAATGCCAAGGTATTGGGCCTCATGGTCATATCACTTTGCCTGGATGTTGACGATGAAATCAGGGCTTACACCTTATTACTTGCTTAACTCCCAACGGAAAGAAAGTCCAGATCTTTCTTGAGGAGTTGAAAGATATTTACGGGCTAGAGTGGACAACTTCCTTGATAGATATCGACACCAATGAACAGAAGAAACCGTGGTTTCTAAAGCTCAACCCAAATGGTAGGTTAATCCAAAATGCGGGATTGTATAATTTCTTACATATTATAGGGAGAATCCCCGTTCTCATTGATAACACTGGACAACAACCTTTCCCCGTCATAGAGTCATCAGCGGAGCTACTCTATCTTGTAGACATGGTGGATAAAGACCATCACTTGAGCTTCTCCGATTCCAAGGAACAGTCCCAGATGATGCAGTGGCTTATCTTCTGGCATGCTTCAGGTCAGCCTAACCAAGGCCAACTGAACCACTTTGGAAGATTTGCTCCTGAACAGATACCTTGTAGGTAGACCTCTCCAATAAATACTGGCGCAGACAGCGTAGAGCAAACCTTGGAACATTTGATTAATTACTTAATATCTGCAGATGCCATCCAGAGATTCAAGGCCGAGACACTCCGCGTTTACAATGTACTTGAGCTCCATCTTTCTGGAAGCCTGACCTGCCAGCCTCGTGAATACCTTGCTGGAAATGGTCTTGGCAAGTTTAGTATTGCTGATATTAATGCATATCCCTGGATCCGGGGGTGGAAACGTAGCAGAATTTCAGAAGAGGAGATGGAGGGTTACCCACACCTGAAGGAATGGATAGGCCGGATTGAATCCCGACCAGCTGTACAGAGGGGAACTAGTGATATTTACGACGAGGAGATTCATCCTGAACTACTCGTTAGTACTGCTAGTGAATAAACGAATTAGGTATCGAAATAGTCTAGTATAGTGCCAAGTATGCGCTTCCAAGACTTGCCACTCCAGGGGCCAATAATGATATTCGAAATTTAAACCCCTGTACCTTAAAACAGTGTTTTTAGCCGCTGTTGCAATTATTTTACTGTGGGTCTATAATACTCTCAGTTGCGCATAGCTTCCTCATAGTTCTCGTGAGAGACCCAGCCATCGTGCTGAATGACTTGCGTTCGGAGCTTGTCGGATTCGCCATACGCGTCAATCCAAGCGTTTGCCTGTCGTCAACTATGTTCGATATCTTTCTCAGAGAACAAAATTGGGCACGATATCTTCAAGCCTTTTTGCTCGGTGACTTGGTCCAATTTCTCATGAGTTAACACAAGTTTCCTTAGCGTAATCGGTATATTGCTCGAGGACTTGCTGACAATGTGGATTAATAAAGTCATCATATCGTCGTCGCGTGTTATGGCGCGGATAGCTCTTGCTAGGAGCGGGTTAGATTTGTTACGATCATGCATTATCACTTGTTTTTTGCCCACTGGGCTTGCTTTGCAAGCAGTCTTCAATATTGTCATCCCATGGGGATTTGCTTGGTTTGCAAGTGTGGGCTCCCGAGGTCTCCCGGGTTCCCCCCACCTCTTCGCTCCAAGGCTCTCTGTCTTCCCATATGTAGTACTTGGAATTGATGCTTTCTTTCTTTTAAAAACAGCACATAACATAATTCCCTCGTTGCGAGATTGTAAACCTAGTTCCAAGATATGTACTCTCCCTATTTTTCAAGCTTGCGTCTTTAGACTTGACACTTTCCTAGAGCATGGTATTGAAATTCAGGATCAAGCATTATACTGTAGATCTCAAAGTTTATACTATGTTTTAGTATCGTAGAGGGATTCTTCACTGGATCTTAGCTCATTATCCTCCAATCCCTTTAGCAATGCGATTGAACGTTCTCGATGTCCAGGGTTTCCGAGCTGCACCTGAAAGCAACGGATATATGTAATGTTGCCCATAGAGTCTGTGCTGAATAGGGGCTTGTTGTGGACGCCGTGTACATTGATAACTCTTTACACGGTGAGTGCTGGTTGATGGCAACTCGACTAAGCAGTATACCATATCTACTGCAGTGCCGAGGCATGGTATATATATTCAGTGGTATATCACCGGGACTACTGGGAAAAGAAACACAGCATACCAAACTGAGAGACAGGGGATAACTGCGAATGATATTTATATAAGGACATCATTCATATATTTAGTTTAGTCTTCAGGTTGCTTGTGTTTAGTTTTCAATATTCGGAAGACTCTCCCTTAATTATATCTCGACTACACTCACCCTCGGTATTGAGCTATTTTGCGCACTACCTGGCATCGTTCCTCGATGTCCTCAGAAGAATTTAGCCCAATAATGCCTATAAGGCCACACCACGGTCGCAAGACAGAATTGTTGACGTTGGACAACGTGGGAATACATACCAGAAAGCCCCTGATGGGTGAGTTTAACCAGGGCAGATCATACTCTGACTCAGTGAGCATGATTGTGTTTCTCTTTTCCCAGAATTCCTGGAGACACCTGGTATTGCATTCTGCACGTAAGCCGCTGGAAGATATTGGTTGTCTCTCGGTAGCCCATCGGTAAGTCGCGACTGCAAGGGCCGTAACTAATGTATCAAATCAGTCAGTTTTTTGGCCCGAGATAGAAGTGATATTGATGCACTAAGGCACCAAGCCAGTTAGGCCTTGCTTGGTTGCCTGCAGTTAGTCAGACCTCTATCTTTGTCCCCATAGAGCTATATAGAGAGCTCCATGGCAGTAGGTAGATCATCGTCTGCATTAATTTTCTGTTGATCACTTTCTTGCTTCCATTTTGTAGAGACGTAGCTGAACACATCCATCAGATATATAATAGAAGAGAGTACCACAGTCACAACAAGCAGACAGCATCCAAAATCCTGTTGCCTCATGGCCGTTCGGAAGAAACGCTTTAACCAATGGAAGGAATTAACCGACCCATGGATTTGTCAGGCCTAGTCCAGATTAGGTTAGGCCATGTAAGCAACTTGCATTAGCGTACTCTAATTTAAGGTAAGCCAATCACATTCAGGCTTGGCATAAGCACACTACATCTTTAAAAAACCATGTCGCCGCCATGATCGCCCCCATTCCCCATGTCATCAAATATGGTCCCCAACAATGAACGAATTCAACTGATCCGGATGTCACAACAGGCGGCTATCCGGAAACCTGAGGATGATTGGACCGGTACGATAGATCGGACTGAACGGAGAAAATTACAGAATCGCCTCAACCAAAGAACATATCGTACGCTTCCTCCTTGCTCCACTCGCATTATACCATAACCACTGACACTGTCAGGGATGCGACAGCAGACCCAAAGCACAGAGGACAAGGCACAGCTCCACAGCAACAAAGCCATTGTTGTACCACCGAGCTCCACTCCTATTCTGATCGACCGAGATGAAACGGGGTTCACATGCACAATCGCACCCCCCATGCGAACTCAATGATGCAGCAAATCGAGTCCCTGGCATTGGAAAGCTACATTCACAACTCCCCCAACATTGACCACCTCCTCTCCCTCTCCAAACTAAATATCCACCGTGCAATCACCGAGAATACACGCTCGATTGGCATGACAATGGAGTGGATGCAACGTGATGATGCTATCTCCATTTTCAACGCCCCAATACCTGGATTCTCGCTTTCTTTAATACCCCCGAGTCTTCGACCAACAGAATGCCAACGGCGCATTCCTCATCACCCCTGGCTGGATTTCTTTCCCTTTCACAATATGCGTGACAATCTTATAGCCGTCCAAGACATTATTGATGATGATGATTTGTGTCATGATTTGATGGCGTTCTGGGATACGAGAAATACCGGGGCTACTTTGCTGGTGTGGGGTCCTTCTTGGGAGCCGGAAAGCTGGGAAGTCACGCCGGCCTTTCTACTGAAGTGGGGATTTCTGCTCAAAGGTTGTGAAGAGCTAGTGATGAATACTAATCGTTGGAGAGCGAAGAGAGGCGAGAAGCCTCTTGATTGGAAAACAACATTAGCTTTGATATACCGATCGCCTAATGAATAGGCAATTGTATCATATCTCAAACGATTTGAGCTGGCAAATATTTTTGATTTCATCTGCTGAGTGACCATGAAAGTCTGCACCTTTCGATATTTTCCCAAATAAATTTGCTAGCATGGAAGTTATTCAAGACGTTTGACCCAGACAGTTTTGGATTCCGACTCTACCTTGATTTGTCACTCGTTCACACAAACAAGCCCAAAGAGACCGGTGCCGATTTCATTTGATCTTCTTGTATCTCCTGGATCAGTACATTCTGCGGGTAATCCTCCAAATCGAGATCAAAGTATCCATTAGGAGCCCACTTCCTTCCTGAAACGAACAACGAGTGCCCGTTGATATTGACGTCGCCGAGGACCCTCAGCAGGCATTGGCCTGCATCTTCCGCTTTTGCAAACTCAACTCCCACATTGTATACATGGTTGAAATCATCATCGGATAAAATGTTCGTTTTGACGTACCTGATGCCTTGTTAGTAATAAAAGTATGCAACAGTCAACAATATTGACGCTTACCATGGTGAGATGATGTTGACCCGACTACCGTAGAAATGAGCGGTTCTTCTCAATGAGTGCATGATTCCACGCATGGCCCATTTGCTCGCACTGTACTGAGGACTCCGTGGACAGTCCAGGAAAGCCGCACCCGATCCGATCAAAACCAAGGAAGAATCCTCCTGCTTTTGCGATGCTTCTGTGCCATTCTGGCGGATGAAATAATGTGCGGCCAATTTCGCGGTATAAAGAGTACCCCTGATGTTGACATCGATGACGCTCAAATCGGGCTCTTCTGGCTCCTGATCGTCACCAGAGTAAGAAAAGACTTCGTCCAGGCGATGAATACCCGCGTTGGCTATGACATGGGAAATCCTTCCTGTTAGAGAGAAGAGAACAGCTTGGCGAAAAAGGTAGACCTGATCACTCCACTTGGTGACGTCGCAGGGAAAGAATTTGGTCCTTTTGAGACAATACACGAGATGAGCGTGAAGCACAGACATCTAAATCGAACCGTGCACATACCCAGAGAGTTCTTGTTCCAGTTTGCTTCCCTTTTGAACGTCAGGGTCACCGATGCAGACTTTGGCTCTGGTCATATTGTTAGTTAACGCTTCGTTTCTCTGGCATCGTCTCATACCCTGCGGCAGCCAGAGCTCGAACATAGGCTTCTCCCAAGCCATTGGCACCTGTCTTACAATCAGTAAATGCTCCATTTTCAATTGAATGTTCCAATAAACGACGCACCACCAGTGACAATTGCTGTTTTCCCCTTGAGGTTCGCCACATTTATTGGCCTGTTACAATCAACAGGCCCCGTATGGGTGTATTCATGCATTTTCTCGATAGTTTGTATGTAGATCGATAGATACTGAAAATTCGCACGTTTGATAATTGAGACGAAAAGAAGACTTTATAATCACAAATATTTACACATTGTCTTTATGGTCATCGGATATGGGCACACAAGAATTCCGGTGCTAATGCCAGTTGCTTACATCTAAGGTTCAACACTGCTGAGGTCGGGCCCAGTTATACACTCTTGCCATACTACTAGTCACTATAATTGCCGTAAAAATGGAGTCAAATTTTCGGGAGAGATCCACATAGACGTCGGACTAATCCATCTCTAGTTAGGAAGCGTAAGCATACCATCCAGCTTACGTGACCTAAATTGACGAAGTCGAGAATTCCTATATACACCAAGTATTGCGAGCTAGAGTAGTATTCCATATCTTTCAGCTTGCGTTGCTACTCACTCACTCTAGCTGAGGTTTGCTTGGAAGAAGTGAGTGAGTTTAGCGAATGGAATCATATCCGTGCGATCATAAAGGTCAACGTGACCAGCGCCAAAAACCCAAAACAGCTCCTTTGGCTCGCCCGCACGCGCATAAGCATCTTCGCTGAACTCGCGTGAGTGTGCCTGGTCACCGGAGATAAAAAGCATCGGACGTGGCGAGATGGTTTCGATATCGTTGAATGGGTAGAAATTCATGAACTTTGTGTTTGTCGAGAGCGTCGGGTGCGTCGTGAGATTCGGAGTCGTGCACTTAGACGTAAATTGGCCACGCGAGGTTCGGTAGTAGTCATAGAACTCACGGTCCACTGCAGTCGAGTTCGCCGTGAGTATATTCGGAGTGCCGCCCGTGTACTCAGTTCTGCCACCATCCACCTCGATCCAGCGTTGCTGCGCCGCCGCAGCGATGACCTCCTTGCGCTCAGCGAGGACTTGTGACTTCTGTAGTCCGTCTCTGTTGACAGCTCCCATGTTATACATTGATGATGTTGCGATGGCTTTGATGCGTGGGTCGATCTTCGCTGCGCTGATTATGAAGGAGCCGCTGCCACAGATACCGAGACCACCGATTCGCTCACGATCCACGCTCGTCAACTTCTGCGACCCAAGGTAGTCTATTGCTGCACTGAATGCCTCTGCATACAGTTCTGCCGACACGGCATTGAGAGGTCTACCCTGGCTGGCGCCCCAGAATGGCAGGTCAAGTGACACCGTAACGAAGCCTTGTTCGGCCAATTTTGTGGCGTAGAGGTTCGCGCTCTGCTCCTTCACTGCACCCATTGGGTGGCCAATGACAATGGCTGGAGCGGGGGCACTGGGGTTGAGGTTGTTGGGGGTGAAAAGATTGCCCGCGATAGTCGTCTGATATTGGCTTGGGAAGGTGATCTTGTGAACTGACACATTGTCACTGCGGTAGAAATTGTCCGCTCCGTATGACATATTCTGTGCCATAGCTGACATGATATGGGCCATTGCCATGCCAAACGCGGCGACGCTGCCTCCCACGATTTTCATGTTGCTGCTGTTCGCTACACACGTCTTTGCAGCAAGGAAAACGAGAATGCTTGGATATGGAATACCTCTAGATAGGATTTGTGTATGCCTTTATATTTCATAAGATGGGCAATAGGACTGGTACATCGCGATATTGGAGACAAAACCAAGGCTGGCGTCGTCATGCCAAGACATATCGTTGGAAAGCTGATTTCATTTGTGAATCCAGCCAGTTAGGAATCCGCCAAAATGTGGTGCAACTTCCGTGGTTATCTCCGGTGCTGACACCGTGTATGCCAAGATCCATTCCAACCTTGCAAAGGTTGCATAGTTGTGGCTTTAGAGACAGCCTTGGAGAATAGTGGAGAAATACTATGTGTTTCACTAATGCAAGTTGCTTATATTCCTAACAGTAGCGAATCACAATCATGGTTCGCCACTCGGTGACGATCATGCTAAGCCCCATTATCGGTCAGCGAGTTGTTACGAGCATTATCTCAATAATTTAATGCAAGTTACTAAAGATAAATCACGATGAGCTATGCTTGAGAGTCCGAAAATGATTCGCCATCGGCACTTCTCGATACGCAGTAGGAAGCCATGTCTAATATGCCATTAAAGCTCAGCCCGAGAAAATTTCTCTTTACCTGCACGAGAGCTTCGTATTAGCTCCAACTTGGAAGATTTTTCTGCGAGCTTACTCTTACCTCTTTGCGACCACGGATAAACACCACGACGAGTGAAGGACATCACATGTAAGCGGAGCACAGCTTATATAAATTCCCAGCAAGCAACCTTGATAAAACCGAGATACATTCTGGACTTTTTCCAAATTGAGGGGACTGCAAAGACCAAGGAAAATTTAGGAACAGAGGAAATATATCATGGCCCCAAAGGTGGTTCTGACGACGCTAGGTTACACTGCCGAAACAAGCGAATTTCATGTGGACGTAGCGTGCCCACCACTGAATGCATCAAGCTTTGATTATCGAACAGCACCACATCTCCCTCGTCCCATTTGTGTGCATACACGTATTGTGGACAGATACCGGGGCGCTGCAACCGGTAGACAATGTCTCGAATCCGAGGAAGGTCATCGATCGTCGTGCCGTCTGCAATATGTAGCCTGCGGATGGCAGCTGGGTGAATCTGGAGGGCTAGTTTCCCTGTCGCACGGTTCTTCCAGGCCATGGGTAAGACAAGGATTTTGTTCTCATCAAAATCAGGCAGCTCTGACTCGGAAAGTTCCCGGCCTTCCGAATGTAGCCCTAGTCCGTTCGAACGGGATCGAGCCCGCAATATCCAGTTGTAGCTATGTCATCCAGAGTGAGTAAAGTATGTATAATAGCTGTATTCTCTCGGATATCATACGGATGTGGAGCATATTCAACCCTGCTTGTCTGCACAAACTCCTGGTCCTCGATTGACAGCATGTCGAACATCTTTTGACCGCTGACAAATGCAGTTGGTGCTAATGACGCATCCAATGTCTCTCCAGATCCATCATCATACACTATCGTCTGCGAACGGTGCTTAGGCACTTTCACGGCCATCAATGTAGTAACCCTGGGAGGGTAAAGCTCATATAGAGCGGCATCAATATGCCAGCGTAAAAATCGAGTGACCGTGTAGTCGTTTTCATCGGGAATAGGATCGCGGTGTGCCAATCGATGATTAGAATGACGCAGGTGTAGGTCCTGAAGTCCTTCATATGACTCAACAAAACCATTTCCCTTGATCATAACCTCAGGCTGGTGTGGTATTGGCTTCATATGGCGATGGATCGCACTTTGGTCCCCGTGAGCTCTATCTCCGTGGCCATATTGTTGTGCGGTGGGATCAAAGCGCTTATTTAACTCGTATTGGGCCTTAGGAGAGAGATTCTGCTGATTTTTGAACAGGATAAGCTGATTTTGATAGAGCTGTTTTCTAATTATGGAAAATTCCTCATCTGTCAAAGTAGAATACAGTAGAATATGTTAGCGATGGCGCTCTTTACAGGCTATCCAACATCAGTGCTTACCAGTCAAATTTTCTAAACTCACGTTCTCAATCTCCACGCCGAAATCCACTGCGGACCCGGGTACTTTTTATAAAGGCTGGATAATCATTGTGGCTGATGATATAGTGAGTTCCATCAACTGAGAGAGGCTTGCAAGCCAGTTGGGGGATTTGGCTTTATATAGCAGTAGGGCTTGAGATTTTCATTGCAAATTTATTTTTATGCCCACAAACAGCGGTGTAGTATTCTTGCATGATTACCTTAGATTGCATTACGCGTTTCTTTTAGCATAGACTAGGGTGGTGTTCATGTAGTTCGGCGGATTTCAGTCAACGGAATCGTCTAACATATGGTAAAAGTTTACTTAAAATTTACTGTAGCAGTGCCCCGAAGCGGCTCTTTGGTAAACAAAGGGATGGAATGAAGGTGCAACTTTCGAAGTACATGGGTCTCAAGACTGCAGATCTCTATTGCATATGACGCAGCAATTTTGAGGATGCACCCTGGTTCCAGTATGCGTATGGCAATATATAATATTACATGCTTGAGTCCACGTATCATAACCTCGGAATACACATGCATTGTTCTTATATAACAAATATCTCGATTGTTTCCAAGACTCGTGCGTTTACTGATTGTGAATAATGACTAGAGCAATTCTTGCTTAAAACAACCAAGCTTCATCTAGGTAGAAAATATTCAACTTCCTTTTGTGTACATCAGACGCTGTCAAAAGATTTGTCTTCTGCGGGGCAAATATTTAGGTCGCTTGGCCGTTAAACTAAAGCAGTTTCACAAATCCGGTCCACAGACCCTTGGAGGTGAAGATTCCACGAGGATCCACTGCCTTTTGGATCTCCTTTAGCCTTTGCAAGTTGTCTTCGCCATAGCCGGAGAACACCTCCCTGGCTTGCTGAGCCGATGCGTAGTTGATATACTTATACCGGTTCGCAACACCCAGATTCTGGGCTGCCAACTCAATCCTGCGAATGGCGTTCGTGGTCATCTTGTTAATGGCAATATCATCAGTTGCATCTGTCCAGGCTGTGGAGAGCAAAATAACTAAAAAAACGTGTTAGTATTCATAGTAAAAAGCATTTTTGGACACAAGGATGGAGAGGCACATACTGAAAAGAGGTTCATCACGCTCAAGATCGATGCCCAGAGCATTACCGCCTCTTTGCTTCATGGCTGCGATGGCATTCCTTTGCATCGGATAGCAGATGAAGTTGGTCCTTATGCCGGGCACGGCCTTAATAGCATCCACCTCTTGCCGGAAGACTTCGAGGCCCTGTGAGAGCAGGGAGCGAGACGGGGACACGGTCAGTGTAGCAAATAAGTTTCTGCCACACAAGAATTAATAAACAAAGAAAAGACAAATGTCAACATATCAGCACTTACCGAGTCGTACCCATTGCGATAGATCCGTTCGACACCGCGCTCATGGGTCTTATGGCTGTAGTCCTGCTCAATGTAGGGATTTGATCAATTTCGCGGAAGACCAGGGGATTCTGAATTGCCTTCCCGTAGCGCTGTGTGCCCATCAAGGTGAAGTCTTCACTGCCTGAGGCGTAGCTATAGTATAGGTCATAACCCATTTCCTCGTCACTGGTAAGAGCCCTATCTGTGAATAAGTCGTAGACTTTGTCGAGAACTTGCTCCGTCTGATTCGGAGAGTAGGATGTCTGCCCGGTGAAGACAGGGCCTTGGGAAAATGTGCGGATCGTGAAGGCTGTAACAATGGCGAAGTTGTTGCCTCCCCCACGGAGAGCGAAATAGAGATCTTGATTATGAGTCTCGGAGGCGGTGGTAATTGTACCATTGGCAAGGACAACCTAAAAATGTGTTAGCGATAATCAAGTGTGCGGGTAATCTCAAAGCAAAACACACCTCATATTCGAAGACATTGTCCAACGCCCATCCGTACTTGTTCGAGAATGGGGATGTTCCTCCACCGAGTGTAAATCCACCCATACCCACACTGGCCACTCTCCCGCCGACATAGGACAAATTCTGAGATTCCAGGGCACGATACACTTGAATGCTAGTTGTACCACCACCAACACGTGCCTTGCTGCCATTTTCTAGGACCTCAACCTGTGTCAAGAGGTCCAGGTCCACAGTAACACCACCATCAGAATTAGAGTCTCCCGAATTCCTAGAGTGGCCGCCACCTTTCACTGAAAAGTAGCACCAGTGGTCAACGAGGACGTTCAATAATTTGGCCACATCAGAGGCACTGCTAGGCTCAATGCGACAAGATGGGTGAATCTCCTGCTGCTTCGCATCCCAGATGATGAAATTATCATCATCATCAGGGTAGTGGACCGCAGATCCGAAGATCGTGGACAGTCGGGCACACTGCAGATAGTTAATATTGGAAGCAGAGGATTTTTGACAAACATACTGCTTGTTGACAGTTTGCGGGGGCTGTGGTGGGTTTGACAGTTTCCCCTGCGTTTGCCACAGCAAACAGAGAGACCAACCAAACAGTAGTTTGCAACATTGGAACGCAGCGCACATAAAATATAAGATGGTACTTGCGGTAGACAGAAGAACCTTGAAGCTTTCTCCCCTATATCATTGATTACGGGGAGACTTGGACCTTTATATATCGTTTTCTACTCCAACAAGGATCGTCGCAGCCAAGAATAATAACGTCGGCCAAGTCAAGAGTCGGTGCAATTATCGATGCCGGCGGCATCCGACCTGAACATCATTCGATGCCAAGGGAATATGCATGGTTATCGCAGTATCATGAGGTGTGAACTTGCAAGGGGCAACATTCTGTGCAAGAGCGGAGTACTGCATGGCTTAGCCTGAAGCTGCTGACAGTGTATACATCGATCCATGGGTATTCACGGGGAAACTTCGGCTATATATTCCAAGGATATCTAGTTATTCCTAATATGGATAAGCGTCATGCAGGTTGATGACAGGGTGGGTCAACCGGGGCGTGCCATTGGTCCAACCTTGTGGGGTAGTCCCAAGGTTCCGTACAATTATAATTTAGGTATTCTTCCAGGACCTGTAGCTTTCTTCACTCTTCACGCTATCCCTACTTCTTACGGCACCCCTTTACTAGTGTCCCGAATTATTGTCATCAAGGTGCATAAGGAGTACAAAATTGCAGAGATGAATGAACACTCTAAAAAGCGGATCGCTTTACAACCGTTCTCAGAGCGCCTCTGCGCATGGCCGGATGAGGACTGGTCGGGTATAACTGACCCAAAAACACGCCGAAGGTTGCAAAATCGCCTGAATCAAAGAGCTCGACGTGAGTCTAATCCCTACCCTATCACCCAGCAAGCATCAAATTGACCCTAAATACAGGTCTACAGAACAAAGAACTAGCAAAGCCCTTGGAGGACAAAAAGGACCAACATGACATCATCTCTCTCACTGCTAAAGAACATGCTGTTACACGGCGGGCACGTGAACATACATCAGCAACATATGCCGCGATTGACGTGATCTCACACATTCCCTTGGAAGAAATTGAGGATGTGCATATTCTCGACTCCCATTCAATAACTACAAAAATCAAGATGCAATATCTAGAGATGACGGCACGCCAATATCACATGATGGGGTCTCCACGCACTGATCTTCTACTTCACCTGATTCAGTTCAATTTCACCAGAGCACTCATGGAAAACACCACGATCTTGGGCCTCACATCAGAACAGCTACACGACGATGCCATTTCACCATTTAATACCACTGGCCCATGGCAATATGACTTTGAGAGTTGGCTTCCACCCAGTCTCCAGCCTACCATTATCCAGCGCTCTATCCCACACCACCCCTGGTTAGACCTGCTTCCTGTTCCCCACATGAGGGATAATTTGATCCGAGCTGGAGACTTCGAGGAGGAAACCCAGCTCTGCCTTGATATGAAGGGAAGTGGAAATGCAGGCTCGGAGAAAAATGGTATTATTGTTTGGAGCGACCCTTGGGATCCGGCGGGGTGGGAAGTTACGGAGTCTTTTGCTCGTTCTTGGGGCTGGGTTATCAAGGACTGTTTTGACTTGGCCTATTCCACAAACCGGTGGCGGGCAATGCGGAATGAAAGACCCCTGTTTCGTATGAGTTGATCTGGATGATGTGTATCTTCCTGGTATTGAAATGAACATACAAGTCTAGATCGGAAAAGACTCCACTAATTGTCGATCTATGCAGCTTGATGACATGCGTGGGAAAACCAGAGGGGCTATAAGAGCGTAAGTGTCGCCAGGTTTCTTTTATGTAGACATTTACCCGCAACGCCACGCTGCTTATTGGGGCTAAGCAAAAGGAGTTGGTGTGGGAAATGCCGGAATGGCTTCCTCATTATATGCATAAAATAAAACGGTGTTTAATTCGTCTTTGATCTCATCAAAAGGTTACTTTAGTTCTTAGTGATGTGGTACGAGAGCCACGTAATAACATGAAAATGAACGGGGATACTCCATTCGATCAAACACTAACTAGCAACAAGTCTCGAGCGTGATTCCCCAAATTTCTGTGAATTCTCGCTTGATATATTAGACTATTTTGTAATAACATGACTCTCCCCCATCAGTCCAATAATGCAGTCTCATTGATGGCCAATAACCTTCTTAGGCTCATACAGGTCATCGATACTCTTTAATTCTTCGGGAGTAAGCTCGAAGGAGATAGCGCGGACTGCTTCATCAACCCTCTCCTTCTTACTCATTCCCAGAATCGGAGCTGTGATAAAGGGTTTGGATAAGGACCAGGCAATTGCCACAGTCGCCATCGACACACCGTGCTGCTTGGCAATTCTCTCAACCTGTTCGTTGACTTTTTTATCTGCCTCTGTGATAGGCTGGCCAAGGAAACCCTGACCCTGCCCTTCCCCGCGTGTGGTAATAGAGAAATCACACCAAGGCCGGGCCAGAAAGCCCATCGCAATGGGGCTCCAGGGGATGCCACCCATTCCGAATTTGGCACACGCAGGGTACATCTCCCGTTCCTCCTCGCGGTAAATGGCATTGTGAAGGTTCTGCATCGAGATAAACTCCGTCCAACCATGAATGCGAGCGGTATACTGGTACTCAAGGAGTTGATGAGCCCACATAGACGAAGCGCCGATATACCGCACCTTGCCTGACTTGACGACATCATGAAGTGCTTCCATCGTTTCCTTAACGGGGGTTCTGGGATCGAAGCGATGGATCTGCAGCAAGTCGACGTAGGGCAGCTCGAGCCTCTTCAGACTAGCATCGATGCTCTCGAAGATATGCTTCCGGCTCAAACCGTACTGATTGACGTAGCCAGAGTTATCTTTTTCGTCATCTGTCATCGCCATCGGTTGCTCGACACCGCGGCCGACGGGTGCCCATAGTTTGGTTGCGATGACGAGATTTTCGCGGCGCCAATTGTATTTCTTGATTGCCTTGCCTAGGATCTCCTCGGAGATCCCGTTGGAATAGGCATTTGCTGTGTCGAAAAAGTTGAGACCAGATTCGTAGCAGTGGTTAAGTACGGGCAGTGCCTCTTCTTCCGGGATCGACCACTTGAAGCGGCCCTCGGGATTTCCAAAACTCATGCATCCCACGCCAATCGGGGCGATGCGAAGGCCGCTGTTTCCGAGTTGAACGTATTTCATGTTGGCTTGTTCAAGGAGGATGGAGTAGAAAGAAAGAGTGTTGGGTTGGGGGACTCATTCTGAGGACCGATCAGATTTTTATACCTTATAGACGGAGTTAGGGGATAAACAATCTTTACAATTCCTCTGGGAAAACTTGAAATGAAATGTGCTAGTTAGTTATACTCTTCATGCAACATGATGACATGTCGCACCTCATTGGTCACATTTTCAAATTAGTGGATCTTGAGTCATTCCAAGGTTGACTTGGTGTCGACCTCGGCAGTGTATCCGGCGACATTCCAGTGTTGTAGATTTCTGAGTACCTACACTTATATTTCAGAAAACCGTTTGACAATGCAATCAATTCCCAAAAAAGAAAACTGTGAACTAGCCCCTTGCCCATGTGCTTGCCGCCGCGCATATACGACAGGGCGGGCATGGCCTCGTCAAAGGGGTAGCGGGTGATGGGATGGATCGATCCAACACGACCCCATTTATCAGGTCGAATACCTCGCCCAGGAGGTCCCCGACCAGCGTATTGGTGATCTCGCGGGTGTCGGACAGGTTGACAGCGCGGAATGAGCAGTTGCAGTCAAATGACACCATGGTCAGGCTATTGCAGTCGACGATATCCCGCTTGCCGATCTCGGCCATGATGCCTCCATCGGCAGTCGGTTGCCAGGATTTGTTGAAGAGATCACCGGTCAGGGAGTTAAGGATGAGATCCACGCCGCGCCCATTCGTCTCGCGGCGGATCTCTTCGGCGAATCTGGCAGTACGAGAGGTGAACATGCGATTCTCGGGCCGACGAACATGCGCGCCAGAAAATGGCGCTTCTCTTCAGTGCTGACGGTGACGGTGACAAATATGTCGCACTTCTTATGCCGTTCCACCTAGATAGCGCCTAGTCCCACGCCGCCGGCTGCGGAGTGAATTAACACGAACTCCCATTGGGTTTTACTGAGCTATGCCAGCACCGGCTTGAAAAGTTCATTCAGCACTATCACGACCGACTGGGCAGCGCCGTTATTCTTTAAATTGACCGCCAGCTTCGTGGTGGGTACGGTCCGGATCGCCTTCAGTGAGTCTGTGAGCGTCGATGGCAGCGTGGGTGCATCTCATGGAAACGAATGACGTGAGGTGGTGTTTCCGGGGCCTATTGGTGGTGCGATGTCGACCAGGGGTCTCCAGAGATGGTCAGCAGCATGGTGACCGGGTTCGGGGGGTTATACAGAGCACCGAGCCAGATTGGGTGTCCTTGCAGCTTTCGGAGTCTCATCCACACCACGGGCGACTTCGTATCCATGGAGTCCACTGAGGTTATTGAGGCCACTTGCCTGACGTCGTCCATGAACATAAACTGGGGGTAATTCTTTGGGGAAAATCGCTCAAGGTATAAAATAAGCCAGCCTAAAACTCCAACACACTACGTTACCCAGACCCAGGATACAATCTCATTCTCTTTCTCTCTCTGTCTCATTAAATTAATCCCATTCAACAACCATGCTCTCCAACTCCATCTCGCTCAAACCTCGCGCAATCCCGCCTCACACGCAATCCCTGGCCTCCTCACCTCCAGAATCCGCAGCGTCTGCTCAAACACCTTCTTCTGCGCCCGCTGTCCAACCTCCGTATCGGTCCACGCCTCCACATCCTGGTTCACCCCATCGCTCTGAAACTCGCCGTGCGAGCTGGCGGGCGCTGACGCGCCGAGGACGAGAGTGCGGCTGCCGACCTCCGTGGTGCGATCCAAGAGACGCCGCACCAGGCGCATGACCACGGGGGCTTCACCGCTGTTGCGCTCCAGGTTGGAAGTGCATAGCCCAGGGTTGACGATATTGACGATCACGCGGGTGGAGGCACCGAGGCGGGCGACGAGTTCACGCGTGAAGAGGACTTCCATGAGCTTGGTGACTTGGTATCTGTAATAAGGTATGAGGTTGATGTCAGTAACTCTATATTTTCCACCCTTTTACGGGAAAGTGAACCCCCCCCAAAAGAAAGAAGTAAGGCAAAAAGAAAACCGACCTCGGTTGTTGACTAAAACTACTCTTCTCATTCAGCTTCGCATAAAGATCGGGCGCATTAATCTCCGGAAACTTAGTCAACCGATGCGCCTCGGAGCTCACAATCACCAAATGCGGCGGTGATTCCTTTTCCGCCAGCGCGGCACTCGCTTCCAGCTTGGGCAACAGGGACAACGCCAGTATAAAGGTGTTAAGGACGTTGACCTGGACAGCTTGCTCATAGTCCTCGTAGAGCTTCCACTCTGGCGGATTGATGCCGGCGTTGTTTACAAAACGTCCAACCGCGGCAGTTCCGTCTTCACGCGGTCAGCAAATGCCAACGTCGACGTGGTGCTCGAGAGGTCGAGGGACCATATCTCGATGGCTTTCGGATCGGACCGCTGCGGGTTGCCCCGTAAAATATACTCTTTGGCCTCTTGGCCTTGGCGATTGTGCGTACGGCGAGGATCAATCGATCGCAGTGGAGCCGGTAGAAGTGCTGGGCGGCTTCGAGGCCCAGCCCGGAGTTGGCGCCGGTGACGATCACGGTTTGCTTGGCAAAGGAGTGGGTTGGACACTGGGGGGTGACGAAGAACTGCGAGTAGAAGAAGAGACGAAGCCCCGTGCCGAGATTAGGGCTGATGGGGAAGTCCTCCTGATTGGAGGCGGAGGACATCGTGTACGGGGTCGAAATAGATTAGGAAATGGGGAAATTGATGGGATGGTACAAGAGAATCATATGGGTCAGATGTATACCTAAATAGACCCGTTGACGTCGCGATTAATAATTTGACTTCAAGCACCTCAAGAGATTTAGACGATAATCGTAGGGGTATTAACAGACTACCTTGCCCCTTTCACCTACTTTCCTTTTGTGAGAGTACACCCGACACCGACGGAGAGCGGGACAACTCGCAGCCGGGGCTAGAAGACATCCATGATGTCTGACTGGGATGCCTATGGGGCTAACCCAAACCAAAGAAAGGTCTCATGCATGCTTAGCCGGTAATTCGTCATCCACAGTGGGGGCTACACGCAGTATGCTGGCGCCAATGACATTGACGGGAACGGGGTCACCATCGACTCGGGGTTGCTAGATTGGACCCGCTATAACCCCGGCACGGAGTCCGTCGAGATCGGGCCGGGGGCCATTGGAAATATCTGCTGTACGGGGCGCTGCGGGAGCACGGGCGCGTCGTTGCCGGCGGTCGCGATGGGAACGTCGGCGACGGGGGCTTGCTACTCTGCGGGGCTTGCTGTTCATTGGTATACCTAAGTAGGTAAGAAAGCTGACATATTTGGCATGTACCAGAAACATCCCGGGAAACGAAATGCCTAATGCCCACGCAAGCCATGTGCTCGGTTTAGCCTGGTAGTTGAAGAAATCTGTGGCGCCAAATCAGCTACTTCATCTCTTGGCCGAATGCAAGGGACAGGATACGTACACACCCTGCATACCATTTCTATCATCCTGGTAGCCCACATAGCGTTTGCATCGCGACCACGCAGTCAACCTACCTACCTGCTGTAAAAAAAGGTCAAGAGTCACTAGGGTAAGAATCACTCTAGAAGGTGCGACCCTCGCACAAATATTGTAGCTGATCATGCTGCGTCTTACATAGAGATGCACCGTTTAGCTGGTTAAGCGCACTTATTTAATGCCTGGGTCGGCCTTCGCAGAATGGCCAGTTGGGGACATGCTCATTAAATGTACATTTATTACCAACGATGATACCAGCGACGGCTCACAAGCAAGCAAGTCAAATAGCAGGTCCAGCGATTAATGACTATACAAAATTTGACTGTAGATCGATCATTAACAATACAAGCGGCGAACGAACTTTCACTCTTTCCTCCGATACAATTTTACCTCTCTTTCCTCTCCATCTGGGCCCAAATTCCTCCTACCCCTTGGGTTTTCTGTTTTCTTTTTTTTTTTTTTTTTTCTGTTTTTCCTTTCTTCCGTGGTGTGGTGTGTACTTTAATGCCGCGTTACGACTCGGCCAACAAATCGAGATGAAGCGCTTTCCTGTTTGCCTCTCACCCCAAAGCTGCTAGAGAAGAGCTGGGGCAGCTGGAGAACAGTTCAATAGTCTTCGCAAGCTTCTCAGCCAACCGATCAGCTGTGGGGTGATCCATTGTGTCTTCGGCTGCAGCGATCATAATGTCGAGACACGGGCCACGCTCCATGGAAATTACACCCAACTGGCCTTGCGCTAGCTTTGAGCTGGCCCAACTCGAACTAGAGGAGGAGCGGAGGCCGCCCATCTCAAATTGCTCTGCGGTTTCCATACCCTGGTGATGGACGAGACAGCCGAGTTTCGAACGCGCAGGCCAGTTGGTACACCGTTCAACAATGTTCTCGAATGACACATAGTCGTAAGGGAAGGTTTCCAGCTGTTGGTTCTGGACATGCCGTACCAGGTCTTCCACGGTCCACTCCGGTTTGATGTTGATTCGGACAGGTAGGAGGTTGATACAAGGCCCGAGAGCCTTGTCTACATCTGGAAGCGGAGCCCCCCGCCCATGAACAACCTGGCCTAAAACGATGTCGGAGGTTGCGACATGCACGGACAAAACCCAAGAAAATGCGGCTTTGACGAGGGTTGAAAGTGTCGTGTCTGGCAAAAGGGTGGGATGGTTGATCTCTCGTCTTGCGCTGGTGTCATTTTTGGTCGACAGTGGGATATCGGTAATACCAAGAGGATCGAATGCCAGCGCCGGGGCATTTTGAAGATAATTGCTCCAAAACGAGAAGGCCTCTGTGTTGCCGTCACTCAGTCGATTGTAGACCACGTCTTTGAATTGCACGGTCTTTGGCAGAACATGGCCCTGGTAAGCTGTCGCAATTGCATCCCACAGGAAGGGCAGAGAGGACCCGTCATACTGGGCATGTGATATGCTGGCAATGAAGACAAAGTTCTCCCGGGAAACATTTGTCACAACGGTGAAACCAACAGGTATCGATCCTTGCGCTGTGGATGTTTCCCGCTTGCGTTGCGATTCCTGGATGGTGTATGCCTCGGGATCATCACAAACTACGACTTCAAACGCTGGCTCGACTTCCCGTAAGATAATTTGGAACAGCTTCTCCTCAAAGCTCGCAAACACTGTCCGCAAGATGCTGTGGTGGGACATAACTCGCATGCACGCGGAGCGGAGTCGATCAATGTCCAACTCAGCCGGGAACACGTGAGCTGTGTATACGGGTGATGAGTGGGTGATGTAGAATTTTTGAAAGTCGAGAGCAGGGAGGATATCCTCAACATTGTCTGAGTTGAAGGGCCCATATTTTGAGGAGAACGAGGAAAGAATACCGATACGCTCGCCATCTGTCACAAGTGAGTATGGGGAATATTGCCTAGAGGAAGAACTAGTCCCGCAATGGCTGTCCACAATATCGGCCCATTCCGAGATAGTTGGGTGACGAAGAATGTCGTGTGAGCTTATCTCCAATCCCTCAGCTCGAGAGGTCGCAGCAATCTTCATAGCGAGAATTGAGTCGCCTCCAAAGTGAAGGAAACTGTCATTCGTCCCTACTGCTTCCATGGGAACATTGAGTAGCCTGGTAAGAATTCTGTGGAATTTACTCGCGGTACCACTCTCCACAGCCCGTCGGGTTCCTTGTACTGTCGAGTATAGGCGCCAGTCATGGGGTGGAATTGTCCGAATGATCTGGCGCAGTTTTGTTCGATCCATCTTTCCCGATGCTGTTCGTGGCATTTGGGCAACGGGAATAAACAAATCTGGAACCATATATCCAGGAAGATCATTTCGAAGGTCTCGTAGAGTCGCTGCAGCGTGAGAATGGAATTCCTCGCCGGGGATGCGCAGCAGATCTTGATCAGACATATCCTGGGCTTTGGAATTATCAGCTGTAGCTGTTGAATCGTTTGACCGAACCCATATGCAAGCCACAAGCCGTGAAACTACCGAGGGCGATACATCGTTGATGTCCCAGTGTTCGGAGATCATCACCTGCTCGACCACTGCTTCCCTGGCCCCTGGGAAATAACGCCATGCGTGATGCTCTATATCCTCTAGCTCCACGCGCTGTCCACGGACCTTGATCTGTCGATCCTTCCGGCCCTCAAAGCGAAGAGATCCATCAGAAATCTCAAAACGCACAAGATCACCTGTTTTATACAGGCGCGAGTTTAAGCCTTGCTCCGGGTTCACGTCTTGTAGCCACTTTGGTCCCCAAATAAAAGCTTGCGTTGTTCTTTCTTGGTCATTCAGATAGCCATCGCCCACAGACGGGCCGGAAAGAAGAAGCTCTCCAATGGCACCAAGGGGAAGAAGCCTGTTGTGATCATGCTGGTCCACAACCCAGCAATTAATCCCTATAGCCCGTCCAATATTGCGAGGATCATCTCCCGGAAGGAGCCCTGGTGAGACTGTATTGATGACTGCACATTCGGTCGGGCCGTATCCATTAATAAGATTGCAGTTCTCGCCCCATTGGGTGATATGTGTGCTCGACATAGGTTCTCCTTGGAGAGCCACGGTCTGTACCCATGAGGATGCCTTGCTGGCGTCCAGACCACTAGCCAAAGACGGTGTCAAAAACGCATGTGACACAGCGAATGGGCAAATGCCCTCTAACATCATCTGACTTTGCTCAGGCTCGGAGATAACACAAACGGTGGCCCCGGCTATCAGTGTGGTCAGGATTTCCATCAATGACACATCAAATGCGAAAGATGAGATCTGAAGGACACGAGAAGATTTGTTTAATGAGAAGGCACCAATTTGGGCTTCTGCTGCATGCGTATAAGCCAAATGGGAAACCATAACACCCTTCGGAGAGCCTGTGGTTCCGGACGTGAAGAGGATATATGCTGCCTGTTCTGGGTTGACAGTTTGGACAACATGAGAATGTCTATCATCACCGTACTGTGTACACCAGAGGCTGGGCATCCTCTTATCACCGATTTCCATAACTTCGTCAGCGAGATCTCGGGCGAGGGGTGCTTGAGTGGTGGATGATACTACCAGACTGGCTTTCGTCCGACGACAGATGTCGTGAAGTCTGGTAATTGGCTGGGTTGGATCCAAAGGAACGATCGTTCCACCTGCTTTCATCACTCCCAGCATAGCAACAATAACCCAGCCCGACTTCTCAAAGCAAAGAGGTATTAGCTGTGCCATTGATATCCCTCTTTCTATGAGGACTAAAGCCAACTGTGAAGAAAGTTGATCTAGCTCTTTATATGTGAAATTCCCATTTGATCCTGAGACTGCCAAGTGGCCTGGATGTTCCTCTGCTCTTTGCTGGATGACTTCGTGGACACACAAACTCGGAGGCTCTGGAATCCTTGGGTTCCACCGACGGAGGCGCCGTCGGTCTTGAACGCTCAGGAGACTCAAATCCCCCAGTGTGTTATGTTTGTGGGAGATAATTGTTGAAACGGCCAGGTCGAAGTAATCAGCCAACTGTGAAGCGAGAGACGGGGACACGCGTGATGGGCGGTAGGTCATAGCCACTTGGATCTGGCCATCTTCCTGGAACTCGGCGTACATCATGATGTCTTGCTATAGAAGAAGAAGGATTAGAAGTCAAATACTAAAAAAAGATCACATGTAATAGATAACTTACAAGAATTGGGTCCAGTCCATGCAGAGGTGTCAGGTGAAGCGAGGGCCTTTTGTCTTGCTTGGATGGGTCGGTTGAGGTCGCATATTGAACATTGACTGCGGTTGATGCCAAGTCCTCCATGGTTACTCCGGCGGCTGTCGCAATATCCGCCAGCGGGAAGGTTTGATAAGAGAGAACCTCGGAATAGTTTTGCTGTAAGCTCAACGCTATTTGGTCAAAGGTAAGCTGGCTTGCCAAGCGCATTCGACATATTGACATGTTGGAAAATTGCCCAACTTCCTCATCAAGGTGTGGAATAGATATCATTCGTCCAGAAGTCAAGGTGCCAAAGCAGACGTCATCGGCCCCGGTGAAGGCGCCAAGTGTGAGTGCCCATGCCAAATACAGGAGATTGGGAGCAGTCCAGTCAGTCGACCGACAGAAGGTCTCGAGATCGGACCCTCGGTGACTAAGGGTGATCTCCAACAAGTCAAGAGATTCGGGGCATATGTCCTCGGTGGTAGCCCTTGGCGCTGGAAGGCTCACAGGTTGCATGTCTTCCAGATAGGAACGCCAGTATTCGACGGCTTCTTCTCGTGGCTGCTCTTGGACAAACGTGATATACTTTTGGTATGCATTGCTGGATATCCCTCCTCTCGCTGGTTCGGAATATGCACGGCATAAATCACGCCGAAGGACGGCCAAAGACATGGCATCAATAATGACATGATTAATATCAAGCCTGCAAACAACGCGGCCGCTGGGGGTGATGCAAATAGTGAATTGATGTGGAACAACCTGGCCGTCATGGCGGGTCACCGTGGCACAGGATGTATTGAATGCAGGGGGTACTCCTGGTTGATCGTCGTGCACCCCCACTTGAAGCACAACCATCGGAGGTTCGACATTTCGGAAAATGACTTGCTCAAACTGACTGTCCTTGGTAAAGTCCGGTTGGAAGGCAGCTCGCAGAGCAGCATGCCAGGACACCACTTGTTTCCATGCACTCGCTAGGCGATGAACATCCACTGCCGGTCCATCCTGCTGGGGTGACAGTAGATCATTGACTTCCCATATAAAATGAGTCACATAGTTAGTATCATTCCTCATTTGGCTTAACAAAATGCCACGCTGAGCCGGAGTGCAGGGGTAAACTGCTTCCACGTTAGGGTTCTTGGATCGATCAAGCTCAGGCGACTGAGCATAGTGATTGGCAACCTGTAGGATCGTTCTCCACCGGAATAAATCTCCGACTGAGTGGTCGATTCCAACAGCACGAGCCTGAGACGTTGCTTGCAAAGCGGAAATGGAATCGCCACCCAGACGGAAGAAGCTATCTTCCACTCCAATCTGATCTGCTGGGATGCCCAGCGCCCGAGACCAGATGCTTTGCAGTGTACGCTCCGCTTCCGTGGCGGTGGCACGCTTGCCTGGAGCTTTGGGGGCAAAAGAAGACTCCAATTGCTCTCGTGCAATGGTAGCCACGGACTGAAGGAGGTGGCTTCGATTCAATTTGCCACCAATGGTTTGGGGCATTTTCCGGAGTGGTACAAAAGCCGTCGGTAACATGTAGTCAGGAAGAACGTTGCCAAGTTTGAGTTGAGCATTCGCAACCTTGTGTTTAAATTTCGCTGGCGCAATCACGTCTAGTCCTGGGATTGGCGAGGATTTTGGTGCAGAAGCTGTAAGGCCATCTTTCGGAACAATGAACACGACCAAGCATGGCGATTGTACCGCTGCCGCTGGTGTGATGATTTGTGCCACCACGTCCTCCAAATCGCCGTCGAAAACTTCTTGCACCTGCTTTTCGACTTCTCCAAGCTCAAATCTTTGGCCTCGCAACTTGACCTGGAAGTCTCGGCGCCCAACAAAGCAGAGAGACCCGTCTCTTTCGTAACGGACTAGATCACCTGTTCGGTACAACCGAGTGTTCCTCCTGTCATCTGCAAGTCCGACATCCCGGATCCAAGGCAGGTTGGGAATGAATGCCGCTGCGGTTTGCTCTTCATTGTTCAAATATCCACGGCCTACAAGAGGCCCCTGCAGAAGAAGCTCGCCCACAGCTCCCACGGGTACCAACCTGCTAGGGTCTCGTGGGTCTGTTACCCATCCTGCCCCTGCAATTGAGAACCCGATATTTGCGGCCTGGGAATCAGCCTGGATTGATGGTCGCATAGTGAAAACGACTGTACATTCCGCAGGCCCGTATGTATTCAGCAGATGCACACGCGGCGCCCATAGCTGGACATCACTTGTGCGTACCGGCTCTCCAATCAGCATAATTGTGTTGACTGATGATAGATCATCAGGAGTCACCGCACGTAAGACAGATGGCGTAAATATAACGTGGCTTGGTTGTAGTGTGGTGGCTGCTGAGGCTAAGTGGTCTCTGCGTTCCGACTCAGACAAAACGCATATGCAAGCACCCACGAATAATGTGCCCAGGATCTCAAGGATGCTGACATCAAAGGCATAGGATGCAAAGTGGAGTACTCGGCTGTTCGAATGAAGACCAACCTTCTCAGCATACGGAACAGCCATGGTTGCAAACGAACCATTCTCGACAACGGCGCCTTTTGGCTTCCCTGTAGATCCGGAGGTAAACACCGCATATAGAGCGTGGTGTGGATCATGACGGGGTAAATCGACTTTCAGGAAAGGCTGGATATTGATGTTCTCATCGACAACCACAACATTTGGTACTAGGGCGTGGGCTATGTCTTGAAGTTTTTTTGATGTGACAACAAGAGTAGCATTTATTTCCTGACAGACAGTTCGAAGCCGCCCTTGGGGGTGTAAGGTGTCCAGAAGAACAAATGCAGCCCCGGTCTTCAGCACCGCGACAACAGCAATAGCCGTCCAACGTGAGCGATCAAGATAAATGGGGATGAACTTATTTGGCCCCACTCCATGAGATATTAAGGAAGGCACTAGATTGTCTGACATCACATTCAAATCTTCGTAGGAGAGATTGCCGTCCCAGGCGCAGATGGCTGGTGCCAATGGTTGCGAGGTACAGTGTTGACTGATGGCGTCAATCACTGCCATTGTAGAAAGAGGTGGGATCTCTGCATTCCAAGATTTCAAACGCTGCACATCTTGAGAGTTGAGAGTCAGGATCTCTCGCATCAGTCGCTGAGGATGGCTGTGGACCTGCTGCAAAATGTGACCAAACTGGTTCAGCATACACTGCATCTGCCATTTGGGTAGAACAACCCCATCGAATGCGGCCTCGACAGTGAGCTCATTTTGTTTCAAAATTATGGTTACCTGCAACGCGTATGTATTGGATGCTCCATCTTCATAACAAGTGTCCACGGGTTGCAAAATATCCATGTTCGTCGGCGTGTTGCCAACTTCCCCTCGCCCTTCAATGAGAAGAGTCTGGAATGAACATGCGCGCGCTGCATTTGGTCCTAGCGAGGCAATATGGGGTAACCCAACTTGCTCAAAAGGAATTCGCTGCATGGCACGCTCTTGTAAGTCGGCAAGTGCCTGCGATACGGTCACGTCGCGGTCAAGTAGAACCCGCAAAGGGATTGTCGCGATTGTTGGTGCTGCCATTGTTTCAATTCCACGTACAGGCGCAGTCCGTCCAGGAGATACAACACCAAAGATAATATCATCGCTGCTTTGATACTGAGACTGAACTATCGCCCAGGCCAGCCTAGTTGCGGTGCTTCGGGAGATGCAATCATCCACCAAGGCCCCGGTTTGTATATGAACTTGCATTCTCTCTGACGCATTGGGCCGGTAGGACGAAGATTGCAAGGGAGGGAATGGCTCTGCATCAAGACCATTGAATTCAGCAGTCCAAAACTTTTTCGCTCCCTTGGTTTGGGCTATGGAGTATTTGATGAGTCTTTGGAACGGGATTGAGTTCAATGCCGGTGATTCGGGGTCGTGGTAGGCTAGTTGTGCCCTCTGTAGGAGGAGAGGCAGTGACCAGGCATCATAAACTGCATGATGCAATGTCACCATCAAATCAAACTGCTGTGGCGGGTGACTGGGGCCTGGGATAATCTCGAACTGGGCCAACGGCTGACCAAAAAGCACCTCCCAAGTCAATTTTTGATCTGCTTTTGTATCTTGCGTAATCCAGTGAAGTTTGTCGTCCCGAAGTACTACCTGAAGACAACCTAGGTCCGTTTCGATGAGTCGGGTGCGAAGGATGGCATTCGTGGCTGATACCTTCTCCCAAGCCCACCTCAACTTGTCTAGATCGGTGTTCGGGGTGAGACGGAAATGGTGGTTCGCGATGTATGACCCGGGTCTTTCAGCAGTGAGGGCCGCCAAGCCGATCTGCAACGCAGTACAGGGATATATATCTTCGATTTGGTCCATGGAAACCCCACACTGAGCCATTGCCTTTGTTTGAGCCTCTACTAGCTCTTCCGGAGGAAGAAGTGAGAAGGGGGCAATTTGGTCGTCTTCGCGAGATTTTGGCTTGGGCAAAGGTGGCTCTGCCTTTGGGGGAAGGGAGTACAGCCGTGCTAGGTCTTCAAGCTTGGGATGTAGGAAAACGTCCGGAACAGCAAGCTTCAAACCTTGCGACACAGCAGTTGATGCTAGTTTCATCACTGCAATTGAGTCTCCCCCCAAGCGGAAAAAGTTGTCTTCCTGCCCGACAGTCTCAATCGGCCGCTCAAGAACCTGGGCCCACAGGCTCTGCAATAATTTCTCCTCTGTTGTCATATCCTTGGTATTTCTCAAAGCTCGACTAGCTTCGGAATGATCTAACTGCTGTTGCATGGCCTGCAATGCTTCTTGCTGCAATCGACGTCGGTTGACTTTTCCGTTTACCAGTCGTGGCACTTCATCGACCGAAAAGAAGGCAGAGGGGATAAGAAAGTTTGGCACTTGTTGTTCAAGATTGGCCCTGGTCTTCTCCACCGTAGCCTCAAAAGCTTGATCTTTGCCATTGTGCGGCGGCTGGACTACACTGGCAACCAAGTATGACTTGTCGGAATTTGGAAGAGTCACAATATCAGCATAAACCTCCGGGGTACTTCCTGAAAAGCACTGCTGAACATGGTACTCGATTTCATTAAGCTCGATGCGCTGACCACGCAGTTTCACTTGTCGATCTTTGCGTCCAATGTATCGAATAGATCCATCGGACAAAAGACGCACCAGATCTCCTGTCCTGTATAGAGTACCATTTTGGCGGCCACGAATCTCCTGTAGCCAAGCAGGGTATGGGAGGAAAGCAGCGACCATGTGATCTGGGCGATTTACGTAGCCACGGCCGACAATAGGTCCCTCGATGACTAGCTCACCCACGGCACCCACAGGCATCAGGTTATTCGGCTCTTGTGAATTGATGACCCATGTCACGCCTCCTGCGGAGTATCCAATGTTTGCTGTGTCACATGCAAGGGATTGGGCAGACGTTTGAGCCGTGGCAATAACGGAACATTCTGAGGGGCCATACGCGTTCATCAGGAAGAGGTACGGTGACCACCGACGGACGTCATCGTCACTCATACCTTCTCCTCCAAGCACAAGGGTTTTTAAAGTCGCAACTTTCTTGGGATCAAGGATGCGTGCAACGGAAGGTGTCAGTAATGCCCAATTGACGTTCAATTCCCGGATCGCCTCGGCCAGATTTTCATGCCGGGCACTTTCCGAAGGAATGCAAATGCACCCGCCCGTCAATAGTGTTGTAAATATCTCCACGATGCTGGCATCAAATGCATATGAGGCAAATTGAAGCACCCGTGAATGCTCATCCAAACGAAGCAGTTGATGGTGAGCTTCAGCTGCTGAACGGAAAGACTGGTGTTCAATTATGCTTGCTTTCGGTTTTCCGGTGGATCCCGATGTAAACATTGCGTAGGCTGCTGACCGAGGGGAAACTGGCGTTGATGTCTTTCTTGCAGGTTGTTGATTCGAGACTGATTCCGGCTCTATATCTTGGACGACGATGGTCTTCGGCACAATACTGGCCGCAAGTCCCGCGAACCTTCGGGAGGTGAGTATAACAGGGCAATGGAAGTCGTCCTGTATCATCTTCTGCAATCGTTCTGCTGGATAGGCTGGGTCGAGAAGGATGAAAGCGCCACCCGCCTTCAAGACAGCCAGCAGTGCAACAACTACCCAGCGCGACTTTTCAAAACATATTGGCACAAAAGCATCAGGACCCACATCGAAATGAGATAGATGCAGTGCTATGTAGGATGAGATCCGATTTAGCTCTCCGTAGGTGAAGCTGCCATCGCAGGCGGACACCGCACAACGTTCCGGAGTCGCTTGGCAATTTCGCTGAATATCACTATGAATGCAAGACTCAACTGCGCTTGGTACACCACTACTTAGCTCAATGATCCGAGACTTATTCTTTCCACTGAAGAAATTGAGGTGGTTGAGGCGAGTGTTGGCAGGATCCATGAGTTGCCAGACAACATGGTATAATGTGTCAGCAATTAACTCTGCCTGTGAATCATCCACAGCATTGCTCCAGTATGTTAAGTCACCATGTATATTGTTTTCGCCGGTGGTTACGTTAACGGTCAACGCATACTGATCTGACAGTCAGCTCATTATTTTGAAGACGCACGGGAACCTGGGAAAGACACTGGAAACAACTGACCTCGGTGAAATCAATTCCTCGTCCAGACTCTAGGGTAATTTGAGGGGGATGGCCCGGCATTGGATCTGCAGCCTCTTTCTGCAAGGACATCGCGGTGTTGAACAAGGGTTGCCCTGCAAGATTTAGAGAGTGCATAACCTCCGCTAGAGAGCAGTGTTGGTGGTCAATACTGCGCGCATATGCATCCTGGTTATCTAGAAGTGTTGACAGAACTGATACATCGTCGGCTAGGAACAAGCGGCAAACGAGTAGATTGATCATGGGCCCGCAAATCTCACGGGCATCTCGCATTGGGATATCTCGACAAGAATTCAGATACCCAAAGCACACCGAGTCGGATCCTGTGTACACACGGAGAACGACACCCCATGCTACCTGCAAGAGGCTAGAGATCGTTATACCATGATACTGACCGAATGATCGTAGATGCCGTCCGAAATCAAATCTGAATGGAAGTAATTTCAGGGCGGCTGGATTTGCACCGTCGGTATTAGATCCCAAAGAAGGGAATAAACACGGGTATACACCATCCAAATATTGCTTCCAGTACGCTTCCGAGCCTGATTGGCGATGACCTTGCAGATACTCAAGATATGTTCTGTATAGGCCTGGTGGTGAATTCCCCAGCTGCCCATGATATGCACGGTGGAAATCGGACAGCAAAGTCTGACCAGTGACGCCATCAACCAGCATGTGATGGATAACCAGTTCGCAGGAGACTCCCCCTCCGGGTTGAACTGCCAGATTGAGTTGATGAGGGGGTTGACCCTTTTTGTTGCCATGCCGATTGGTGAAGAGGGGCTGATCTGGTATAGGAGAATTTTGGGATTCATCCCCAGACTCAGATTCCAAAACCACTTGTATGTTCGCAGGAGCTGGCTTCACAACAACTTGCACAGGATGGCTATGCTCACCAGTGCTGTCAGTAAACACGGTGCGGAGGATTGGATGACGGTCAACCACTTGTTGCCACGCTTGTTTGATCTTAACTACATCGACAGAGGCAGATGTACCTAGCAGTGCATGGACTGACCAGCGAATATGTGACCAATACATATGGGGGTTCTTCACTTGGCTGAGCCACATGCCCAGCTGAATTGGCGAGCAAGGGTAGATATCTTGGATCATGGAAGGTGACACATCAAGCTGACCAGATATCTGATGCAGCAAATCTCGAAGCTGGTCGTCCGTTGTCAAGGCTAACAGTGGAAAGTCCGAAATTGTGGGTCGTTGGTCTTGCTGCAGAATCTTTGGCAACTCCTCGAGGGTTTCCAAGGTTGTATCAATCCATTTTTGCAATCGGTCCTGATGCTTAGTTTTTCGATTATGCACAAATGACAAATTGAGTCTGCCATGCATGACTGTTGCAGTTACATCAACAAGAGCAAAACGCGGGAGGTCTGGTGGCATGGGGACAAGCCCCTGGTCTGGTACCGATGCCAACTGAAGAAGTGCACCCGGACGTTCCAGTTGCTGGAAGAGACCCGTATAATTAAACAAGATTTCCATGGGGGAATGCCCTTGGCAAAAGTTCATGCCTTCCGGGTGGAGATATCGCGACGCAAAGTATGCCCATCCATTGCGCGGGATGTCTCGCCGACCATCTTTGATCAGCTTTAGCAGCTCTGTAACATGCTGGCCTTTTTTTACTTTGACAAAGAGAGGGGCAATGGTGGTAAACCATCCGACGGTGCGAGAGATATCAATTCTTGGGTCCCATGGCTCGCGGCCATGGCCCTCGCTAAATACCGTCGGCGTGGGCCGGTTATCAAAAGCCCGGGAAAAAGCATGGAGAACAGCTGTATGGATAATCTCAACCGGCCTAGTATGAAAAGCATCGTTTGCGGGGCCGAATATTGCTTGGGTTGCATCCTGGGATATCGTGATGGATCGCTGTACCGCCTCACCCCATGTATTGCCAATCCAGCTTGCCGGTGGTCCCCAGTATGCAAGAGGAGGTGCTGGGATGCTCGCTGGAAGTACCTGTTCAGGATCAAGAGATTCTTGGGCATAATCTTTCTGCAACCGGCACCATTGTTGGAACGAGATCGATGCAGGCTGCAATGGATGTCCAGCAGTAAGGATGTCTTCCAGATCTTGTAACAAAACACGCCAGGAGACTAAATCCATCACAAGATGATGGGCCATAAGGCCCAGATACTGTTCTTGTGATTCTGTCTCGATAAAATCGATGATTATCAATGTTCCTTTATTGATATCAAGTTTGTTCTGACTTTCAGAGAAGATCTTCTGGATACCTTCCTGGTCGTCGATTGACCGCAGCCAGTGCTTCCGAAACTGGAGACTATCTTTGGCTTCCCGATCGACGATCTGAGCCCACTCATCGTTCTCCTGTTGTTCAAACCTAGCCTGAAACATCGAGTGCCGCGCAGTCATCGTCTGAGCTGCCTTTTGAAGCTTAGAAGCGGATGTGGGCCGTGATATACGGAGCAGAAACTCTTGAGTGAACTTGTTGTGTCCTTCGGGAACATACTCGAAGAACAGTTGTTGGATAGGAGAAAGTTCAATCCAGGTATCTGAAAGATCTTCATCAAAACTTGGGGAAGGCGAAGATTGACTGCTTGATTCCTGAATCTTCTGGCTCAATTTGAGAATGCTTGGGAATCGAAAGATGTCGGCTACCACAATGTTGAACCCGGCTGATTGGCAACTTGCTGCCATTTGCATTGCGCTGACCGAATCGCCACCTAAACGGAAGAAACTTTCGTTGACACTAATCTTGTCGAGAGGTTGGTTCAGTGTCTGTGCCCATATTTGTTGCAACTTCTCCTCGCGTGAACTCGATGGCAGCTGAGGCTGCACCTGAGAAACTCGGTAAGCCTGCATCTCATCCCAAGACAACTGTTCTGCCTGTTTGCGAAGGTTGCGATGGTCCGTCTTCCCAGACGGTGTCAGAGGCATGTGGGATAATGGTAAAAAGACACCGGGGACCATGAAGGACGGTAAAGCATCGGACAAGTGTGATTCTGCCATCGCACACGAGGCGCGGAATTCGTCATTTGGAGGGAAAATCAAGTCTTTCTGCATATCCTTCTCTCCCAGTGTTTCTGTTGAAGGGAGGCAGACAAATGCCGTGACCAAAGCCTCCGGTCGCTGATCCTTTTGATCGCTATTATTCCTTTCAGACAACCGTAGTATCTCCACGACCGCCTGGCTGGCCTGTGGAAACGCATCACGCAAATGGTGTTCAATGTCAGCCAACTCGAGGCGTTGGCCGTGCAGCTTCACCTGATTGTCTTTGCGCCCGAGATAACGGAAACTGCCATCGCCAGCGCACTGGACCAGATCTCCGGTTTTGTAAGCTCGGAGTGTGGGATAAGCTCCAAATTGAGAACGCCATGAAGGGGCTTCAATGAAGACTTGCGCTGTTTGGTCGGGATTTGAAAGATAACCATCCCCAACAGTCAATCCCTCGATCAGCAATTCCCCTGGGCATCCGACAGGCATCAGACGCTCGTGGTTGTGTGGATCCACTACCCATCCAACGCTACCAGTAGCAAAACCAATATTTGCAGGGTCGTGGTGCTGGAGCCTCGGCTGTACACTGAAGACAGCAGAACATTCAGCAGGGCCATACGCATTGCGAACCTGCACAAATGGTTCCCAGCGAGACACATCGCTAGCCAATACTGCTTCTCCAACGAACACGAGAACTTCAAGTGTCGGAAGGCGATCTGGCTGCACAATCCTTGTTACAGTGGGAGTCAAGCAGGCGACATTCACAGCGAACTGATTAATAGCTTTTTCTAGATTGCTGTGACAGTAGGAAGCTGAGGGAACACAGACGCAACCTCCCAATATCAGAGTGGTGAGATGCTCAATGATACATGAATCAAAAGCAGGGGATGCAAACTGCAGCACACGGGACTTCGGTGTGAAGGAATAAGGTGCTCCATGAGCCAAGGCACTCGCGACATAGCCGGCATGATTGACAATAACACCCTTTGGGGTACCTGTAGACCCAGAGGTAAAGGTGGCATATATGGGATCCATGGGCGTGGCTGGTGACGGGCTGCGGAATGCGTTATCGCTTTCTTTCTCCAAGTCGAGAGTGTCGACGTTGAGAATGGTAGGCACTCCAAGCTGGGATATCACATGGGCATGCTGCTTGGAGGCCACAATCAGAGTTGCCTTGATTGTTTGAATCATTACTTGCAAACGTGGCACAGGGTAGGTCGGATCCAATAGGACAAATGCCGCACCGGCTTTCATGACACCAAGCATTGCCACTGCAGTCCATTTGGATTTCTCCAGACATAACGGCACGTAGAATCCGGGACCCACAGAATGCTGAAAGAGGTATACAGCCAGTGCAGAGGACAGGTTATCCAGGGTTTGGTAAGAGATATCACCTTCCCAGCTGCTAATCGCCGTTGCGTGCGGACTCTGGAGCGTGCTTTGTTGGATGAGATCATGCACGCAGGATGGACCAACAGGGGCAACCGTTGATACATTCCAACGTGTGAGCTCCTCCCTATCTTCTGGGCTCACGGAATCAATGTCTGAGATGACACGATGAGGCTCCTTCTCAATCTGGTCATATATATGAGTGAACTGGTTGAGAATTCGCTTGATCTGATGACCATCGATCACGTTTGGGTCGAATCGAGCTTCGATCCACATCCCGCCTGTCAGTGGTCTGCAGCGGAGAATCAAAGAGTACAAATCGTATGTCTTCTGTACGGATCGATGTTGTGAAAAGAGGGATGGAATTTTATGGCCGTCTCTGGGTTCAACGGACAGCAAGGTTTGGAACTGACATGCTGCCTCTGGGCCTTGGCCCAAGTGAAGTAAATTCTGCAATCCGACATGCTCAAAGTCCATAGTAGCCGCCCATCGCTCCTGCACTGCGCCGAGGGCCTCAGCAATAGTGTTCTGTGGGCACAGCTGAATCCGCACTGGAATGCTGGCCAAGGCTGGACCGCACAGCTCTTGAACTCCCGGTACTGACACTCCACGGCCCGCGTTAACAGCCCCAAATAAAGTATCTTCGGAGCCAGTGTAAAGAGACTGGAGCACTGCCCAGGCTAGTCGTAGCTTTGTGTTGGCAGTAAAGGCGGCATTGGTGCCAGGCTTGATGTCACAAGTTCGCTCTAACCGACTGGTAGGACGGGGTACATATCCTGCCGTGGGTAAAGGAGGGAATGCCTTCATCGGCGCCAAATGCGCATCGCGAAACTCAGCTTCCCAGAAAGCGTCGGCTTGGGCGCGAGTGCCCTGTACATATTCGACAAGGGGCCGAAACGGACGAGAGACGAGATTTTCACCACGGTAGGCTGCGTTGGCTTGACGTAGAAGAAGTGCCATGGACCAGTCATCACAAATAGAGTGATGGATCACCACAGTCAGGGTGTGTCGAGTTATGTTGAGGAAGAAGTATGCCAGAGGCTTTCCTGTCTGCCAGGTCACCTTGCTGGTTGTGCCCGGCATTCCATCATCATCGGACTCAACCTGCCATGGGATGGTGCCACGAATCACGGCCTGGGTACAACCACGCTGCGTGGTGGGAACAATGCGAGTCCGAAGAATCGGATTGGCCTGAGCAGTATCATTCCACGCTTCATATAACCGGTTGAAATCTATACCAGGAGGCAGGTGGTACTCATGTTCAATCGTGTATGCCGATGAATCTTTGAAGGTGAGTGCCATCATTCCTTCTTGAAGCGCAGTACACGCATAGACATCTTCTAACTCCTCTATGGAGCAGTGGCACTGGGTGGCTACCTCAGAATATATCTCATCGTTGAAATCCCTCGATCGCGAAGAGAACGGCTCTTTGGGAACCGATATGTACGTGCTGGCTTCGAGATTGCACACTTCTTCTTTTTCCTCAACAATGCCACTGGCTTCAGCGCTACCACTGGCAGCTTCGGCATGGTGGGCATTTCGTTGCTCTAATTTTTCCAGAAATGCGCCCTTTTCTCCATTGGGACGAGGATCTGGAATCATTGTTTTGGTGTGCATAGTGAGATCAAATCATGAAAACAAAAGAATATTAGAATAAGACCGAGTACATTAGGTATTAAGTAGGGTAATGGCAAAACTCAGAACCAACGGCAGTGAAAATCTTAAAATTCAATTCTTGATGTCAACAGACGACAGTCCATGACGGTGTTTTCTTTCTGCATTTGGAAAATCTGTCTATATCCGACAAAGTTTACTTTGTCCTGTGGTTCCGCGGGTTCCATGGTTTGCAGTGTCGTTACATTGGACCCGCTTGGACCCACTTGGACCCACTTGATAGTTATTTTACAGAGAAAGAGAACGCAACTTATGACTTCAGCATTCTCAGCAATCGAGAAAATCAACGTGATGTGATGGTCCGCTTGCCCATCAGAGACCCTTCACAACTTACATGCAGGGATTTGATCAATACGTGCGCCATATCCTCTCCAAATGGCTTCCAGGGATGATGAATTCGTCAGTCGTGACGAGCATGTCGAAGGCTCGACAGATGAACGTCGAGGAACTAAATCGCCATCATTGACCGCCAACTATCTGGTGATTGTTCTTTTCTACATCTTCCCTTGTGATTGTCACTAATTACTATTAGCGAATTCTATCCTATGGTTCTAGGAATGGTGGAATATTTGCCATGATCCTCGGGTTAATATGCGCTCTGGGCTCAGGAATTGTAAGACTGGCGGTGGATTGTTTCTAGTCAAATGAACATACTGACAATCCAACTTAGGCGCTTCCTTTGATGACCATTGTGTTTGGTAAACTGGTCGGGGACTTCAATCAATACTTTGTCCCAGGCTCCGGCCTCAGCGAACAAACGTTTCGATCCAAGGTCAATAAAAGCAGGCAAGATATCACAGGATCTCAAGCCTAGCTTAACAGCAGGTAGCTAATGGCTTTCTAGTCTTTACATAGTGTACTTGTTTATTGGCAAATTTGCATTGACCTATATCTCTATGGTGAATACATTCCTTGTCTGTCGTTCCATATGTTAATTTGCTCACATTACTACCAGATCTGCTTTCGATTGATTAGCCTTAAAGCTTCGGCCGCATTGCGTCTGGAATACACTCATGCTTTGTTCGCACTCCCCGTCAACAGACTAGATGAAATATCAGTTGGCTCCGTCACTCACACCATTACCGCACAGTCGAACACCATTCAGCAAAGTGTTTCAGATCGATTGGCAATTCTGTTTCAGTCTCTGGCCCTACTCATTTCGGCATATGCAATCGCCTTCCGATACTCATGGGCGCTTACCCTAGTCGTCAGTGCAGCCATCTTGTTTGTGATCATCGGCTTCAGCATCACTGTGCCTTTCTTGGTAAAGGCACAGCACAGCATTGAACAAGCGGAGCACAAACATGCATCTGTAGCGGCAGATACTTTCGGCTCTATCAGAACCGTGATATCTCTTGGGGCCGAGAATTCACTGTACAGAAAATATTCATGGTGGACTGAAGAGGCCCAGAGACGAGGCCTCAGGATGTCACCGATGACCGGTATTCACTTGGGCATGCTTTTCTTTGCCATGTATGTTAGCTTTGCATTGGCATTTTGGTTTGGTTTGAAGCTCTATCGTGAAGGTCACATTGAAAATATTAATACCGTCATCACGTATGTGACCTTTTCTTCATTTGTTAGGGGGTTTTGCTGATGCTCATCTAGTGTTTTCTTTTCCGTTCTACTTGTCGTCACGGTTCTCGGAAGTATCGCATCACCACTTATGATCATCTCCAAAGCGATCAGTGCCTCTGGTCCATTCTTTGACGTGATTGATGCAGAACATCGGACCCCATTCTCTGGCCTCCGAGACCCCGATATATCTAGCCAGGCCGATATTGTGTTTGACAATGTCAGCTTTGCATATCCGGAACGGCCTAGCAAGTTTGTGTTGAATAATTTCACGGCCCGCTTTCAGACAGGCAAGACGACAGCATTGGTTGGGTCGTCTGGGTCTGGAAAAAGTACAGTCGTTGGCTTAATTGAGAGATGGTACCAACTGTCGAGCGATCGTGAAGCGGCCCAAGGCAAAATTCTTGTGGACGACCACCATATCAATGACCTTGATGTGAAGTGGTGGCGGTCCCAGATTGGGCTCGTTCAGCAGGAACCATGTCTGTTCAATGATTCGATCTACAGCAATGTTGCATTTGGTCTGATCCGGTCCAAATGGGAGAACGAGAGCGAGAGTGTGAAGATGGAACTGGTCAGTGCGGCGTGCAAAGAGGCTTTTGCGGATGAATTCATCGAGCGGCTTCCTATGGTATGTCAGGTTTGCTTCTTACGCTGCACTTCATCTCTTTGGATGCACTATATACTGACTTCACCTTATGAAGGGCTATGCTACAATGATTGGAGAATACGGCACAAATCTGAGCGGTGGCCAACGCCAGAGACTCGCCATCGCTCGTAGCATCGTCAAACAACCGGTAATTCTAATCCTGGATGAAGCGACCAGTTCAATTGATGTCCGTGGAGAGAAGGTGGTTCAGGCTGCTCTTGACCGGGTGTCCCAAAACCGTACTACCATTATGATTGCCCATCGCTTGTCGACCGTCCGCAGAGCAGATAATATTATCGTCATGAAAGACGGAACCAACATCGAGGAAGGGACCCATGACGATCTTACGCTCAAAGGGGGAGTATACCACAGTCTGGTCCATGCCCAGAAGCTAGATTCATGGGCTGAGCCTAAGGAAAACCTTGGGGACATTCTTGATATTGGGAACAAGGAGATTCGAGCGCAAGAACAAGACTACTCTATGTCCGATCAAGATGGTGAGGATGGTGAACCCGAGAAGAGTGGCAAGAAAGCCAAGACTGTAGGCCTTTTCCGGAGCTTTGGATCAGCTGCCTACAAGCATCGTGAACATTGGTTTCTATTCATTTTGATCATTGTGGGAGCTGTCGGGGCGGGATGTAAGATCTCATCAACTACATATCCTCGACAAAGCTGACTTTTTCATAGCCGGTTTTTCATTGCAAAGCTGGCTCTTTGCCAAGTTGGTTCAGGTGTTCCAGTTCACAGGCCAAAAGCTCTCTGATGCTGCGAATTTCTGGTCGTTAATATTTTTTGTTCTTGCTCTTGCCATGGCTTTCTTTTATTTTATACTGGGCTTGGCCTCGAATTCCCTCTCTATGGTATGAACAGATCCCTATCCCATTTTCCACATCCTCTAAACAAAGCAGTTTGTTGTATCATCATGCCGCAAAGATTACTTCTTCAACCTTATCCGAAAGCCCATCGAGTTCTTTGATCGTGATGAAAACGCCTCCGGTAGCTTGACCTCTCGACTATCCACTGATCCGAGGCAGATTCAAGAGCTGTTCGGTCCTACCGGCGTGTTCCCTCTCATCTCGATTTTTAATGTCATGGGGTGTGTTGCCATTTCGTTTGCCTTTGGCTGGAAGCTGGCCGCAGTCACTTTCTTCGCCGCAATGCCATTCCTTTTCCTTGCGGCTTTTATGCGGATTCGATATGAAATCATGTTTGAATCGATGAACGCGGAGGTTTATAAAGACAGCTCTAAGTTCGCGGCAGAAGCCATTAGAGCGTTTAGAACTGTTACTGCGCTAACCATGGAGGATCACATTATCCAAAGGTATTCAAAGTTGTTAAAACAGCAGAGACAAAAGGCCATCAGAAAGGCATGGTATGCGACGCTTGTCTTTGCCTTTTCGGACAGTGTAGAGCTATGCGCAATGGCGCTCACTTTTTGGTACGGAGGGCAACTTCTAGCCTCCCGGGAATACGACACCGTCGCCTTCTTCGTGGTATATATTGCTATCATACAAGGGGGCCAATCTGCCGGGCAGTTCTTCAGCTTTGGTCCCAACATCGCTCAAGCTAAAGCCTCGGCCAGTCGTATTATGCAATCACAATCTGCTTCTGAATATCAGCTTCAAAGTCAGCCTACGGCGCAAATTTCGTCTGCCAACCTCAATGCTAAAGTCGAGCTGAAAGAGGTCACCTTCAACTATCCTACTTGCAATTACCCGACACTTCTTAATGTCAACATTACTATCCAAAGCGGTCAATTTGTCGCATTCGTCGGACCCTCTGGCTGTGGCAAGTCCACCATAATTTCATTGCTGGAGAGGTTCTATGAGCCTACTCATGGTGCGATCTTTTTCAGTGGGCATGATGTCCGCTCTATTGAGCTTTCTTCCTACCGTCATGCTCTATCTCTGGTCCCACAAGAGCCAAAACTATTCGAAGGGAGTATCCGCGATAATTTACTTCTTGGCCTCGAAACCACAGACGACACTCTCCTCGAGGAACAGACAGTCCAGGCTTGCAAAGATGCTGAGATTCACGATTTCATAATATCTCTCCCGCAGGGCTATGAGACAGAACTTGGTGTTAGTGCACAGACATCGCTCAGTGGTGGTCAGAAACAACGCTTGTGTATCGCACGAGCACTGATCCGAAAACCTTCACTGCTTCTATTGGACGAGGCAACATCCAGTCTGGATTCGCAATCTGAGAAGCTCGTTCAAGGTGCCATGGAGCAGCTCGCTGCAAAACGTGACATGACCATTATCTCCGTTGCACACCGACTGGCTACGATTCAAAAGGCAGATAGGATCTTTGTAGTTGGCGAGTATGGGACTGGTCAGGGATCGGGTATTCTTGAACGAGGGACGCATCAAGAGCTACTGCAGAACAGGGGTCCTTATTGGCAGATGGTGTGTATCCTCTCAAGTGTGAATTTCAAGCAGCTGACAGTTAGCAGTGTCAAGCACAAGCTCTGGACCAACAAGTCTAACTTTGAAACAAGTTGTGGCAAAAAAAGCAAGGAATATAATTATTTTCAGTACCTGCAAGATGCTCTCGCTGCTTAATACATATTCTGAACAATAAGGTGAGTAAAAGATCACTTTTCGGGCAGATATCTGTAGCTCGGGTACAGGCAATTCTGCGAGTGAGCGGGAATATTTCCAGTCACTGCAGTGGAGCTGAAGGCCAGATGGCTAATCTTCGGAGAGAAAGGTCGTCACAGGTATGTTGAATGAGATTTCCACTTAATAGGCAAAAAGTTACACGGGCTGACCTGATGTCAGCTTCGTGTGCCTTCCCACGACAGATGGAAGGTGTGTGAGGATTAGATGGCAGAAATATATCATTGATCTCAATCGCAACCCTGTCATGTATTAATATGACCGGCTATTATAACATGCACCTATGTTCCACTCATACATTATGGGGGAAACCGGCCCCGTTACATTTATTACGGTACTCAAGTACTCCTACCTTGAAGGAACTCGGTTACCATGTCATCGACAGTAGTATTGACACAGGAGATTTCGAATTCGGTGACGCAGAGAGGAGCCTTGAAGAATTCAAAGATAGGATGCAGCATGGAGGTACAATTACTCTCGCATATGACGTCCTTGGTCATACTGTTCACTGGCTGATTCCACGAATGTTGGAAGCTATTCATGACAGCAAGCTAACCCGTATGTATACCCCGTGCTATGTGCTCAGTTGGTGTTATGATCCACGTCTTAATATAATAACAGCGGTTACTGTTGGAGATTGCTTGGGTCATCCAAAAACGAACTGGTATCGAACGATAACTCCTGTTCAGGGTGAGGAACGACCGTCGTTCCTCCGCCAAGAGGCAAGTGTCCTCAAGAACAACATCGACATCTCGAGGGAAGAGTTATAACATACTCTGTATGTTTGGGCGTTGTGCAGTGCACCTGCAGCGCAGTGAAGTTGCTAAATTCCAGGTAAATAGAGCTGGTCCTGTTTGTACATCATAATGTGAAGATGATTTCTTGTTACAAATAAGTTCCTGAACTCTTGTCCAGACACAGCTGATCAGGCGTGCAGCCCTGTTTCCACGCCCTGTGGGCATATGTACTAGACCTCACAAATGAAGGCGTATTATTAGGGGCAACCCACGCCATGGTACAAATTCCATGAATTTATTACGATTCCCAATAACTACTCAGCTTGTCCGAAATGCCTGAAGCATTCTCCTTGTTACAAACCATAGAACTCTCACCTAATTAAGGACACACACAGCAAGAACATATTAAGTCGTGAATGATTCACAGAAGCTTAATTCGAGCCCCTGCACCATATAGGCTTTAATAACGCATTGATCATGCTCAAAAGCTGGGCATTTTAGGGGGCGTAGAAGCTCAAGGTTTTTGCGATCGTCGGGGTCAGCAAAGCGTCCACAATGCTCCCTCCTAGAAAAGGGTCAAGAGGGTTAACAGTTCCTGTTTGCCAGGAGAAGGATAGTTGGTAACTATTGGCGTTCTCAAAAACCAAGCCATGCCAATTTTGGTGAAGCCGGTAAAACAGTAAGTATTCCCGCAACCAAGGGCCAGATCAACCAACACGCAATGAAATCGATTTCGTCATGTCGGTATAGACAATAAAAGATAAGAGTTCCTCGAACCGGTGCTAATCTGCTAGAGAGTTGAGGGTGTAGCATTATGACTGTAGAATCGTAACATTAGATGAAAGAGCCATATTTCCTCCTACGTGGCATCCTTTCTGGCCCTGTTCAACCTCCCTCCAACTCATATCGTGGCTGTGTGCAGATGCCAAGAGACGTAATGTTTTAAGTAGAATCAGGCATCCAAAAATGTTACATTATAGTTCAGTTGAGAGGGTGAGTGCGGGGGTCGCGGACTCGGGGTGATGCTCACCCGGCTTCTCACCCTGTCTATAGCGCGCCCCCCCCCCTTTTTCTCACCCCTAGTCGCGCGACGCTCTCCTTTCTACGACCCATTTACTTGCACTATGTATATCTTCCCATTTAGTATGTAACCTGATACATACGACCATAGGGTGTGGAAAACAGGGCTTCCCGTCCGCTCAGCCGTACTTAAGCCACACGCCGGTGAGTTAGTAGTTGGGTGGGTGACCACCAGCGAATCCTCACTGTTGTATGTTTTTGTTTTTGTTTTGTTCTAGCTAGTAGTTCATACTACCGCTATGACAGTGTCATTATTAGTGTATCTGGGACCGAGTATAGAGGTTGGGTAAGCATCTATCTAATATTTATATACGATGTTTTTGAAGGTGCTCTTTACACTTTTATATCATATATCTAGGATCTTAGTGTTACCAAATTTTAATTAGATTTGTATCTTTTTAGATTTCCTTGGGATAGTGCGGGTGTCATGGTTATGTTGTGTCAATTATCTTTTGGAGATTCTATACAAAAGATATAGTTGAGGTATACATTCCAGAAATGACGTGTGGATTTCATGAGAATGGAATACTTGAGCTAAAAGGCTTGTAAAACCGGGCCATACCTGTAGCAAGTTGGTAGCGAAATAATTGTACTGGCTAATAATACATCGACCCCAGGTGCCAGGTTATGCTATACTCGACCCAACGCACGGTCCAATTCCCACACCGGGAATTGGACCGCACGGGTTGAATGCAAAAACGGGTTGAATGCAAAAACGGGTTGAATGCAAAAACGGGTTGAATGCAAAAATTGATCAACCTACCAATTTAAACCTCTCATTTAACAACCTTCCCCTATGGTATCTATAGTATATTTAATATTTACAGATTCACCTGGTCCCGCGCTTTCTTCTGAACTATTTAAATCCTCCAATTTCGACTTCCTGGCGGCGAGAGCTGCCTCTGTAGTAGCAGTTCCAATCCACTTCTTCCTCGCTTGCTGGATTAAATTCTTCCTCTCTGTTTCATCTCTCACTTTTATATGCCTATTTGCATCTAATGAAGTGAGAGGACCACCCATATTCACCCTTCGCTTGCTTTTACTAGCTTCCTTCCGGCGTTTTAGGTCCAATATGTTGGCATTGTCATGCGCATACTGAGCGCCCGCTTCCACTAAGGTAAGCGCACCAGCTAAAAATAGAGCTAGTTGACGGCGTAGCTTTAGAGAAATAGCATCGATCTCATTTCCAATCTCGTCGGTTTTTTTTGATTTTTTCAGCGTATTTCCGGAAGGTTTTAACGTCTATTACCGGCGAATTTGGTATAGAGCTTGACTCTGGAGGGGGGTATCACCATCCCATATCTCTAATACTGGCTCTAGAAGATTAGGATCGTCATTCCAACCTAGCTTCTCTAAAGCAGTATCTGCATTTAAAGGATAGATACCGCATTTTTCAAAGCTAGAGCGTATTGTACGGCTTTTAAATGCTTGGTTCCGAACCCTATGGATGCTAGAAAAAAAGTCCGATTTTTGCTTTACTGAACCACCCCACTGTACTATATCATTATTATTCTTACGAAAATAATGCTTTAGCACCTGAAACGGCACATCGTCAAGCGGCTAACATATATGCGTTGTATGTGGGATAAAACAGTATGGAATAATCAGATTATTCTTGCAGAATTTGATAAATTCATAGGTGAGATAGGAGCCATGATTATCTATAAGAAGAAGCCGAAAACCCGTCTTTATATAGCGATTTTTAGTGCTTTCTTCGAATGATTGAAGCTATTGAAAGGCTATAGTATCGTCGGTCCAACCATTAGGTGTAGGAGTAATCCAATAGTCGTCGGGGAGGTTAGTAGTCCTATACCAATTCTCTATATGGAATTCACCCTTAACTAAAAACCAAGGTGGCATTACCTAGCCATCGGCAGCAATACATTCAATTGAAGTGAGCGATTCACTAGGCCCGCCAGTTCCAATACTAGTAGATTGACCAGCCTTAGTTGAAACGACTTTCCGGGGTTTGCCTTCGCCAATTTTGAAGCCGCTTTCGTCAAAGTTATAGATATTCTTCGATCCGATTTTTAACCGCTGAATAGTATCACCTAGGCGAGTATACCACGTAGTAAGATGACCAGGTGTAACTGCTTCTAGGCGGTCCTTTTCCATTGGTTTTTGCTTGATATAGGTGTATTTATCGGGTAGTCGTTTAATAAAACGGTAGGCCCAATTCATACCAAGGCATACATCTGGATTATGCCGATGAAGAATTTGACGTGCACACTTCTGGATCATATCTGCAGTTAGAGGAGCATTTGCAGAATTCAAGGTATCGATCCAATGAATTAATGCCTGCTCTTGCTCAGTCCCTAATGCTTTGTTGGCGCCAGCATGGCCAGTTTTAGATTTGCGACCGTTGATTCTACCCCTTAGGGTATGGTATGGAACATCAAATTCCCGCGCCAATACTGAAATTACAGGCTTATCATTTTCATAGTAGGCTTGCAAAGCACTAGAGATCCGATCTTCCAATTTTTGGGATGAAAAAGGCATTTTCAGTGGTAGTAAATAGAGGTTAAAAATGGTGGGTGGGTGAGGTTTTGCATTCAACCCGTGCGGCCCAACTCCCGGAGGGAGTTGGGCCGTGCGTTGGGCCGAGTAGTTACAAACACAGCGCGTCTATCACCCACACCCGCTAGGAAATTCCCCATTCTGTATACATATGTCTAGTTCACGGCATTATATATAAACAGAACACCAAATATAACGGCACTAAAAAAGAAGACGCCCGAAGCAAACAAAATGTATCACCAAGCTCAATCTATACCCAACCTAATTCAACTTCCCCGGAAACAATGCAGACTAGCCAGTTGACACGGTCATTCTTGCCTATACTATTCCCTCTGGATATTCGCGTCTGTAATTTACATATTATGCGGTATCCCCTACCGGATCCTGAGATGATTTTGTACTACAAGCTACTTGAAGATAGTCATTTATATCATAGATGCCATTTCCTCTGCAATCATGCTGATGAATGAATTTTCCCTATGAGGTCATCCAAGCACTCGGTAGGTTATCTCCAAATTTACAGTATCGGTCGACTCGGAGTAAGTAGATCTGTAAACCATGACACAATAAACTATGACATATTGACAATATTTCTTACTTTGTATATCAATCCCCTTGCTGGCGGGTCCCAAGGATCGGCATGCTCTCGGCCATGGCACATACGTCCTCTGATTGGTTGATTAGTATTACCGGATTCAGAAGGCAGATCGAGGATCGACGCGTCATTTCCAAGGTTTGTCCCCACAGTTCCATTTGCACAGGAAGTATATTTCTATTGGGAGGTATATAGTAGATGAACAGTGTTCAACATTATCTAGCCGAGAATTCTTAAACCCCAAGTGACATCGAACATCCATAACCCTAGACCATATACCGATATTTCCATCAAATTTGGTCAAGATGCCTCAAGGTTCGTGACTTCGTCACTCATTTAGCCTTCTATCCCAAATATTAACCAGAGATTCGATGGCAGAAACTCAGCAGCCGACCGAGCACAAGGAGTCCTTCTTTGAGAAGATCCTCGGCCACCACCACAAGCATGGAAACGAGGGCCAGGCCGCCGAGGACAAGCCTCAGGGCAGCGAGGGCGGGCTGCATTCCGAGCTGAAAAAAGACGAGGAAGGCCTCAAGCAATACCTCAAAGAGGACAAGGAGCTCGAAGAAGAGGGTCGAACCTATGGAGGCTTGATGTAGTTCTCTTGCCTTTGCTAGGCACTGTGTCCTTCCTTATGACTATGTATATGCCTCCACGAACAATTAGGAAATATGACTAGGAAATTCTGCTATCACCAGGGTCTGCTCACTTATTTCTTGACCTAATAACTCATTGAACTAAATGCGAAGCTTCATGACTGCATGCGCTAATGTCCGTGCATTGATGATAAAAGCGAATCTGGCGACCAACCGTCATCTGTTAATAGTCTGTTGTTGTTGTTTTTGTTCCCGAGGCAGTAAAGCAAATTAAGAAGGCATCTCTCGACTCCCTGTCGCGCTTCCAAACTCAACGTGCCAAGAACCTGCACCAGGTCCATAACATAATTCACCTTGAATTCTCCGTTCTCAAAGAGCCTTGTCAGGCTTTCATATAAGATAGAGCGCAAGTTGTGCATTGAACGTCCCCACATATGCCGAGAATGTTGTAAGGATATCTCTAATCCGTCAAGTATGCTCGGTCCAGTGGGTATTGTCGAATCTCCATTGGACAGGGCGGAAATTGACTCCTGTATTAGGACACTAATGGAAAATAAACATCCTAGCATTTCGTCTTCCCACTCCGTGATGTAAGCGCCATAGGCAGAAGTCTCAATAGAGAGCTGGAAGTTATGACGCAGAAGTCCGACTGCGGCATGAGTACAGGGGAACGAAGAAAGTCCTCTGGTATAAACAGACCCCATGAACGTTCTCATATCTTGGATGAATGATATCAACCAAAGGCAGCGGACCTTTTGAATATCGCAAGATGGGGTGTGTTGCATAATGGGGGGTGAGAAAAGAGGACGAGAGATTCGTTCGAGGTTGTTCGTGGACTCGAGCCATGACGGCCGCGACATTAACGAGACACTGGAAGTTGTCAGTATCGCAGATTATTTATACTTGTCGCAAGCTGCACCCACAGGTAAACCACAAGTTCCAAGCGCCAGTTTTCGTGGAGCGCTTCAACTCCACCTTTCGCTTCAATCATTCTTTGTAAGCCATCACGGTGGATTTTCCAATCTTTCTCTGTACCCCAGTATCGCTGAGTAAAAAGGTGATCAGCGAGTTTCCCACGGAGATACTCGCACTTGCTTAACATACCTCAAACGTGAGCAGACGAACAACAGCAGCGAAAGAGTCGTCGCTTAGTTCCTTCTCGGGATCACCAAGCCAAAGGCGTAGTATCCTCACAGCCTCGATCTTATATTTCAAGGCATCAGAAGAATTCGATCCTCGTCGCGGGGGAGTGCCAGCGTATAGATGAGATAAGTGCGCAGCTGAATGCGCCATGATGCAGTTGAAAGACGAAGCATTGGAAAGGTCCAGCGGGAACCAAACATCCTTCATCGGATTAAACTCCGTGACGTCTAGATCTTCGAACATCATAGCCGCATGGGTGCCAATCCCTACAATTCTGTCAGCAAAATTTCCACAAGGAGTAATTAAATCAATTATACGCACAGTGATGCAAAAGTTTCTGATGCTGGCTCGTCAAGTGAACAGGACACGTCTGGAACGGGTCGGGCCTCGAGCTCGACAACGCACAAGTCACACCATATAACAGCTGAGCGGGAATGCTGAGATGTTTCTCTCGAATATTGACCACGTCCATGTCCTCGTTCGGTGGCAACCATGAAGGGCTAATCGCATCTGCTGGTGGTGAAATATCTTCATTGATGCCGCTCTTCGAACGGAGAGGTAAAGGTCGCGATAGTCTCCTCTGGTGATATGTCTTCGCCTCCTGATTGTGCTGATGTCGCCGCTTCCAGTGCTCCCTCATAGCATGGCTCCGAGCTTCCGATTGGATGTTCCCCGTCACGAATGTGAACTGGGGTGTTCTACTGGAGGAGCTGGAGGCCCGCGGAGACATTGTTCTTTTATGGCCATAAGGAGGCGCTGTTGGACACGAAGTTGACGGATTGAAATGTGGGATGGGAGATGGAGATCACATGATGGGCTCTACCCAGAACATTCAGATTAAAGTGCGATTCGGAAATCCACTCTCAGCTGAAGGCAGGGTTTGGTTTCATGTGGGGTAGTAATACAAACATCCAATAGAAGCTTGGTTCTGCATTAAGCGCGGTATGTCATTCGCCACAGCTTGCAGGGTTATGTCCATGGGTGTCCTTTTACGGATCCATGGAATCTGAGCCGTCGCCACACGCCTCGGTCCCTGTGCATCAGCGGTGTAATCGGTTGTGCAACGATGGTTTAGTGAATAGACAAAGAAAAAAAGAAAGGTCAATTTTTATGTAAGTAGGCAAATTTTCTATTTAACTATCATGTGGTTTTATCATTTTCCATTTATCATAAAACACAAATCATATCAAAATCATCCAATCGCATTTGTATTGCCTTCCAGAGAGCGCAGCAGAAATACTAGAGAAGCAGATCGATCTCATGCGGCCTTGATTGCGGTTTCGGTACGCTCTTGCAACTTTAACCCGAGCTCCTTGTTGACACGACTAAAAAGGCCTGTATTCGGTGTTAGACTTGGTGGACAGATCACTTCGAAGATACCAGTAGAGCACGTACTATAGACAGCTTTGCGCAATTCGGGGTACTTAACACCCTTGACGTTGGAGCAGAGATTGTCAATAAGCCTATCTTGGTGACCAGGCTCCCGGCCAATAACCTCCCACAATGCTGCGGGCTGGACAAAGTCTGCGTCAGTGATCTCGCTGGAATAGGCCGAAACCTCTCCCGCCCACTTTTCATGATCGGTGTGTAGGTACAACGCTCCAGGGTTTGATCCTTTCACGTCTTGGTAGAACTTAGTGGGCTTGATCGAGGAGCCAACGTAACTAGGGTCGCTGCCATAGTTGTTGTCAAATCGCATCTTTCCGTCCCTCTGGAAAGGACAGTAGACTTGGACCTTAGCAGCGTTGGTTGGGAGTTGCTGGTAGTTCACACCAAGTCGGTAACGGGCCGCGTCGGGGTATGCGAAGAGTCGTGCTTGCAGCACTTAATCACAGGTTAGCTTCGGGGAATCCAAGGAGAAAGAATTGGATGGGCTCTGTCGACTTACCTGGATCAGCGGACGCAGCGAATCCCGGAACCATCGTCGATGGCGAAAATGCAGCTTGCTCAATATCTGCGAAATAGTTTTGCGGCTGTTCGAGTTCAGCCACTGTGACTGAATATTGGAGAACAATTATGAAGACTTACGTTGCGGTTCATAGTCAAACGACCAATCTGCTGCAGAGGGAAATCCTTATGCGACCAGACCTTGGTCATATCGAAGATATTTACTTCGTATCTCTCGGCCTCTTCGGGGCTCATCAGCTGGACGTAGACATTCCAAACAGGATAATCGCCTCTCTCGATGGCCTCAAACATGTCCTGGATCATATAGTCAGGGTTCTCTCCGGCAACCTTGGTAGCTTCTTCGCTGGTGAAATTCTGTATTCCTTGCTGCGTTTTGACGTGGATTTTGGCATATTTGAACGAGCCATCCTAGACACAAGCTTAGTGAGAGAAAGTTTTAGCATCTGGTAATCATCATCGCTTACCGCTTTGGTGAACTTATATGTGTGTCCACTGTACGAATTCATGTAGCGAGGCGATTTTGGAGTGCCACGGTCGCTGAATAGAACCATAAGTTGATGTATGCCTTCAGGGTTGCCGACGTGGAAACTAAATTGGATTAGAGTCTGATTCACCGATTGGAGTTCGAGAAAGAGACATACTCCCAGAACTGCGATTCTTCTCATTAGATTTGCTCATCACCGGTCAAAAGTAGGGCTTACCATGGTTGCGTCAGGAAGATGGCTTTGGGGGTGCCGCTTGTGGGATCGGTTCATTGACGGGAACTTGATCGGATCGCGAATGAAAAAGACAGGCTGAGGTGGTAATTAATACAAGTTAGAACTAATCATTAAAAACATGACCGAGATCGCGACCGAGCATACCGTGTTGTTGAAAACCCAGTCGAGGTTTCCTTCGTCTGTGTAGAGCTTCATTGACCATCCGTGCACATCGCGAGAGGTATCAGCAGATCCTGCCTCGCCCCCAACCGTTGACACGCGCTGAAGCACCGATGTTTTCTTTCCAACCTTGTTGAGAAAGCTGGCACAGGTAAAGTCGGAACAATCGCGGGTGGCTTCAAACTCGCCATAAGACCTACACAGAGTGTCAACTGGAGAAACTTTTCGGGGGAGCCTTAACAGCTTACCCAACAGCTTTGGCATGAACGACTCTATTCAAGGTTCCAATGTCAGTATACTGTAGGAACCTCAAGGTAACCGATCAATTGGACAAGACACTTACCGCTCCGGAATTCTCTCGCGAGAGAAATGAGCCAAGGTCTCAATGAGCTGAGTATCCTGAAGCAATCCGAGCCCGCCGCCCTGTCTATCCCGCATCAGAACAGCCGTTTTGTTGCTTGCAAAAGGGCAGCCTATAAATAGTCAGACATAAGCACAAATCCAAGATCAGAAAGGTCTTGTACCTTCGGCCAAAGTGTAATATTTGTTTTCATCCATGCTGACTGAGAATTGGGGGTAATGGTAATAGGTCAGATAAGACAGAAAGAGTGTATGTGCGATTACTGGGTTGGGCTCGCTCGAGGTGTGCAGTTTATATAGTCCGAACTCTGGGGAAAAGCTTTCTGGTTTGAGATAGTTTTGAATTGGCTCTTAGTATTACGCTTACACTCATTGGAGCTTTGTCGACAGCAAGGAAGGGTCCACTGCCAATAACCCCTCATTCAGTACATATATCCCTCTCCACATGAGTTGACGCAGGAATGCAGTGATGATGTCCAATAGCCAAGGCGTAAAGTTGAGTGTAAGAAGCCGGAGGTCCAGACTACTACCTACGTAAGTCGCAATCTTAACCTTGGAAAGCTTCCGAGGTCTCCACCCCAATGTCAAACGTCTGATTGGTCAAATACCACTACCAAATCTGGTTAGTGCAGATCGGCGCCAGCACCCGTATCCGTGGACCCACTGCGCTTGACCCTTGGAAGTCTTGAAAGCTTAATAGGGCTTAGCGTTATCCATGGATCGTGCTGAATGCAAGTACATCCTGTTGAGATGGATTCCCTGCAAAGCCTGCTGCGCCCTTTAGCTTCCAACTACATTCAAACTCCGTTGGAGCCGCATAAGATATTTCCAAGATTTGGACCAATGGTCGAGCTGTAGAATTTCATCTTGGCCAAAACTTAGCATATTTGGTGCTGGCCATTTTTTGGATCCGGAGCTTGCGGATCTATTCTCGTCATTCTTCCATAGAACCGGCCAGGAGAAAATTAAACGCATTCCATTTAGCTCGTATCTTGATGCAAACTAGGCTTGCAGGCATGGATGCAGCAGATGTCATGCCGAGGTAACCCAGCGGATCCATTGGTAGGAATTTGCTCTTTGCGCCCCTCAGTTAAGACAGAGCCCACTGCGCGATTTCGGTCAGCCAACCACATAGTGTAGAGCTTTTCAAATCTAGTCAGAGCTTTGTAGATCTATCCGAGATACGACCGTCCCGGCCGGCGAGAGACTACCATTTCAATGAATCCAATTGTAGTTGTCGAAATCGGGACGCGTTTAGGGTGGCATGGGTGGGAGTGCAAGGGAGTGCCGGATATTGGACTCAGAACCAGTGCAACTCATCCCATGCATCCCAATATGGAAATACTATCAGGCCAATAGGAAATTATCGAACAAAGTCTGAATTCCTAGATACGTGAACTAGATACGTGGAACTACTGCTTCGTTGCTTGCGCCCAAGTCTATGACGGTCACTGAGGGGTCAGACAGTCCGATACGAGTCTTCTATACTGCATGAAGAGTCTGGTCTCTCCTAGAAGCCCATCACCTCACTTATAAAAGGCTTGTAGAAGTCGTCTCATAAGCTGATGGACTAAGAAAACCATCCTTTTGTCTCTTTCAAACCCCTTCAATCATCTGCAATATCTTTCAATTGTCCTCCCTTCATCCCTCCCTTCATTATGCCTGTCCAGGACAATGCCAGATTCGACTTTATTGTCGTTGGTGGTGGTACTGCCGGCAACGTTGTCGCCGGCCGCCTGGCTGAGAACCCCAATGCTAAAATCTTAATTGTTGAAGCTGGTGTTGCCAACTCGATAGACATCGAAGAGATCAGAACCCCCTCGGAAGCTATGCAGCTTCGTAACAGCCAGTATGACTGGGCCTACAAGACAACCATGATCAAGCGAGATGACTATGAACGTGTTGAGAAACCCAACACCCGCGGCAAGGCCCTTGGTGGTAGTTCGTCCCTGAACTACTTCACCTGGGCTCCTGGATCCAAGGGTACCTTTGATATGTGGGAGGAGTATGGTGGAAAGGAGTGGACTTGGGACCCTCTCGTTCCCTACCTGCGAAAGAGTGCGACCTACCATGATGATGCCAAGGCATACGCGCCAGAACTGAAAAATATCGGCGGAAATGGTCCGATTGATATTTCCCACTCTGAACTTATTCCCGAGATGCAACCTTTCCGTGACCTCCTCACCACTGCGTGGAAGGCGAGTGGTCAGCCAATCAGAGAGAACATCTTCGACGGTGAAATGGTTGGCCTGACCTATAGTGTCAACTCCATTTACAAGGGTCGCCGCTCTGGCAGTTTCCTTTGTGTCACCAACAAGCCAAATATCACCATCCTTGCCGAGGTGCACTCGAAGAAGCTTATCATCGACAATGCTGATAAGACCTGCAAAGGTGTGACTGTCATCACGGGCTCTGGCCAGGAACTCAACCTCTATGCTACCCGCGAAGTCATCGTCTCCCAGGGTGTCTTCGAGTCCCCTAAGCTGTTGATGCTTAGTGGTATCGGGCCTAGCGCAGAGCTCAAGAAGCACGGCATCCCGGTGATCCTCGATAACGCCCACGTTGGCCAGCATCTCCTGGATCACCCTGGTGTTCCTTTCGTCCTTCGCGTCAAGGATGGCTTCGGTATGGATGACTACGTCCTGCGCCAGGGAACCCCCCACAACAATAAGGCCATCCAAGCCTACCAGAACAACCACGGTGGTCCATTAGGCTCTGGCTTCCTCGAGATGGTCGGATTCCCCAGAATCGACAAGTACTTGGAAAAGGACCCTCAGTACCGCGCGGCTAAGGCCTCGAACGACAATAAGGACCCATTTTGTCCGTACGGCCAGCCTCACTTCGAGCTCGACTTCGTCTGTCTTTTCGGTAGCGCATTCCAGTGGCACTATCCCACCCCAAACAAGGGCAACTATATGACCGTCATGGTTGATCTTGTCCGCCCTGTCTCCGAACCCGGTGAGGTCACCCTCAACAGCGCCGACCCGCTGCAGCAACCTAACATCAACCTGAACTACTTCAACAACGACCTCGACATCATCGCCATCCGCGAGGGTATCAGGTATTCCTACGATGTCCTGAACGGTCCCGGCTTTAAGGATATTATTGAGGGCGAGTATCCCTGGGAGATGCCTCTGCATGATGACAATCTCATGAAGAGGGCCGTGCTGGACCGCTCCCAGACCTCCTTCCACCCTTGCGGTACTGCCCGTCTGTCTAAGAACATCCAGCAGGGCGTGGTCGACCCCAACCTCAAGGTCCACGGCATTAAGAACCTCCGTGTGATTGACGCATCTGTCATCCCCGTCATTCCCGACTGTCGGATCCAGAACTCCGTTTACATGATTGGTGAGAAGGGTGCCGATGCCATTAAGCGTGACCACACCGACTTCTACAAATAAGCTAGTTAGCTGGGATGAGCAGAGCTTTTTATAGTATGAAGGTCCGATATGACGTGATTTTGACTTATGAAATTGTGCCGTAACCAATCAGTTTAGTGAATAAGATTTTTTTTTCTTTTCCAATCAATATTGCTTGTACTTCTCAATCTGAAGTCTTCGCCTTAGCCCGTTCTTGTCCCCCTCTTGGACGAAAAGAGCTTTGTTTATCCTGGCCCCAACTTGTATGATTCACGAGTCGACGACCGATCATATCGGAGACAATCTTTAAAAGAGAAGTAAATCAAAAACAAACAAAAGTAAAAAAAAACATACAACAGTGAGGATTCGCTGGTGGTCACCCACCCAACTACTAACTCACCGGCGTGTGGCTTAAGTACGGCTGAGCGGACGGGAAGCCCTGTTTTCCACACCCTATGGTCGTATGTATTATCTTTTATGTGTGAGAGAGATTTATAGAATGCAATTAGTGAGTATGTAGTGATTGGTGTAGCCTACCTTCAAGGCTGATATTCACGATGACTGGTATTCGATCAACGTTCCTTGCAGCGATATTAGGAGCTCCCGAACTTACTATCCCGAGTAAGTCCTCTTAGGTCTTTCTTTAACCTTTTTTAGATCGGCATATACGTTGAACCTCGTGAATCCTCATTTACTTACTCATATTTTCCAGTCTCTCAAATATCTTATCAGTCTCTTATTACGGGCGAAACAGAAGAACTACCAGTTGTAGTTTCCCTTTTGTGACCTCCAGGAAACGACATGAAACTGATCCAATGGTCACTAGACGCCTTGCGCACAAGTGTTAAAGTTTACCAAGACCGTTTTTCAATTGGGGTGGGCATGGTTTTCACTTTCCTCTTTCAAAGGCTCTGCGTGGAATTTTTCCCTGCAAGCCTAACGACAGGTTGTATTTCCGCCCACTTCTCTCTCAAGCTCCCCAGAGATTCCCTTTCGCACGTGAAGCCCTCGCCACAGATCCCGCTAGCAGGCTCATAGTTGCAGTGAGACTTGAGAGAGGGGGCGAATATTACTGGGCCTGGCCATACACCAAAGGAAAGATGGCAGTCTTCCATATAAATCGCTTCGTTGATTCTCTTGAAGGGTTATCTCTCACACAATCCCAGTGATTGCCACGACGATCGGCGAAACTTCAGGATGGTCGAAAAAGCATTGAAATAACTGATCCGGAGGCGCTTCCTGAAGACGATGTTTCTGAATCTCTCATTCAGAGATTGTATCGGATGATCTTCTTCCCTAGTCTCTGCTTTTGTTTTGCTTTATTTTCTCGGGTTTTTGTTTTCTGGGCGTACCTACATATCCACACAGTTTCGAAGAGGGGAAAAAGGTTCTTTTCATGTACAGAACCGTGTCCTGGGCTCTTATCATTAGTTCTTCTAAAACAACAAAGCTTACATGCTACCTGTAGGATCTCACTCTCACTATGGTGATTTTAAAAAGAGAAATATAAAACAACGTAATGCCCAAGGTCACGTCACGTAAGAACGGGAAATCCAAGGGTGGATATAAATCTTGGAAGATCTTCATCGAGAATATAATCTCAATCTTAGGAATCGTATTACAATGGAGATCTGGACGGAGAAACAATGTAATCGATTCCGACGGGAGCGAAAGGGACGGAGAGGAGAAGGAGAGAAGGAGAGACAGACAGCTATCTATACCATCTATCTGGCAAATAGGATCTGTCCTATAGGTGCCTAGCTGATTAGGCGTTAAGTAGGCATATGTATAATAACGTGTTCAGTAAGCGAGCTGCGTATCCCACCTAAAACGCATCTAGGAATTAGCACTTTGTTAATTCAACCACCCACTATGCCACTAATACGCTCTTAATCCTATACAAGATTAATAGAGTAAGAAGGTAGGATCTTATTAGCCATCTAGGCCATTAAGAATAAAGAAATTAGCGCTATTCCTAAAGTAGCTCGCTATTTTGATGTACCCGAATCTTCCCTCCGGACACGTCTTCGTAGGACTAAATCCCGCGCGATTTATCGCCCTAATTTGTATAAATTAACTTGAATTGAGGAAGAATCTCTTAAAAATATATTCTCTTAATAATAGATCTATATAGAGTAGCCCTCTAGCCCTCTTCTATATAAGAAACGGCTAATTTTCACAATTCCAATTATACACAGACATTGTTGAATGTTCCTCCCTTTACATCTGGTTACATATGTCATACAGTATTCATTCATCTTGTAATACTTTAACAAAAACCAGCGTGCGAGTGACGAAAGCTTTATGTCCTAGAGGCAAGTACTTTACTTGATTCCTAGAAGTGCAGCCGGTAGTTGGGGACGGCATTGAACAGCCTGTGTATTGGAGAATCCATGGTCTCAACAGAAAAGGCTGGTGAGTAAATGCTCACTTCGTTCGCAACAAAGTGGCTAGATATCATATAAAAGTCATTAGACAACAAGGAATAGTTCATATAGACAACTGTTATAAGTTATCGCATTATGTAGCCAACCAAACCTTATAATTTATTGCTTTGAATACGATTTGGCATAATCCTTAAAGTATTCCCGGGGTCAATTTCCGACCTCTTAATCCAAATACGTGGTTTAATCTAACCTGGGCGGCTGGCCTAATGGTAAGGCGCTTGATTTCGGCTCAAGAGACTGCAGGTTCGATCCCTGCGTCGCTCATTCTTTTTTTTCCTTCTGTTTTTTCTATCTTCATTTGGTAAATTCCTTTCTCTTGTACATTAATTATTACATTAGCTTAGCCAGAAGGTATATCATTTATTCAGGGTAGCACCCATCCGTGGGCCCTCCCTCCGTTAATTATGTGACATATGGAGGGATAGAGAGAGGGAGATAAATAATTAATTAAACATCTAATTACACTATTTTTTACTTTTTCCTAGTATCTATCTACTTAGTTACTGTACGTTGTCCCTACTCACGTATTTCACATGCGAGCTGCGCACACAAGCGAGCTGTGCAGCTGAAACACCATAATAAATGCGATATATGCTATACTCACATCTCAACAACCAACGTCTGTTTATTATTTTTTAAAATGCCGATAGCCATTGATAAGTATTTTAAGTAGTATATATCAATTTTGAATAGATCGAAAGCGTGCATTGTTGTGGTATCAAAATTACATCTTCAAAGCCTCTGAATATATATATCTCAATCATCAAGTTCTTAAATTTCCTGAAACTTCCTAAAGTGACAAAATATTATATAATAAGCATCAGGCTACAAGGAAAAGCTCATATAAACATGTATTGTTAGGATATCTAGTTATAATTTATCGCATTTAGTATGTGTATCGGACTGCGCAGCTCGCTTGTGTACGCAGCTCGCATGTGAAATACGTTAAGAGGCAGCGGAGTATTCTGTTCCTTGGAAAGAAAGTAGAGGGAGAGGTGGTACCTAAAGCCCTAGAGGGACCCTGTCCGAATATACACGTATTCTTCCATCCGTAATTCCTACCTAATACAACACCGGTATTCCAAGTTGTTCTAAAAATAATTAAGTATTCTCAGGTATTTATTTGCATCTCAAAAAAGTTTTCATACGTATTACTGAGCAAATAGCATATTCTTGTAAAAGATTATAAATACAACCCTAAATACAGCGCGCCGGAGGTAGATTTTCTTATATAATCTAGGGCGGCTGGCCTAATGGTAAGGCGTCTGATTTCGGTAGAGTTTTGTGCTCTAACACTTCTCAGAAAATTGCAGGTTCGATCCCTGCGTCGCTCATTTTTTTACTCTACTCATTCAACAAATTCCTTTTTTGTCTGACAGGAAGCTCGAACAAATACTTTTATATATTATATTGTGCCATCCGAACTGGACTGGCTAAGGTAAAGTAGTATTTTATAATAAGGTGATGGATGACTGGGGATTTAGATTTAGGCGGACACTCCATAGGCGGACTCTCCAGAGCGTGTGTGGTTAGGTAGAATGGCTATAATTTGTATGAGATAAAAAAATCTCACCTTCATTGACTCTTTCATGTATTCGCGAATTAGCCTCATGATCGATTTGGGATCTGACGTAGACCACACTATTACGAAGCATCTGGGGTTCCTAGGATCAGGAATCCAAGGACTCTCTGCAGGACCTCCACAGTGTCGGCAAGGAATTGATGCTGCCGTGTGTTTGCTATGCCCCTGTCGGCTAAGTGATAGTTTACACTCCTAGCTGACCAGAGAAATTTTGCAGGGGTCGTTATATAAAGGCCCTTATACCGTGTCTCGTTGAATGAACTTCCTCGCCTCACCCTCATCTACCCTCTTACCTACGATATCGTATCTGATCTCGAATACTACTCCATCAGTAATGATGAAGGGGAAGATATGTTGAATGATAGTGTAAGGAGAGGAAATTGATTGAAGATATGAAAACCAGAGGTATCTAATTCTTAGATACCTCTAAGGCTCAAACATCCTCTAAGATCAAAACAATGCTGAGAAACAATTCCTTGCCTTTATATTCACCCTAGAATATAGGGGAAACCCCGTAGAGGGGAAACCTATACTAAGGCTTATAATATTTGCTAGCGAGGCGAGGCGGTGATAGCATTATCTACGAATATACTAATTTGGTATAGATTGTTAGGAGCTAGAGGGATGGCGCTATCACTTTCCTTTAGGCGTGGGCTTAGGCGGAGCTACAACCTTAATATAGGGGTAGTGTTTCTAAAAAGATTATTAGCTAGTTTTTAGGAAAAAGCGCATGTATTCAACCATGGCGAATACCATATAGCTTTGGGGTGGTTGAGGCGCATGGAAGGCCATCATTTTTGCTGACCGGTGAATTTGTAAGGTCTCGTACGTACCTAGGTAGCAAAATGGATTATCAATCAGCAGCTGTCTGCTCTTAATGTCGATCCTGTATACATACTGAAACTCGGGGGCTTGCTTCTTAGCAAGCTCATCTCCCGTGGATCCTGTCCAAAATGGGTTCTACTCGGCCCTTTTGGGTTGTTGGGCCGTGTATTAGGCCGAGTAGTGGCAATTGACCACTGACATCTCCAACGCTGAACACCCCGCGGCTGGTAACATCTCCTCATGGAAGAAGTTATGGATCAACAGTTGCTACCCTTTGTGAAATATTCCGACAAAGACAGAGTGTAAGGAGATCCCTCGAAGCCAGCAAAAAGGAGACTAATCAGAACAGACCAGACACACCCCACCTCACTCGCACAATTACAGGAGATCCAATTGTGGATGTGCAGATGGACGACCCGATTTACAATGTCCGCTTCACAATCACGCGGGCTACAACCGTTCCGCACACACAACTATGCATCATTCACTGAACCCTATCGAGAATGCTGTAATGAGTCGGGTACGATATTGTTTTACCATGGAGACGAGGGTCTGCAACTCAAAGAGGTAGACCGTGAAAAATTGCCTACGAAACTTCTCATCCCACGAGAAGCAGCCGCGTTGGATCCTTACTTTAAATAGCTCGTCCCGGGTAGTAGCGTTTCCTAGAAGGCGCTCTTACCAGCTGTGTATTTTGACGATTCCGGTCCACAAGTACCCTATTTAATCCTCTGGCCCGGTGGTCAAATCCCTATTTGGGACTGGGGGACGCTAGCGGAATATAGCGGACGCACACTAGTTCCCAAATCCACCCCGATAGTACTTCCCGGTCCCTTATACTAGTCTCTTATGACGTTTATTTACGAGAGCGATCCTAAATATTTTGAGGATCCGCCTCCACCTTCACCGCGCGCCCTTTCGCCATCTGCCCATGTAAACGGTGCGCCCGTTCTTTATGTCAGAATCGCCGGCCCTGCTACCCTATTAATGAAAGATCAACCTTCCTCAATGCCGCGGCACCCTCTCACTATCACCGTCTTATATAATGTAGAGGCAGATTTACCACATAGTGGCAGACTATTAATATTCCGTTCATTCATCTTCAAGCAACCCGATGATCATAACGAGGGCTACAGACTGTATAGGGGAGGAAATAATAGGTGGACTCCGTATGAATAGAGGACGCACTAGAGGGGTTTATAATCGCTAAACCTATACCACTCAATGTTGGCCGCAATAACGAGAATGACTTCTAAACCCTAAAACCCGGGGAATCCTAGTCGTTCACCCGTGAAGTGACTAAATTTCCAAACGATGCAGCTCTAGGTGATAGATTCCGGTATCTATTTAAAGGAGCTACGCTTGACTGGTGGAATTAGGGCAATTTCGAAGACCATGAAGACACCGTGGTTTGGGTGCCTAGGTGGCTTCGGGCCAAGGTTCAAGATCCTAAATACAATGAAGGCAGACCCACGGTTGTTATGCCAGCTAGCAATGCGGTGGAATTTACATTGTTTGATTGAGACTCTTGTGTAAATACAAGAAAAATACTCGACATGCACTGTCTATTCGTCATCACCCCAAAAGCGGCTCTGTCTCACCATGTTGTATGGAATTAGCTGCGGGCGAGTGGCGCAAAGCCATTACTAGGAGCGCTGTCTGGCCCAGGGCAAAGACAAAGGCGTTCACAATAACCCATCCGACATACGTATACCACATATAAAAGGTGGTCCAGTTCCAATGATCCCTTAGCTCCTGATACTCGAATGGAAGACTCCATATCCACGCCACCGCGACTAGCATGAACACGACAGCTTGCATAGCTAGACTATGCACGCTTAGCGCATTGGGCAAAGGCACATTGTAGATCTCACGAGCTTGCTTTCTAAAATTTTATATTTACTGCCGCTATGGCAGTCTTATTGGTATATATCTGGGACGTTCCGAGTCAACTAAATGTATTATGCATGCCGAGATGCACATTTATTATACAAGGCAAGACCAGATTACGGATATATATTTCAGAAATGGCACCTGGATTTCATGGACAGCAATCAAACATTCAAGCTCAAAGGCTTGTAGGTAAACACAAAACCATACCCGTAGCAAAATGATAGTGAGCGAAATAGATAACATGTATCGACTCAAAGTGCTATATAAGTTATGCTATACAGGCAAAGGGTGTGTATCACCCGCCAGGGAACCCCTATTCCGCATACATAGGTTTGGTCCACGACGTAACATATAAACAAAACACCAAATACAACAAGCCCTTATAAAGATGACGCCGGAAGCAAACCAAAATGTACCAAGCCTGGACCGAAAGTCACAAGCTACACCCAACCTAATTCGACTTCCCCGAAAACGAAACCAGAGCATGATAAGACTCAGTCAACGGCCACAACCCCTGAGCAAAACCAACCGCCCCAGCAACAAGAAGCACATAATAAGCAACCGTCCACCCAATACTCAACCCCTCGTTACTACCCCTGACCCCAACTTTGATATCATCATCATCAGCATCCTCCTTACCCCTCATCACAGGGGGACCAATAGTCTCACCAGCCTCAACACGTCCCCAAAACCGCGGCAATCCACACCAGTTACAGAAACTATGGAGGACAACAACGGCCAGCAACGAGCCCGTCCGTAAATACACGAAAGTCGCATACCAGCCGAAGATAGTCGTGTAGCCGAACTGGAAGAGCGACCGCAACAGCGCGGCCAGAGCCGGCGTGTCTGGGTGCGTCAGACAGAACTCGTAGAAGTGGTGTACGTGCGCGATGCCGAAATACAGCGGTGCGAGAAACACGATTCGACCTGGCGAGGTGTGCGCTAGTAAATGTAGCGGGACCATCGCGGATCGGAACATGACTTCTTCTGTGAAGGGGCCCTAGGAGGATATTAGATTGGGTTTTTTGACATAAAAAAGAAAGAAAGAGAAGTGCATACCGCGACATAATTCCTCCAGCCAATCCAGCCACCGAGACTCTCAGAGAGCTTACTACGACGGAACCAGTACTTCCACTCGCCCTCGACAATGCCACGCTCGAAGAGCGGGCCGAGGAACAGAATCGCGGTTAGGAAAAGACTCCGAAGGGTCTCTAGCAGGCCGACGGGCCACCAGCCGAGAAGCCTGAAACCGGCGCCAAGGGAGGAATTGTCTTCCTCGACGATGAGCCAGAGGACCAGGACGGAGCTCACGATACAGGAGCCCGTGACGGCGCGGATGCGGGCGCGAATGACGGAGGGCGCATCGCGACTGAGAGTTGGGGATGGACGGGTTGTTGGGGAGAGATAGAATGGTACCACGTAGAGTAGTGTGAGGAGGACCTGGATGGGGGATTAGATAAGAGATGTAAAGATGGGTCTTGTTTTTTTGTTTTTTTCTTTTCATCTGGTTGTGTTCTTGATGTTTCTGGTGTTTCTAGGAGTTGTTCTACATACAGATAGAAAAGCGACCGTCTGTTCTGAAAGGGCAGGTTCATCTGGGTTTGCGTTAGTTGAGACAAAACTTCTTTTTTAGGGTTTCCCCCTGACTTACCCTGCTTGGAGTATAGACTCTTGAGTCGAGCCATTATCCCTACCGGCGCCATGATCTGCAGAGTTGGGTGGTCCCTGGAGGTTACTATTTATGAGATGGGATTTCTTTAAGGGAAAAGGGTCTGGGGTGTTCTTTGTTCCAGGTACCGTACACAGAGAGAGGTAGTGATTGGTTGGAAGTGGTATATTACAGTATGGTACTGTCATATTGCACCATGGACTGATACAGGGGAATCAATGGGAATTCGTTACAGGTGTTCTTTTTTGATATTGACCTATATTCGCATATATTGGCTTATATTAGGGTCTATATATATATATATTTTTGAACAGTATAACCAGCCTCAACAGTCTGACCAGTTTCAACAGGGTTCCTTAAAAGGCAAAACCTGATTCGAACTGGTGGACCGTGCAAAAAAAAAAACAGGATGTGAGCTCTCACCCCCTTGAGTCTTCATTTTAAATGTCGATGCGAGGGATCGTGGACAGTTATTCTCCGATCACGAGGAACCTTGGAAACATTGATATATTATTGGCAATGAGCATCTTATTATCGATGTTCTGCCAGGGCGTCAGATCCAGACTGGCGCTATCAACTAGTGGCAGTTCATCCGGGACAACGCACACAGTCTCCACCTAAAACATGCGATTAAATGAGAAATACGTTTGAAGGAGTCCATTGTGGTCCTCAATTGACGGATTCTCCGCATTAATATGGATTTTACATATTAAACATGATCACCGTACCAAGAACGATATAGAAAAAATATAAACACAGGAATCAGGACCAGAACAACCAGAGAAAAAAAACAAAATCAATCCAGTCACCCACCACTAGGTACTTTTGATCGCGTCTGGACCAATCGTTAAGAGCCAACAAGTGTCAATTCTCGCAATTCTCTCCAGTCCATGCAGGCTGCATCACCCCCTGCGGTCTAAGATCTCACCTGCTTAGACGCTCACCGCTGGCAACCAAAATTCCTTCCCCCCTTCGCTCAAAGTGTCTCAAATTTTGCTTTCTGCTTCTCCTTGTTCTTGTGCTTGTGCTTTTTGTCCTTTTTTGTTTTGAAACGTTTTAATGATTGTTTTTCGCCAGTCACTCTCTTAATGGCCTTGGATGTTTGAAACGAACTAATTCTGACGAACCTCTGCACGTCTACCCACGCTCTTTTTAGATGAACATCAGCCTATAGAACCCTGGATATCCAAGGGTACCACATTCTTTACATCGAAATACTCGAATACTCGAAAAACAACAACAATCCACTCTTTTGATCTTCGATCCGACCTTGTTTACACATTTTGGTTTGACAACTGCCTTCGCCTTTGCTTTTATTCGATCCCGTCTTTTCAATCAATGCTCTAAGTGTGTCCAAATAATGTCTTTTCCCGCTCGCTCGACCTCGCCACGCGCGCGAAGGGCATTACACGAGCGTACCCCCTCTCACTCAAATGAAAGATCACCAACCCGGTCATTGCGGATGGTGCCGGATGAAGAGCTCGATATGTACACCGCGACCCCATTCCCGACCAAGCCCGAGCAGATCCTGTTACCTCTCCCCGGCAAAGGTCAACAACAATACATATCAGACATCGGTTTCAGCTATTCAGATCACCACCTGGGACCATCCACATCAGCGTATTCCCCGCCGACCTTCAGCCCACCAGCACCCAACAGCCCGAGAGATCACTCAATTGGTAGCTGGGATGTATCCTCCACCGTGGATACCGGTAACTCGCCTCCGCAGTTGTGGGACGATGACCCATCCTCTAGCAAGTCATCGCTGCCAGGCGTCTCGGGGAAAGCACCAGACTATGGATCCGAGAGTTCAGAAGCCGAGTTCTCAGATGACGAGATGATGGTCTTGCCGACGACCACCCCAACTATAAAAGCCGTGCTCTCCGAGCCATCCATGTCGCCAAAGTCCTCTGCAGAGTCCGTAGGCTACTCCAGCCCCATCCTCGAACAAATCGGGGCCCCGTCAAGTCCCAACTTTGTGATGCTGGATAACTCGAGTATGAACTTCCACCGTCCGGCTACAGCATCCTCGGAGTCAGACCCACGAACGAACTCGCTCTCTTCGTATAACTCACGAGGAACCGTCGTCAGACACGTGGGCTCTGCACCCTGGTTCCAGAACGCCTTCCAGCCAGCCTCATCCGAGCATTCGAGCTATGCATCCCCGTCATTCCACTCCAGCCCGCCCGCGCAGTCCATAGCCTCATTCCACTCGAGCCCGCTCGCGCAATCCATAGCCTCGTTCCACTCGTCATCTAGGGCACCATCAGGCAGCCGTTCCCAATCAGCGACATCATCTTCGCGCAGCCTCCGCTCCGCTTCTGACTTGCAGGCAGCCATCGATAATGGCGTTCCTATTCAATACCCACGTATTCGCGCGCCATCATCTTCAAGCTCCCGCGCCGGCACATCAGTTTCCTCAGAACGCGACTTCACCCCCGGCCCTGCATCCGGACGTTGCAATCCCCACTTGGCATCAGGACGCTGGAACCCGCATCTATCAACAGTCTCCTCCATCTGGTCCGCCGATGAAGCGACCAACCTCGCCGGCGAGCCAGACACAGACTCAGACCGCGAAATGGCAGAGCCAACCCCACCACCACCAGCAGCCCTAGCAACAGAAACAACCAGATCCTCCGTCTGGCTCGTCGACCCCTCCAACGACAGCGAAGACGAACGCCTCGACAGCCTAACCAACCTCCCCACCCGCACAATCTTCTCCCAAAGCCTCTCCTCCGGTTCAAAGCGAAGCAACAGCACCCGCAGCCTCCAACGCCCAGGCACAGGATCAAGCACAATCCTCAACATCCTCCCAACCTGGGCAAAAGTCTACTACCTCCGCGAACCAATGGGCCTAAACTCAACTCTATCCATGATAGACGCCTCCCGTCCACCATCAACCCGTCCCGGAACTTCAAACTCAAGCGTCTTCAACCTAGTCCCAGGACCCCTCAACATCCCCCGTCCCCGCTCCCCAGAACGAACAACCAGACCACCCTCCCCACAACGCAACCCCATCCCCCAACGCCGTATAGAAAGTGACCCCCGTGATCCACGCGCCCACTGGGTCCCATCCCCACAACCTGAAGACGGCGAGTTCACTGGCAGCCACCTCCACCGTCTCCGACACAGCTGGTCCCCACATCTCATCCCAGACAAACGTGTTTTACAGCGCTCGACGAGTCGATGGCGACCGCCATCCCTCGACTCCCGCTACGAACCTGTCCTCGGCCGTCGAAATATCCAGGTCTATTCTTTCTGCGTGGGGTTCATTTTCCCGCCGGCGTGGTGTGTGGCCGCATTCCTGCCCCTGCCGCCTAAACCGAAGGTCGCGCAGATGGTCGAGTTTGAGGCTGGTCCCGATGTTGGGATGGCGCTTGAGGCGCAGTGTGTTAATTTGCAGCAGAGGAGGAGGGATAATGCACGTTGGTGGAGGAATCTTAATCGGTGGATGATTTCCCTTGGAGTTGTTATTCTGGTTGTTATTATTGTCTTGGCTGTTATTGGGACTACCACGGGTTTTTAGGGTTATTTATTGCATCTCGGACTGAGACTGCACTGCACTGCGTTTCCATTGCGATCTTTCTTTTACGCTCTTACGACTTGGACTTTCTACATTTGGGACCATCTTTGATGCTCTTCTTTTTCTTTTTTTCTTTTTCTTCGGGGTTGAGTCCCCTGATCAACCAGTCGACTGGTTTCTTTTCTCCTTGTTCACTGATACTGCAGACACATTCTCCTTTGCTGTGATCTCTTCTCTTGATTATTGACTATTCAGCCTCCCCCTTTTATTCTTTTTCTTTTTCTTCCCCTTCTCTGCCTGCACATTTGTTCTGAACGACTCCACGACTTCAACGCACATAAATATCCTCTTCTGTTTTACATTTTTCTCGACATTTCAACATTTGCCTTCAGACTAACAATACTTGTCTATGGCTTCATATGTTTGCTGGAAGTGCGTTCTATGCATGGCGACTGCCTTTGTTTGCATTTATGCTATACGTCGGTGTAATGGATATATGTTTCTTGTTGTTTTGTTTTTTACTTGAACTCTTCTCTTGAGCATATTCTATGTTGTATCAAAATTTATTTATGCTATACTAAACTTCTTCACTGCTCTACTTTGAAAGTAATTGTAGTTTAATCAAAGCTTGCTATTCCTTAACCAACCCATCCCCTGGGGTAGCTATAGACACTTCCGACCTAGATGAGACCAATCTCGACCAAGTCACTATTAAATAGAATAAAAACGAAACACTCCTAATTATTTGTATAACAAAGCGGAGAAAACTGAAAAAGCCGATCCAACGGCTGTTTCCCTTCTATCCAATGCATCCACCACTCCACTCACACCTGGGCAGATTTAGTTCTCAGCCAAAACTGCCATAGCTTACAACTTCCGCCCAATCTTCTGCTCAACAGCAGCCTTCAACTCCTCGCCAGTAGGCATCTTAACCGTACTTCCCCGTCTACCACGGAACTCAATCTCAGCCTTGATCTCAGCAACAGCCTCGTCAAAGTCACGCTCAGGATCATAGGGCAGCCCAAGGACAGGCGGACGCTGGGGCTCGGTACTAGCGGTGCGAGTGACGTGAGGACGGTTGCGGCTCTTCAGTTTGGAGACGAGGTATTTTCTGAGCGGGGAGAAGGAGGCAAAGGCGACTAGGGAGACAGCGCAGTTGATGATACCGTAAAAGTAGACGCGGGACCAGACAGTGACGGAGTTGTCGAAGTTAAGGATGATGAAGGGGATGACGGTGAAGGAGAGGGTTAGCTGTGTTGCTAGCCAGCTGAGAATATCGTAGTAGCGCTTGTTTGGTGTTGGCTTGGTGCCGTCTGGTGTGAGGAAGAAGGGGCGCACGTAGCGGCGGAAGTCTATTGTATGGTTAGTTATGGGAGGATTGGATTATGGAGATGTATTGATGCTTACTCTTTGCCACGGTCTGAACGAATGAGCCCAATACAAAGGTCATGTAGTATCCTGGGTGGAAACCGTGCCAGAGGGCACTGGTGGCGAAGGTAGCCATGCTGGCGCGGAAGCCGGGTTTCTTGCCCTTGGGCGTGACGCGGAGGTAGATGTAGTTGCGCAGCCAGTGGTTGGTATTCTTGTTCCAGTTGCCCAGGTAAGCATGCGAGTTCTGCGCCGTCTCCATGGCCCACGGATCCACATTCTGCAGTCGATTCCAGAAGACCTTGCCTGTTTTCGGGTCGAAGCTGTTGTATCCCATGCCGGATAGGATACAGGCACCCTCGGTCAGAGCCCAGACGCCGTAGTACTTGGTGCGAGAGGTAAAACCAAGCATGTGCACGGTGAAAATGCGACGCAGGAAGGAATACTGCAAGAACTCGTCTGAAAGCACAAAGTCGGTGGTGAAGTATGAGCTCAGTTGGATGAAGGCGAAGATCCAGATCAGTCCGGCGGCGGCCTTCATTGCGGCAGGTCTTCCGCTGCGAGGGATCTTGCGCTTCTTTCGGGTGGGTGGCACCTTGGATGGATCAGTGCCCGGTGGGACTTCGAAAAGCGTAGTGTCGATCCAACGACGGTAGTGCACATATTCAAAGGAAGGACCGGCAAAGAGAGAAGGGAAGAAGAAGACATAGCCCAGATAGTCTACAATACCCGGGAACTTCGTAATAGCAGAGTATTTCTGCGGGTCCGAGAGTTGGTCCTTGGGCAGACGGCCGTCATGAACGTTCCAGCAGAAGGAGGTAAGTTTCATGACCATGACCATCTGCGCTCCAGTAATGTCAACGGCCGATTTATCGTTGGCCCTCTGACGTTCGATGTGGTTAATCGACATGTGGCCCATCAGGTAAAGGAACCCAATCCACGGCATCAGTGATCCATCCACGTAGTAGGCGATTGCATAGGTGGCCGCGGCACTGTATAGTAGAGTGCGTAGACCATCCCAGAGGTCGAAGAGTCCGACAATATAGAACAACGACACGGCGATAATAAAGACATTCTTTTTCCAGGGTTGGCCATCGGGGATACGTTTGAGGAGGGCGGCCAGTGGGTAGGAGAGGAGGAACGAGCCGATAAGCTTGACTGTAGCTGGAGGTCAGAAACTAGTAAGCTTATGGAAATAGAAGATCGTACGCTCATCAGTCGATGCGCCAGTGAGTTGAGCTGGCACCTCAAATACTGCGGGGAGAAGTGTTAGTTGGACCGAGGAGCTTGAGAGCTATGGGAGTTGACATACTCTGGTCTACATAGGGCAACATGATGTTGACCTTGTAGAAAGACAAAACAGACAAAACAGAAAGAAGAAGAAGAAAACAGACCAAAGCAGGGAAGAGAAGAAAAAGAAGCAAAAAAAAAAAAAGGGCTGAAGAAAAAGAAAACCAGCTTGTCATGTGGAAAGTGGAATTCCTCCCCCAACAACTTCCCGCCCTCTCCACATTCAACCCCCTCGATCTTCAACAGCTTGAACAGCTTCAATCAGGAGCTAATATAGTCAATACTTTGAACTGATTTCTTGGTATCTCCCCACCATGGACGTCGTCGCGGCCGCCTCGGGGTACATCTCCAAGATGGTCACGGTGGGTGAGTCGGCAGGAGCGTCGTCATCCAAGATGAAGATCTTGCTTCTTGATAGTGAGACAGTGGGTGATTTTACCCTGCTAGCAATATATCGATCTCGATCGCTAACTCCTATCGTTATAGGTCCCTATTGTTTCGACCGCCATTACCCAATCCGCCCTTCTCAATCATGAGGTCTACCTCATCGACCGCTTAGACAACGTCGCGCGCGAGAAGATGCGACATCTGCGATGCCTGTGCTTCGTGCGCCCATCACCCACCTCTATTCAATTTTTGATCGACGAGCTTCGAGAACCTAAATATGGCGAATATTACATCTACCTTAGCAACATCATCCGAAAATCCGCCCTCGAGCGGCTTGCAGAAGCGGACAGCCACGAGGTCGTGCAGTCGGTCCAGGAACAGTTTGCCGACTTCCTCGTTATCAACCCGGACCTTTGCTCTTTGGGGATGGGTTTCCCATTGCAACGGATATGGAGCCATTCACCAGACTTATGGAACCCGGATTCACTACAAAGAGCCACGGAGGGGGTCCTGGCCCTGCTTCTCGCGTTGAAGAAGAACCCCCTTATTCGCTATGAGAAGAACAGCCTATTGGCCCGGAAATTGGCGACGGAGGTCCGATACCATATCACGCAGGAGGAGCAGCTATTTAATTTCCGCCGGACGGATACACCGCCTATCCTGCTCGTTCTTGACCGCCGCGATGATCCCATCACCCCGTTGCTTACCCAGTGGACGTACCAGGCGATGGTACATGAGATGCTTGGTATCAATAATGGCCGCGTTGATCTGCAGGATGTGCCAGACATCCGACCAGAACTGAAAGAGATTGTCTTGGCTCAGGACCAGGACCCGTTTTTCAAGAAGAATATGTATCAGAACTTTGGTGATCTGGGCCAGAACATTAAAGAATATGTGGAGCAGTACCAAACCAAAACCCAAAGCACTGCGAATATCGAGTCCATTGCGGATATGAAACGTTTTGTGGAGGATTATCCCGAATTCCGCAAGCTGGCAGGTAATGTGAGCAAGCACGTTACCCTGGTGGGCGAACTCAGTCGGCGCGTCGGCGAGGATACCCTTCTCGATGTGAGCGAGTTGGAGCAGAGCCTGGCATGCAATGATAACCACTCCAATGATCTTAGGGTATGTTCAAATTTTAAACTGATCATGCTTTGCTTACTGACTCACTCTTCTCCAGTCACTACAACGTATCATCGCGCTACCAAACGTGCCCTCAGATAATAAGCTGCGCCTAGTGGCTCTCTACGCCCTTCGCTATGATAAGCAACCCAATAGCGCGCTGCCAATTCTCCTTGATCTCCTCGTCACAGCGGGCGAAGTCTCATCTAACCGCGTAAATATCATCCCCAAGCTCCTTGCCTATCACCACTCCCTCCAAGCCCCTCCAGTCGCAGGCGGGTTCTCCGACCTCTTCGAATCAACCTCCTTCTTCTCCGGCGCAAGCAGCCGCTTCAAGGGCCTTAAAGGCGTCGAGAACGTCTACACCCAACACTCCCCTCGACTGGAAGTGACTCTCCAAAACCTCATCAAAGGCCGCCTGAAGGAACTGCAATACCCCTTCCTTGAGGGTAGTGGACACACGCGGGACAAGCCGCAAGACATCATCATCTTTATGGTTGGCGGCACCACATACGAGGAGGCCAAGATGGTAGCGCAGGTCAATGCCAGCTCCCCAGGCGTGCGAGTCGTTCTCGGCGGCACTTCCATTCATAACAGTGCAACCTTCTTGGAAGAGGTTGACGATGCAGTGGGCAGTTGGCCCGAACCAGGACCTACGACGGCTGCGGGACGGCTGCGACGGGAGGTGGGACGATAATTGTGTTTTAGTTAGTGTGTATATGGGTAATGGAATAGCATTATATGAAGTAAAGCCTGCAAGTAATAGTCAATTTCATCAAAATCAGAACAGAAAACAGTTAACGGCAACTTATTTCATGTGTGTCACTACAGTCTTCCGTAGAGAGAGAGACCCCAAATGCGGAGAGATTCATCGACCTCTTTCTCCCCTCACCTAAGAGCCACATCATGGAGCAGTCATCCCCCAAAGGAGGGCCCTCCTCTCCAGTATCACGCGAACCAAGTCTCCATCTCCCTTCAACAACCGATCCACCGGGCCCCCAGAATCCCGCCAAACCCCTCGTATGGCTGGTATACAAGCCCTCCCCCAGCAACAAAAACCACCCAACAAACTAACAACCCTCCCTAGATCTTCGGCGCAACCGGCCACATGGGCCGCTCCCTTGTAAAAACCGCCCTTGCGAACAATGACCTAGTAGCAGCCGTCGGACGGACATTCGAAAACAGCCCCGCAGCCATGAAAGAGCTGGAATCACCCAACTGCATCGGCCTCCTCTGCGACGTACGAGCGCGCGAGACCGTGAAACGCGTAATCGACCAGACAATAAGCCACTTCGGCCGGATCGACATAATCGCCAATTGCTCCGGCTACGGCGTCATCGGCGCCTGCGAAGACCAAGACGAATTCGACATCCGCAACCAATTCGAAACAAACTTCACAGGAACACTGAATATGATCCAGCTATCGCTGCCACATTTCCGCCAGCGTCGCTCGGGGAGATATCTCATTTTCAGCTCGACGTCTGGTGCGCTCGGCGTTCCCGGGCTTGGACCATACTGTGCTTCCAAATACGCCGTCGAGGGCTTGATGGAGAGTATGTTGTATGAGGTGGATAGCTTTAATATTAAGGGTACGCTCGTTGAGCCGGGGCATATGCGTCGGGATGATATCGGGGATTTGGTTTCGTCGTCTGCGCATGCGCCGAACCCATCCGAACATCAGCTTTCGGCGCCTTTGCCGCTCTACGGTCATTTTTTGGTTAAGCCGCCCAGTGAGCCGTATAATACGACTACGTCGCCGGCGGCGCATGCGCGTCGTATGCTCATGTGGCTCGGTGATAAGCAGCCTGCTAGTGCAGTTAAGGCGGCGCATTTGGTTTGGCAGCTTGGGCATTGCGCTTACCCGCCTCTGAGGCTGATTCTGGGGACGTATGCGGTTGAGAGTGTGCGTGATCGGTTGAAGTGTATTATTGAGGAGATTGAGGATTGGAAATATCTTAGTTTTCCAATGGGTGAGACGCATCTGCCGGTTGGGGGTGGACGTGAGAGATCTTCTTTTGCCGAGGGAGCTGAAGGGAGTCAATCAGGGTAATGGATGATTCTGTTGGATTTTGTCAATGTCCTGTATGTTATATGATACCCAAACCTGATCAAGGAGCTTCTTCGAGGATAGCCGACCTACATATTCCCAGGCGTAGGGGTTCCCTATGTCGTAGGAATGTATGGCCCTCCATAGAGTTTCTTCTATCGCAAAAGGAAACTCACGCACTTTGCTATGTTGAAGAATATCGAAATAGAGCAATTGCCTAGTATATAATATCACACTTCTCCCTTCCCTACTCGCCTACCGCTCTCTAATCGCACTCTATAATTCCCTCCCACACATAACCTGATACATACGACCATAGGGTGTGGAAAACAGGGCTTCCCGTCCGCTCAGCCGTACTTAAGCCACACGCCGGTGAGTTAGTAGTTGGGTGGGTGACCACCAGCGAATCCTCACTGTTGTATGTTTTTTGTTTTTATTTTGTTGTTTTGAATTCATTTGGAAAGTCCCTTTTGCCGCCCTACTCTTCAGCCCCTTCGGCCCATTCACCTGAATGCCCTGAACACCACGATTCTACACCTGAATATCCTGCACGCCCCTGAACCGCTGACGTGTCCTTCCCCTCCCATACTGATTTTTTCTCGCAGGTGTATTGTTTTGCTCACAACTCTGCTACCAGTCGGTACCCTTTCGAGGCAGTACTGTTATGGTGGATGCCTTGGTGCCTCAGGCACGAACACTCGTAGCTGGATAGTTGTTTGGGAGCTCGCTCCTCTCTTCCCAATACAACTCTCTCCCTTCTGATCTCTAGTGCCTACTCTGTAGCCCCTAACACTTGCCCTGGCCGACTGTCATTTGCCTCTATCAGACCAAACGGGATTTCGGTGGGGTGCCTTTAGCACGCCCGGACATCAGTGTTGGTCAGATTTGCTAGAGGCTTTTAATATAGACACCAGCGCATGAGTATCTCATACATCCTTCAATGTTTCGCAGGGTTTAGGCAGGGCTCAGACCATCGCATCGCATTATCTCGACCGCTCTTCATAGGTTACATTGTTTTTGGATCTGCACGGCCAGGCACAGCCCACCCCCCTCTAAACTGGAGAAAAATCGCCTAAAATAGCCTCGGCGCTAACTGCGACACATGAGCAATGCGCTGAGACAAGTATGCCTATAGGAACAAAAACTCCCCCTTCCCTAGAATATTCTGAACTGTATTTCTATTTGAGTTTTCCACGCACGCCGAAGTCTTCCCCTCGAGAACAGCCTCTCTGTCTCTGATGGCAGAAAACAATTTAAAGAATTTGAGACGTTTGGCGAAGAAATACAACATCCGTTTTCGCCTTCCCAGCGAACCATTGCCCGACTGTCACGCTGACACATTCAAGAACATCGAAGAGTTGGGAAGTTATCGATTCGAGACATATGCTGAAAATGCCAGCATTAGATCTGCTGAAGAGCCCTGGGCTCGGCAAACCAAATCTCGGGCCGAATGGCTGGCTCATCGAGCTGCGAGGTTGTTCAAGCAAAATCGCAATGAAGCAGGCTGGCGTTTTGGACTAGAGAACGATGTATTGCGAAGGTTTGCTGTTGAAGTAGCATGGTAGGCACTCTATTGATTTTCCGGGCCATGAAATTCTGCTTTCATCATTGCAATCCTCATTGCGACCTGGTCACACTCAACGCGAATTGGCTAACAAGAAACAGCCCAAAGTGTAGAGCTAGAATTTGGAAATCGGAAATTCAGGCAACAATAAAAAACAACGAACATTATTCAAAGCGGCTTGAAGAACGTCAGAATTCACGGAAGCCTTGCGAGTGCTCTTACGGAAAACATCTCTATGACTTGTGAGAAAAACCTTACGCTGCCTCTTGAATGACAGTCATCGATTAATCTGCTAATATCTGCTCTTTTTCCTAGCTATGAGACCGGAACGAACAATCTGTTTGAGGATCGGGCCGAAGAATTCATTCTTTATGAAGGGATCCTGCGATCAGAACTGAAGAAACAAGGCCCGGACCGTGTCTACGGGCTGAAGAATACAAGGAATCTTGACTCTCTGCTCTCCAGCCTAGCACCGCCGGAACTTGCAAACGAGCCTGGCGATACTGTTGCTGACGTGATAAAACACACTCCATTCAGCTCGGATGTTGATCCTCTGCTTTTTCCTTTTTTAGTCCTTGAGGCGAAGTCCGAATCTAGCAACAGCGGATTTGATGCCATACAAATACAGTCTGCTTTTCCAATTCGGGCCCTCTTGAAGTTGCAAGAGGATTTACAGTCTAGTTCCCCTATATCCGATCCCGCAATGGCTCCGCTAGTCTGGTTCCTTGCATGTCGGGGTGATGCGTGGAGGGTCTATGGGGCTTACCTAGCCCCTGGACAAAACGAAAGCCCAACTTTCTATGTGAGTACAGCGGGTGCATAGCTTAATTAAAGACTAACACGTGAAGGAAATATCCCTACTATGGTCTGGCTCTTTGTTACATAAAGATCAGGCTCTGCAACTTGTGCTGATTGTTGACTATATTATGGATTGGGCCCGCGATATCTACCGCCTTGAGATTGTGAGACATCTCAAATCCATTGTCACTGGACAAATCTCAGACCAAATGAGCTTCCAAGATAGCGATATCTTTTCTACATGCGGAAGTGTCTTCAACTGGATCCCACCTCCGCGAAGTATCGCAGCTGAGGACATTGCAGAATCAAGTTTCACAGCGAGCCGGGATCAATTCGAATCGAGTTTGTCAACCCATGAAGCAATGCTAAATGCCCCGATTCCAAATACGGAGCTTGGATCTCTTCGCTCTGCCTTTATTTCGAATTTTCGCTTTGTTTGTCTTTACATCACATCTGATTTGGTCCCAAGTCTACTGGAAATGATCGGAGGCAAATATGAGACCAGAGCCAACATTGAATCGGTTGCTCGACGGCTGATAAATTTCGTTACACAGTTTGACGAGGTGTTGGTGATGTCGGGGAGGAATCTTGAGTTGCTTGAGATGCTCTGGACTGGAGTCAGTCATTCGAGCCCCGAGGTTTATCCCGAGGAATTCTTTGTTATCATGGAGACGAGTTGGTATTTCAGTACTTCTTGGGATATTAAGCGAGAAATCTCATGCTTGGCGATCTCCAGAACAGCTTTTGATGTGTTGAAAAAGACCGCCAACTTCAGAGTCAAACACAAAGGTATCGACAAACTTGAACGGTCTGAACGGATTTGTCACGAAAAGGCAATACGAGATTTGGTCGACTGCCTGACATCCGCATCTTCATAGCAGGTTCTGCTTGCTGCTATTTCTTGCACTCTTGTCACAATCTACCCATTCCCGTTGCGGAAAAGACATGATTTCACGCCTGCACTGGAGGCTCTCGGGTTTGGATACATTCGAGAGGCAAGAGTGCAGCCCTTTATCCAAAGAATTTTATGTCGAAAGATGTGGGCTCCGAAGAAGCATGTAACTGTCTCACGTCAAGAAATGAACGCTGCTCTGCGGAGCGGGATGACAGCTGAGGAGGTTTTCGCCTCGAAACGGGATAGACGTCCCAGACATACAGACATGTCGTTCAAGCGTATATCAGAATGTCAGAAACATATTGTGAAGGCCGAAGGTCATTTGCATGAACATTGTGTTAGATGCATTCTGAGCCTTGAACGACACAAATCACAATTTGGCCATGGATATTTGGATAGGCGGAATCTACCCGTGATATCAGCCCACCAAACGGTTATTCTAGTCTCATTGGAAAACAATAATCCGGCTAGGTCTATTGTGCGCGCCGATATATGCGTTTTCGGATTAGGCGAACTTGATGGTATTCGAGACAACCATTCTATTGCTTCGATGATTGAAGAAATGACACTACCCGAGTCCCTCATATTTCACACCATTAAATCGAACCCCGAGCATTCTCAATGCTATCCAGATGAGATTAAATGCAATTTGCCCCTGCCATATCGTTCCATTTCCGACAAAGAAATATTGCGAATCACGGACTGGGTTCTTGAGTTGAGAGGTCATGCCCGAGCTTCTAGACAGGATATCCTATTTTCTGAGTGGGAGCACAACCAAAGCTTTATGTTCCTTTTAAGTATCGGTCACTCAGAAGACGAAGCTTCACTCATGCTGCAGCATAAGCCTTGGGGTAATTATCAAACCACGTCTGATTTGGCCAGGCTTATAGCTAGGCAACATGGTACAAAGCAAACTCCATATTTACCAAGTGCTCCATTGCGGCGAACTTCAAAAATAGCAGGGGATGAGCTTGTTATTCACTTTGGTTCCTGGGAGGAAGGAAGAAGGTTTCTGCGGCGACAATACCCACGGCAAATCGAACATATTGCCTCGGTTAATATTGAGGACGGAAGAAAGCACACACTGGAAGGTTCTGACAGTGAGCTAGAGCAAGAATTGTTTGAGAGCAGGCAGCCAGAGAAATTTGTTGATTTAACTAAATGAAATTGCTGCTCAAGATATTCACACCAAGGCCAAGGTCTACCTGAGATCGCGTTGGCGAAGCTGCAGAAGGTCAGGATGCTAGAATACAATTCCAAGAACCCACGAGGATGGACGTAGGTATTGATATACCAACTGACGCCTCTATGGCTGGAGCACCTGATCAACAGTGATCTGCCCCATCCGAAGAAGGGACACCCAACGTACGCCAAATGGAAGTATTAGTCTCGCATTATAGCAGGATAGATGTTCAACCAGATCGATACGACATTATAGGATAAGCTCCAAAATCTCACCAAACCCCCGAAGTACGCCCATGATTTATTTGATGAACTTATAGTGATGACCTAAGGGAGTGACAAGATATAGACCGCATTTATTGAGATACGCAAATTCGACAAGATGAAACGATCCGATTTCAATTCAGCAAGTGAATATATCGAGGAGTATCAGAAATAGTATTATATGCTAGCTAGATTTAAAGCAGGACCGCACCCAGCCTATACGCTTTCCCAAGTGCTTCAGAACCTCGAATCGGAGATCCAGAAGGTTCAGTTTATTAGTGAAGAGGTTGCCAGATTGGAGCCTAGGAAGATGACACTTAAGAATGTGGAGGAGTACTGGAGGGGACTCTAGGCAGTTGCCGACATGGATGGTGTCACAAATGCAGCCTACCACGTAGGTAGAGGCCGCAGTCGTGGTGGAAATCGGGGAAGTGGCTACAACAGCGGATCCGGCAACGATATGACCTAAGATAACAACGACAAAAATAAAGACGACAATGCCCTTACCAATGCCGGTAACGATGGCAAGAAGAAAGAGAAGCCTCTCCGCAAGCAACCAACTGCTAGAAAGGACATATATGACTACACTCGCGAGAAGCGTACCGGGACACAGAAAGACGATAGCGGCATATGCGCATTCTGTGGCTTCGGGCCTCACTCTACTAAGAACTATGCCTATCTGGATAAGTCCCCGCCTGACACCTAGGAGCCTATAGGTAATTTATGGGCATATTCCAAAGCGATACAGAGGGAGCAGAGAAACAACGAAGGTCAAAACAACATAGTTGTCGCCGCAGCAAGCTCAGTTGACAGAGTCAATGGCTAGCTCCTTGATACTGGTTCAGATAAACCCTAACGCATGATTTCGATGATTTCTAAACATACGAACTGGATCATCCTAGTGTTACGTATGCCTACAAGGACTACTCTGGCAAACGAGTGGTTACCTTAGGAAAGGAGAGATTATGGTCAAAGCCGCCCTACCAGGGGGCAAGGGCACCTACACTTTCCTGACTACCGGATACTACAGTCCTGAAGGACACGGCAAGCTGTTTTGCATGTAGAAACTGCTTAAAGAGCGGGACATTTCATACGATACCCGCACAAAGCAGCTGACTGAAGGTTAGGGCAAGATCGTCGGTTATACGGACACAACCACTAGCGTCCCATACCTTATCAGTCCGAAGGAAGACTAGGAGAGTCTGGGACAGGACTAAGCTGGATCGACCACCGATTTATAAGACGAGACTGGCTTCGTCAACAAGGTGACGGCCTATAAGAAACCCTAAACCCTCATTAAAGCATCTGAGACCATAGGGAGCAACCGCTTACGTTCACATTCCGAAGGTAAAGAGAACTCAGGCAAGAAAGGCTACACCGAGAGCTTAGAAATGAAGACTCGTTAGCTATAAAGGGGATAGAGGTCATATTTTCAAAGTATGGAATCCCGCCACTAGGAAGGTGGTCGTTTCCCGGGATATTGACTTTCCTCAGCCCGGAGATAATAAGGACAATAATATAAGATCAAAGCCTATTCAAAGAGCACCAACTAGTCCTAAAGATCTATATGATGACGATAAAGCCGCTAAAATCTCTGCTATCCTAACGAATAAGGATGACAACAAGCAACATCATTAGAGTGATAAAGCCAGGCTAGAGAGATGAAAGCGGAGGGAAAAAGAAGGGTGCTTATAGCTTTTTCGGTCATGACGGGGAAATGTACCTTTTGCTATACGGGCTGAATAACCGCCCTAAGTGCCCTGAATAGAGCGGCGAGCCGCCCATGCCCGAACCGTGGGTGCTAGGTGACCACGACCTTAGACATGCTGTTGTATGTTTTTTACTTTTGATTGTTTTTGATTGTTAGTCGAAATTGGCTTGCGAAGGGGTGGTAGGTGGGTGGTAGCGATGGAATGGACTACTACCCATACACTATACGGTGTTAATACTTTAAAAAAAGGTAGATAATCCTATTCTTACTGAACTAATTCTAGATATTAAAAATTGGCTCTAGGGCGTATAATTAGTCTACTATTTTTTAGAAGGGGACATACTGTACACCATATGAATACCTGCTTTCTTCGTAACTCCCAAATTCTGTATCATTTCTCCGGCATATTGAGCTCCACACTATGTTTCGCTTCGATCAAAGCTGCTAGAGTGAAGGCAAGCATTTAAGCTTGCTAATGCCCAGGTGGGAAGCAAGCCCGAAGACAATTAATTCACCAACTCTAGCACATTCAGCCTCTAATCGCGGGCAGTCGACGATTTCTGAAGTCTGACCTTTCACCGTGACCACCGCGCACAATTTGGACGGTCTAAGCGCCGTCTGTATGAGGACCATCGAAAGGCAAGGGAAGATGGACCGCGGGGACGAGGAGGTGGATTCTGACTCTGACGGTCGACGCGAGAAGGATTCAGTGCCGTTAGCTCCGGTCTAGCCCCAAGACAACTAGGAGCATTGCTCTATCTAACGAGGGATGTCCATCGCCTGCGCAGTATCCCCGAGCTGGGACGCACTCGTTTTGCAAGTTACGGTCCAAGTAGTTGCAGACCGGAACTAAGCATGCTGCACAGGCGAATCTCACAGCTGGAGGAGGACTCGCAGCGGCAGACCGATTTGATCAACGTTGGAGTCCTTGTACCAGAAGAAATGTGAAGGGGGTGATCAAGGGTACAAGGGTATGGTTATGAAGGAAAAGGAAATATCAACCATCCCATCTCCAGAAAAGAGGAGTCAACCTGGACTTGACTGATAGCATATTTGGTACTTTCTTTGTATTTCTTTCCTGTCCCTATATACCCAAAACAGACAGAATCCAAGCGAGAAGAGAAAGCTCTGTGCAATAAAAATAATATACAAGTCTATCCAAGATAGTAATACAAATCCCACATCTAATACTAAGGTATAGAAAGGGGAAATTAGAAAACAACATTGACAAGTTTACCCCCCCTTAACAACAATAACCCGTCGTCTCTTCTCCCAGTCATTCTTCTCCCGAAGCCACGTCTTCCCCTCAGCAGTCTCCAACACTCGACTGACAATCCAATCCTGTTCTTCCTGCGAAGGAGCATTCTTGCCCTGCGACGCTGGCGCCGACTCCATTCGCGGGATGGTCACAGCACAGCGGAGCTTTCCGTTGATCTGGACGGCGACCGTTTGGCCGCCGCGAGAGGAGAGGGTTTCGGCTTGGGAGGGTGTGAGGAGGGTGCTGGGCCAGGGTGATGAGAGAATTGACGGCACTGGTTTTGTAGAGGTGGTTTTTGTGGTTGCGTGCAGGACTTCCCATGATTCAGAGGCTAAGGCCGGGGCGATGGGGGCTAGCAGACGGAGGAGGGAGGAGATGGATAGGTATAGGATGAGAGGGGAGGAGGCGGGGGTTGAGGCCAGGGTGTTGGTCAGCTTGGTTAGGTCTGAGATGACTGTGTTCAGACCGTAGGGGTCGCTTTCGATGCAGGTGGTGACAGATGCGATGGTGTTGTGGGTGGCTAGGATTGCGTCTGCGTCGGAGTCACTCAGGTCCTGTAGTGATGACGGGAGGGGAGCGACGTGGGTAGAGGATTTCAGATCTGCTTCCGAGACGGAGAATGATGCCTCCGTTAGGGTCTGCTGGGTGTCTTGGACGAGTTTCCAGAGTCGGCCGAACCAGCGCTCGACGCCGACAACCTTGGTTTCGTCCCATTCTAGAACTTCGCTGACGGGTGCGGAGAACAGGATGTGTGCGCGAGTTGCGTCGGCGCCGTACTTTGATGTGGTGATAGTAGGGTCCACGCCGTTGTACTTGCTCTTGGACATCTTTTCGAAAGAAATATTAGGGGCAACCTGTGTTCCCTTTATTAAAGGCTTGTCTGGATTGGTCAGATCAACTTCCGACGGAAGAAGGAAGCGGCCTGTCGAGGGCTCAGTGAAGGTCTTTCCGTGGACCATGCCCTGGCTGAGGAGCACTTTGAATGGTTCTGCGGGTGCATCAGAGTTCATAGCTGGAAGCAGCTCAGATTGAGAAAGGAACTTGTAAATGAATCGAGCGTAGAGAAGATGCAGAATGGCATGCTCGACACCACCGATGTACACATCCACCGGCTGCATCGCTGCAGGAGAGAACGGAGCTTCCTTGTTAGCAGAATCCAAGAACCGCAAGAAGTACCAGGACGAGTCCACGAAAGTGTCCATGGTGTCTGTGTCGCGTCGAGCGGGACCATTGCAACTGGGGCATTTTGTGTGGAGCCATTCCTCTGAGGACTCTAGAGGGTTTCCCTTCTTTCCCTTGAGCCACTCTCCCTCGATCTTCGGCAGTTTTACTGGAAGGTCCTTGTCGGGCACCGGCACAGGACCACAGTCCCCGCAGTGAATGATGGGGATGGGCGCACCCCAGTATCGCTGGCGACTGATCAACCAATCCCGTAGGCGCCAGCTCTCGATGAACGCAGCCTGACCGACCTGCTCCAGGTCATTGACAATCAGTTTTGATGCCTCCTTGGAGTGTAACCCTTGGTACTTTCCGCAGCGCGAGGTCAAGAAGCCCTCTTGTGTGAAAGGTTTTGTGTCTGACGTCGGGATGACACTGCTGTTTGCCTCTTTGCCAGTTGGCTCAGCCTCGATAACAGGGATCGAGTCGGTGTTCACATTTTCCTTAAAGAACGCCATGTCCCTGGTGTCATGGCCCGGAACACCCATGACTGCTCCCTCGCCATAATCACTAAGGACGTAAGGAGCCACAAAGACAGGAAGCTTCCTCAACAAGTGGGGGGTTTCTGTGTCGATTTTGCACAATGGATGAGACACCTCAATGTCGGATAGCCGGTATCCTACTTTGGAGTCCGGTGCAAGCGACGATGCATCACTCAGGAATTTGCGAAGTGCCTCGTCTTTCTCGGCAGCCTTCAACGCAATAGGGTGATTCAAAGAGAGTGCCAGATACTCCACACCATACAAAGTGTCTGGTCGGGTAGTGAATACATTCACATCGATTTGGTCACCCGCGTCTCCGACGGTCACAGGGAATGTGACCTTGGCCCCATAAGACTTTCCAAGCCAATTGCGCTGCATTGACAGGACACGCTCCGGCCATCCCCCAGCAAGAGAATCGAGGTCTTTCAGAAGTGCTTCCTTGAAATCAGTGATCTTAAAGAACCACTGCTTCAAGTTCAACTTCTCAACCTTAGCCCCAGATCTCCAGGAGAATCCATTGGCATCAACCTGGACGAAAATCAGATCAAATCAAAATCTACCCTCTGATCTCGACTCACCTGCTCATTTGCCAAAACAGTCTTATCAACAGGGTCATAATTAACCAGCGCTTCCGCCTGGTATGCCAAATCTTTCTGATACAGCATCAAAAAGATACGCTGAGTATGCTCATAGAAGTCCGGGGAACATGTAGCCAGTTCCTAGCCACAAGTATCAATTAGCCATCCATAACCAAACTCACGACCCAACCCGCCGAATCCAATAATCCACACGAACATACCCGATCCCAATCAAACTCCGCCGAAATACACCTCAACTGCTCCTTCATCTTCGAAATATTCTCCAGCGTCCAGACCGCAGGATCAATCCCCCTCTCAATCGCCGCGTTCTCCGCCGGCAGCCCAAATGCATCCCACCCCATAGGATGAAGCACGTCATGTCCGCGCATTTTATAGAACCGCGAGATCACATCGGAGATCGTGTATACGCGCAGATGGCCCATGTGCAGCGTGCCGGACGGGTATGGGAACATGGATAGGATGTAGGATTTGGGTTTGGGTTTATGTGTTTCGTCGGGTGTTGAGCGCGGCGCGGCGCGGTCGCTTTCCCATTTTGCGTGCCATTTTTTGTCCAGGGCAGGGAGGTCTAGTCGGCGCGGTGAGGTGCTGGATAGTCGGGTTAGGGTGTAGACTGGTGAGAGGGCTCGTAGGGTTGGACGCGTGTGAATGCGGCCAGGCGCGACGGCGCTGGTTAATCGGAGTCGGGAGAGGGATTGCATGGCTAGCTAATCATTATGTGTCTGGAATTTTTAGAGATTGGAGTAATTGGAGGGATTGATCATGTCCGCGATTTGAAGGTATGACTGTTTCGCGCATCTTCAAAACTTCCCCGGAGCCCGGGTAGCTTTAGCCCCGATTTGGGCTAGCGTATTAGCGCTAGCTTTGGACATATTTCTAGAAGCTGTGAAGATGCTGAGGTCTTTTAGTATTTTATTTCATGTTCAATGAATATGCATATTCCACACTTAAATCACTATGTATCGTACACTTTAGTTCTATTCTAAGTCTACATCCTCAAAATATCACCATTCCTGTCAATGCCACCCCGGAAATGATCCGCAACCACTTTCCCGCCGAGAATAGTCTCCTCGACAAGCCCCTCCACATGCTTAGGCTCAATGCGGCCATACCAGATCCCCTTACCCGCCAGCGGGTGAGGCTCTGAAGAAGTTCTCACTGTCATCTTCGGCGGGATATAAACAATCACATTGCCTGCATATTTGTGTCCTCCAACATGACTCATTAGACCAATATTAGCATGGTTAAGGCCATCCACCGTGGTTCCACCGCTGTCCGCGGAGGTGAATCCTCGCGCCTGCAGCACGCGCTTGAACTCGCTTTCCAAGGCAGGGGCCATGACACCACAGCGCATATCGCGACCTCCATGTCCGCATATTAACACTGTCGGAGAGTGGTTGATGTCGATTACTCCTGGGAAGTTTGATGCTAGCTCCGGGGATCGGGTCATGTCTGCTTGTTTGGTTGCGGGGAGAGAGGAGTGCATGTCGTGGAGTCGTTCGGGGAGAAGATATGCTCGTACGAAGGTCGTTAGATCGGTTGTTTGACCGGGTGATGAGGCCGTGTTCACGGGTATTGAGGGGATGTATTTGAAGCTGGGGAAGAGGAATGCCGAAGCTGAGGCGGGGGAGGAGCTTGTAGGTGGCGCGATAGATGAATTCGTGACCAATATATTGTTGAAAGGCTAGAGCAATGAGATCTCGAATCAGTAACAGTTCATCCATTGACGGGTTATATGATCCACTTACATCAAGATATGGCCCGCCACGACCTAGCAGGCTCTTCAGTCCTCTCACAAGGTTGCCCCAGCCTTTATTTTCGCCATCATCCTCAATGCGGCTCGTCCAGTCTTGCTGTCCTGTGCACACAAGAAGCTGCTGCGCGTAGGCAACCATCGTGCCATTTAAGGCTTGTTCATGATCGATCGGTAAACCCTCCGGTAGGGCGGGCGTGGGCGGACAATTGCAGCTTGTTTCAGGGCAGGTCTTGGTAACGGGGAAGGGAGGGGGGATTTTCAGGCGCGCGCGGAGTCTGCTGCTGCGTTGAGGGGTACTGGACAGTAGGCGGATGGTTTGGCAGTTTCGATAGGTTCGCCCGCTCCAGTCGCGCGTGAGCGATTGCGCGAGTATTGGTCGCATTGGACGTTATGACGACCTTGTATAAACTGGTAGAAGGTAGACAAATTTAAAGAGATGCCCAGAAAATCCCGAAAATAAATAAAACAGAGATCTGATATGTCCGAGCGCCGAGTCCGAGAAATCGGATATTCGGAGATTATCAATCGCTGCCGTTGATTTGTCTAATCTGCAAGATCATAACAATTCCGAGTTTATTCTACTACCTAGGTACCTAGGTACTTATAGCATCTAGTTATCATCGCAATACTCCCAATCATCCTCATCATCGCTGCCAATCAAAATCCCTTCAATAAATTGGCCAACAACCTCCAAGAAGTCTCCCGTTCTAGGAACATAATGAGTTCCCCAGAATTGGTAAATCTCGGCATTAGCGCAATTCTTTGCCAACCACAAGGACCGAGATGGATCAATCATTGGATCTAAAGATCCTATGGCATGAAGTATTGGAGTTTCGATCTTGGGATAATATATCGGCGCATACTCAGGCTGTGCCAGCTGAAAACCGCTCAGGCAAATAGCAAACTCCATCGGGGGGTGATCTCGCTAGAAAACGGAAATCATATTGTTACCAACAAATAGCGGCCAATACTTGGGTGTACTTACTGTAATATTGAAGTTGCAGATCGATCTCCTCTTTTCGAGAAGGGATGTGACAATAGCAGCCATGGTGGCGCCTGTTGAAAATCCCATGATCCCGATAAAAGGGCCATGTCTCTCAAGAATACCAGAAATATATTGGACGGACTCCTCAAGACCTTCGATATGCTCTGTCTCTGGGTCTCCATGACCCCATGCCCGCATGTCGTCGTCTTCATTCCAATTTTCCGGATCGGCTGGCAGTTGACCTGAAGGGTAATGGAACTCGATCCTGCTGATTTGGCGAGTACTGTCCTGCTGCAGGGTTTTGAGCACGGTTTGCTCTATATACTGTCGCATAAATCGAGTTTTGCATTGGAAAAACTGTCCAGATTGGCCGTGCCCTAAAAGCATGTGAGTCAGACTGCTGTTCGGCTTCTACAGGAAAGATAAAAGCGCAGCGCTCTTACCATGCAACATGAGGATTTTACCACATGACGGGGACTGATCAGATAGTGAAGTTGAGCTCATGGTGATAGCTTCAAGATATTAAAGAGTTCGGCAATCTTGTGCTTCGTTAGCGATCCTACCGGGTGTTCATATCTTCTTTAATAGGGGCTTGGTCTTGTTTGACGCCATATCTATTCTAGGGCCAAATGCAGATACAATAGTGTGGGTTGCACATAGCCTGTTGTGCAATGTAGATCGTCGTCGAGTGACATAGCTTGGTTAACACTGTGCAGTTTAGTGATAGGTTCATCGAATCTGTAAAAGTTAGATAAGGTGCGTTTGCAGAACTTGACAGATAATGTCTGCAACTTTCCCTTTTCAGAAGGATTATACTTTAATTACATGGGCCCTATGTTGCACAGGAGATGCAGACTGTCATTTTCCTAAGATCGACACACGGGTCTAGAATATACACCAGTCCTGATCTTGCATCATCATTTGAACGTAAATTTCTAAAATGGATCTTCAGATCTGCTTTTCATTTTGGAAGTAGATCCAGCCCATGAAAGGGTTCCTGCTCATTTCCCAAAACATCTGATACTGCTGGACAGCTAGACAGCTGCTGATTGCCTGAATGCTTTGCAAATATGTCAACTCGCGCAAGTAGGCCAACCTGATGTCTTCGCTGCCTTGGATGATCCCAATTAATTGGGCGTTGTCAAAATATGGTTCGGTGGCAAGGCTTTGCAGGTTTCGCCTCTTGGGTCGTCAGTTATGGAGATGGTGTCTTACAAGCTCGTGCTGGTTGAGGGACATGGTATTCCTGCGGACTGCGGTTATTGTCTGCGTTATATGGTGGCGGTCATTTTTGTTCAAGGGGAGTATGATTGAGGTAGGGAATTATGCGGACTCGCGCCATTATGTGCATAGTCGACGTGTTGAGGCGCTACGGGGCGGATTGATATGGAAGAATCCCGTGCTGACACAGGACTATCAGAGGATGAGGGTTGCTGGTAATGGGCTTATTATGGATGGCGAGATTTTGGATGAGGTCTTTGTTGAGGCGGAGGCAGTTCATCAGTTAGTTAGCGGAGCTTCGTGTTCGAGTCTAACCGCGAATGTGTTAAATGGGACAGAGATGTCAATGGATGTTGTGCATGTACAATGGTCGAAACTCTGAAAACTGCAGACTGCCTGATTTTGAAAAGAAATCACATCACGATTCCACATTGCTGGCGATAGCACACAGAAATAGGCTGACGCGCTTCCCGCAGGTTCGGTGGTAACAAATGCAATCGAACGGCCCCCGCACTGGTCATGCGACAAATATATGCGCCAAAGCCCCGAGCGGACCATCGTATCACATATGCAACTTCCAACGAAAGTTCATGGCGATTATTCTGATCAGTTGCATGGGCCGAAATTCGAGTAGGTAATTTTGGGATGGTGGGTTGGAATGGTAAGTATGTATATCGTAGGTCGGCATCCCGCGAAAACAATGATGTACAGTCTTTTTACCTGCGATCGGAGGGTGGCTCATAACTATAACATCAGTCTGGGATAAATGTTTTGAGGGTTTTCTGATCATTATTCAGTAGTTTTTCGACACTCAACGTAGTACACCACGTGGTAGCAATGAGATCCAATGTCCGACCGGAGAGCAATCACAATCAAAATATGCATTGCAGTGTCCCAATTGATCTGCAGTCCAGGAAACGAGAACAAACGCGCAGTGAAGAGACGAACATATCGGGTCCTCGACCCGGGATACGATGGATTAAAAAAGTCCACCCATCCTGCTTTTCTTGATGCGGTCATGCTTTCCGTGATATTGTCCATGATCTGATCCGGAACATCCATTATTAGTGGAACCGGGATGTTTCTCCAAAACCTCCTCGCGAGGAGGCAATGTACATCATGGGTAGCTCTGTACAGAAGTAGCGGGGCCGGAGTTGGAGAAGGTGGCACAGAGGCCGAATTTCGGCAGAAGGGCGGGAATTGTTCGGCATGGCTTCCGTAGCAGGAGGATGTGCTGGGGAACTTGGAGTGTTTTAGTACCTTGTGGGATAGGATTTACATGAGCCTGCAGGTTGGAGATGCTGATTATTGTAACAATTGGGGTGTTAATTGGGGTTGGTTCTGTATGTTCTGTATGGTTGTCTATAGTTGCATTTGGGTTGGATTGGGCTTACCCCTCATTATGTTAGTTACCCCGCTGCGGGGTAACATTTTCAATTTTTGGTGGGCTGATGGAGGGTGAGATGATGGGAATAACTACATAGATAGTAATTTGGAATATTACAGTGAAGAGAGAGAGAGAGAGATTGCTAGGCATTTTATTCTGTGCTAGCTATGTGTATAGCTGTACAGAACTGTATACTACATTACAAAAGTGCCCCCGCACGTTCATCTAGAGAAGCTTTCCAAGGTTAAGGTAGTAGTACTACATAGTTGCATGTTAGTACATACATTCTACATGTAGAATGTACATCATGTAGAATGTATGTACTAACATGTGGATACATAGCAAGCTACTTAGGTATGTAAGTCCAATTATGATTGGCCATAATCTTGAAACCCGAAATGTACAATGTACTATGTTGGTTTCCCCCCCCCTCCCTCATGCGGAGAGATCTCCAAGTGGATTCCCAGCCCAGTCCGGCTCTCCCGTTGCTATGCGTCCCAGTCGACTTTTTGACTTTTGAGGGGATGATACCTGTCTTTCCAGGGTTGTAGAGAGGGGATATATATAACCAGCTCCATTTTCTGTTCGGATGCTTTCTTTCTTCCCTATCCAACTCTCATCTGTTCTACTCTTCTCTACTCTAACTGTAAGTCTATCTTTTATTATTTCCCTTCTATAGTCAGCCAGATCACATCTCTTGGCCTGCAATATTCCCCACTTCTCCCCGTTCAGAGCTTACATCCGGTTTTGTCCAACGCCGTTTTTGGACATTGACCTCATCATCTATATATGGATATAACAGAGCGCTGACCCTTTTTCTAGCAACATCTTGAAAATATTTTATAATCCTTCACAATGGTATTTATCCGCTCTCTTTCCCGTCAATTGCGACGGCCCTTCCTTTCGAGCTCTCTCAAGCCAACTGTTGCCTCCAGCCCATTCACTCGGGCTTCACCTTTGGCTAGCTCTATTTCCGGTGCACGTACACTAACCGCAACTACGAATCTCCAGGGCAAAGTTCTTTTGGTTCTCTACGATGTAAGTCATTCTCAATTCATACTTTGCATACTTCAATCGCTGATCCGGTCTTTTCTGCAATATAGGGTGGTGAGCACTCCCAGCAGCAGCCTAAGCTGCTCGGTACCACCGAGAACGAGCTCGGCATCCGCAAGTGGCTCGAGGACCAGGGTCACACCCTAGTCACCACCTCCGACAAGGAGGGCGAGAACTCCACCTTCGACAAGGAGCTCGTCGACGCTGAAGTCATCATCACTACTCCGTTCGTTTCTCATGCACGGACTTTCAAAAACTCCCACTAACGATAAAAAAATTAGCTTCCACCCCGGTTACCTCACCGCTGAGCGTCTGGCCAAGGCCAAGAAGCTCAAGCTCGCCGTCACTGCCGGTATTGGTTCTGATCACGTTGACCTGAACGCCGCCAACACCACCAACGGTGGTATCACCGTTGCCGAGGTCACCGGCTCCAATGTCGTCTCGGTCGCTGAGCACGTCGTCATGACCATCCTCCTCCTGGTCCGCAACTTCGTCCCTGCCCACGAGCAGATCAAGAACGGCGACTGGAACGTTGCCGCCGTCGCCAAGAACGAGTTCGATCTCGAGGGAAAGGTCGTCGGTACCGTCGCCGTCGGTCGTATCGGTGAGCGCGTCCTCCGCCGCCTCAAGCCCTTCGACTGCAAGGAGCTCCTCTACTACGACTACCAGCCCCTCTCCCCCGAGGCCGAGAAGGAGATCGGTTGCCGTCGCGTCGATAATCTCGAGGAGATGCTCGCCCAGTGTGATGTCGTCACTATTAACTGCCCCCTGCACGAGAAGACCCGCGGTCTCTTCAACAAGGACCTCATCTCTAAGATGAAGCCCGGTGCTTGGCTCGTCAACACCGCCCGCGGTGCCATCGTCGTCAAGGAGGATGTCGCTGAGGCCCTCAAGTCTGGCCACCTCCGTGGCTACGGTGGTGATGTCTGGTTCCCCCAGCCCGCCCCCAAGGATCACCCTCTCCGCTACGCCGAGCACCCCTGGGGTGGCGGCAATGCCATGGTTCCCCACATGTCCGGTACCTCCATCGATGCTCAGGTCCGCTACGCCAATGGTACCAAGAACATCCTCGAGAGCTACTTCTCCGGTCGTGAGGACTACCGTCCTGAGGACTTGATTGTCCACAAGGGCGACTACGCCACCAAGGCCTACGGTCAGCGCAAGTAGAAAGTGTTCTTGCATGACGCAGTGTGAAGTATTCTCTGGTTGAGAGACTTCCTTTCATATTTATGTTTTTCTTGTTCATAACAGTCCCACTTGCTCAGATGGCATGGGCGATGCTGAAAAAGGTAGCATCTTTCACGATACCAATGAATAATATTTATAACCTTTGCTTCTTTCCACTTTGACTTGTATTTGAGGTTTCTGTACTCCATATGGAGTACTCCGTACTCCGTACAATATGCAGAGTTGTGCCTGATGATCGGTGGAGCTATGTCGATCTCACCGGATTAATTGAGCCCAGCCCTTCCCTTCGGTGGAGTCTAGAACGTGTAGAGCTGATATCTTTTTTTAGACATTCTTGATGACCAAGTATAAGTAGTAGCAATAGGGTCCAAATATGTACATATATATCAATTGTTCTAATAACTCAAGTCTACTACATGCAATTACAAAAAAAAAAAAAAAAAAAAAAAAACTCTATTCACAAAGTAGCCATGCATGGAACACCAGACCATCCAGGCTTGCAAAACATCCCTAGACAAAAACCCCAACCCCAAGAATGCAGATATGTATATACGAACGTGATCTTCAACAATTCAAAGCCTCCCTCCCTGTCGATTCCCACGTCCCTCACTCTCCTCATCACTATCATCACTATCATCCATAAACCCCTCCTCCAAATCCCGACTCAAACGACTCTCCGTCTCAGCCAGTGTATCACGTCTCCGTTGCTCCAGCGCACCCCGCCTCACAGAATCCATATCCATCCCAACCAAGATCTCCCCTTCCTCATCATCAATACTCTCCGTATCGTGGTCTGGTATGTGCGCCCCCCATCGCCACCGAGACGGAAGGAAGAAATGCATCACTTTATCCGCTATGCGGTCGCGAAGGGATAGTGTGTGTGCGGATATACTGTGTAGCGGGAGATATTGCGAGTAGCGCTGGTGGTACCGGCGGAAGAAGGGGATTATCACACATGACGCTAGGATGTAGATTGATAGTGCGATTGCGGCTGGGATGAGGATTGTCTGCGTGTGGTTGGGTATGTTAATTTGGGTTCTTTTTGGTCTTCGTCTTGGTCATGGAGTGTGCCTAGAGATGACGGTGGTGTGGTGTGTGGCTTGCGCGTCGGGATAGGGGGTTTGCGCGCACCTTGGCAAAGACACTTGTTGATCCCATGCTGGGTGCTGGGAAATCAGGCTTTGGAGCGCGCCTAAGAGAGGATGGTAGAGTGTTGTGAGGTTTGGGGGTCACGAGAGATTGCGGAGGTCCGGGGGTTCCACGGGTCTGAAGAGCACACGCGGCAGGGGATCGGCAGATCGACAATCGGCTCGGGATATCGGAGGTGTCGTCACTTTTTGAAATATTCTTTTATATTCTTTTATACTTCACATCACCCTTGTTCCTCAAATTAGTATCGGTTTCATAGAAAGCTATGTAACTGACAACACATGGTTTGTGGCCTGATCCACAAGGCACTTAACAACAACATGATGGTTAACTATTGGAAGGTCCACGCCGATGTTGAACAGCTGTGATATTGGATGAGTCTAACTAGTACCAGGCTAGTAGGGGTACCTCGAACAGTCGATGATACTTCTAAAGGCTTCTCATGTCTTTGCCCTTTCTCGTTTTCTCGTTTAGCCCCTCTGCTCATCACTCGCTAATATGAACGATCAACAGCAGGTAGGGCAGCTGTGACCCTGTTGATGCCCAGGATAGTGATATTCTCTTTGGTGAATCCCGAATTTCTTTCGCACGTTCCTTTTCGCTCTTCACGGTCCTCGGTTCGAATTCGCTGGAGTGTTTCAGCACCTTGGTTGCGTCCTCTTTCTCTAATATATATCTCACTATCATGAATCTACTGTATCTATATTTCCCATACTGTCCATGAGATTATAAAGTGATTACTCTTCAAATGACACTAATATATGGCTGACAGTATGAGTATAGATGCTCAACTTCAATAATGAGTGTTTGATCACACTTTCTTTTTGAAACTCCATTCATTCCAAGTTGATGGCCCAGTGAATGTCAACCTCGAAAGGGCCCCAGTATAAGCTTACGTGACCTTGACGATCACGTGCGCGGTCGGGGAGTTTCTCCGGGACAAGCCCCCTAATATCAATAGACTGATTAGAAGAACGCTCGGGCTTTGATCCTGGCGTCAAACTGGACTTGACATTTGCAAAAAGCTTGCATGTTAATTTCCTTTTCTCCTATTTTGCTTTCCTTGTGGGGTGAGTGCCGTGAAGAAATCCCCTTACCCCTCAGTCTCTCGCGACTCCGCCGTCGCAACGGGTATACTAACTAGCCAGGGAGGGACAAAACAGAGAGCCACTTTCGCCCAATTTGAATGTCATCGTCTTCTCCCATATTCTTTCGATCGACAGCACCTTATCGCGACACTGGACATCCTTATTTAATACTGTTCCCGAGAGTGTTGGAGGGGCCCTTATGCTGCGCCCTGCCTCATCTTAGCGACGCCCGCCAAAATGCCAACCAGTTCACAAGCCGACAAATCTAGGCAAACATCGAGTGGAAAGTCATTCTTCGGACGGAAGTTGTACAAAGAGAAACCGACAGAGGAACGATACGAGAATTATGCAGGTTCCTACGACAGCCTGGCCCCTCCGGGAAGCGCCGCGGGCTCACGCTCGTCCCGCTATTCGAAGCGGTCTTCGATTCAATCTGTCGACATGACCCATGATTTGGACCCAGGCAGTATCGCACACACCTCAGGCGTTATCACCTCCATCCCCTTTGAAAGCCTTCCCACCGATACCAGGACCCCGATTCCAATCGACAACATGGCTCGCCCTGGCTCATCGCGCCACGAGCCTTCGCCCAACCATGTGGGCAAATCTGGAGGTGACTATCATCAATATCCGACCGTGACCTCTACATCTGCGCCAAATGGGTACGCCCCACATCCTTCTGGGCCCCGTCCGCCCCCGCACGGCTCAAACAACACCATGACCAGCAGCAACTCCGGCGATCGAGGTGCCAGACAACAACAGCCACAGCAACAATGGGGACGACCAGGCAGCTCCGCAGCGAACAGTGGGCCTAACCACAACTCCTCTTCTATTGATTCGTCCTCCAACTCCCGCACCTCCCTCGACCAAGCCAGCATTTACTCCTCCGTTTCTTCTAACACGCGCGGTTCGAGCTACTTCTCCTCGGACAATTCCTCACGCACTCTCACAACCTCGCATTCTAGTGACCGCACTACCATGTTCCCTAGCTCTAGCTCGGGTCGTTTGTCAAATGCGGGATCCTCCCACCAGATCTCTGTACCCGCCGCTGTCCCCCGGCCACAAGATAACTACCTCACTCGACCGAGGGATGACCGCATTGTGGATCAACTGTTTCTAGAACTGATGCAGAAGCGAGGATGGCAAAACCTCCCCGAACAAGCCAAACGGCAGATGCTGTCGTACCCCGCTTCAAAGAAATGGACATTGGTACACCAGGATCGCTTGACAGAGTTGCAAGGAGAGCAAAAAAGACGACAAAATGCGCGACAAACCCATGGCCATGACGGTTTGTCTGGTTTGCTTGAACGTGCCGATGAAGAAGGTAGCCCGGAATGGTATGTGAAGAAGGTGATGGATGACACCATTACTTCCAAGCAGCTTGCTAGTTTGAGTGTTAGCTTGCGGACACAGCCAATCAGGTATGAACTGCCTTTTTTCTCGATATTATGCAGATCACTAATAACTACACAGTTGGGTGAAAGCCTTTGTTGAAGCCCAAGGTCAAATCGCTTTAACCAATGTCCTCTTGAAGATCAACAGAAGAAAAGCCTCTGGTCCTGTCCCGGCTCCCCCTACAGGCGATAAAGATCTAGACCGGGAATACGATATTGCCAAATGTTTGAAAGGTCTGATGAACAACAAGTATGGCGCAGATGATGCTCTAGAACATCAAAATGTGCTAGTTGCACTCGTCAGCTCATTATCATCGCCTCGTCTCAATACTCGGAAACTTGTCAGCGAGGTCCTCACTTTCTTGTGCCACTGGGGTGATGGACAAGGCCACCAAAAAGTACTGCAATCCATGGACAAGGTCAAACATGATCACAACGAAACCGGTCGCTTCGATGCTTGGATGCGTATTGTCGAGGTTACCATCGACGGCCGTGGAAAGATGGGAAGTCTGGTCGGTGCCAGTGAAGAGTACCGCAGCGGAGGCATTGGAATGGAGAACCTCCTTATGGAGTACGCGGTCTCAACCATGATCCTCATCAATATGCTGGTGGACGGAGCAGAAACGGACCTACAGCTGCGTTGCCACATCCGCGCCCAATTCACATCATGTGGAATCAAGCGTCTGTTGACGAAGATGGAGGGATTCCAGTATGAGGTTATTGACAAGCAAATCGAGCGGTTCCGCGAGAATGAGGCCATCGATTACGAGGACCTCCTCCAGCGGGAAGGCAGCAGTATGAAGGATAGCATCGAGGGCGAAGTCAAGGACATGAGCGATCCTATGCAAATCGTCGATGCAATCACGTCCAAGCTCAACGGCAGTCGGTCCCATGACTACTTCCTCTCGGCTATGCAGCATATGCTCCTCATCCGGGAGAACTCCGGCGAGGAAGGGCTGCGTATGTTCCAGCTAGTAGATGCCATGCTGAGCTACGTGGCCATGGATCGGAGACTGCCCGACCTTGATCTTCGGCAGGGTCTGACCTTCACCGTACAGAGTCTGCTAGATCGGCTGCACACGGATGCAGAGGCAAGACGGGTATACGATGAGTCTCTTGAGGCTCGGCAGATCGCCGAGGCTGCGATTGCTGAGCGCGATGAGATGCGAGCGCAGGTCGAGCTCGGCGCAGAAGGCTTAGTCTTGAAATTGCAAAAGCAAATTGATGAACAGGCTGGAATTATCGAGCTGCAACAAAGGCAAAATGAATCCTTCAAGGCTGAAGTTGCAGAAGTACAACGGCTGCGTGCTCAGGAATTGCAGCGCAATGAGCTGGAAACCCGAGAACTATACCTCATGCTCCGAGATGCCCAGGATATCGCCGCTTCCAATGCCCGAAAGGCCAACAACCCTGAGACGGTGGAGGCAGCAGATCCATCCCAGATGCCCGGTATCATGGACCGCGAACGACTCATGGAACGTCTGGAACGCCAGCTCGAGCGGACTAAGACCCAGTTCAAGCTGGAGGGTAAGGTTTGGGGCCAGCATGGACCATCAGATCGACTCCGCGAGCTGCGCGAGAAGATGGAAGGCGAAGGGGATGACAGTGAGGACTTTGCTGAAACTACCCGCCGACACCTCGACCCTGGTTCTTTGGGATCTGTTTACCGCAAGCGCAGCCATATCCCTACGATGGACTCGACTCTGGAAGACGATGAGGACATCCCAGTAGATAGCAATGGCGAGCCGATGTACGAGAGGCCTCGTCTGGTGGAAATGCATCGACCTCGTTTGAACGCTGCCCAGGCTACCGGCTTGCTAGGCGAGATTGCTTCCAAGGTTCCTAAGTTTGATGCTGAAGATTCCGATGCTGCTGAAGAGGAAGAGGTACCCAAGCTAGAAGATAATGAAGCTGCTACAAAGGCTATGCCACCTCCCCCCCCTCCTCCAGGAGGCAAGATTGTTCCTCCGCCTCCGCCGCCGCCGGGAGTTATGGCTCTTCCCCCACCCCCGCCACCAGGAGGCAAGATTCTTCCACCTCCACCTCCACCAGGGGGCTTCGTTCTCCCACCGCCGCCTCCCCCGGGTGGAAAAGTTGGTCTGCCTCCTCCCCCACCGCCTGGCGGAATGGCTCTCCCACCGCCGCCTCCGCCAGGTGGTGCCAAGGGTGTTCCTGGATTGCCGCCTCCACCTCCCCCCCCGGTGGCAGAGTTGGATTGCCTCCGCCGCCTCCTCCAGGTGGTGGTGGAATCGCTCCTCCACCTCCTCCCCCTATTCCCGGAGCCAAGGGCCTGATGATCCCCCCGCCTCCACCCCCCAGCGCCGCCTTGGGTTCGGGCTGGAGACCGGCATACATGGTTGGAGATGTTTCGCCGTCTACAATCCACATGCCATCCATTCGACCTAAGAAGAAGCTTAAGGCTCTGCATTGGGACAAGGTCGACACTCCTCAAGTGACTGTTTGGGCTGGTCACGCACCGACCGCTGAGCAGAAGGAAGAAAAATATACCGAGCTTGCCAAGAAGGGTGTATTGGACGAAGTTGAGCGATTGTTCATGGCCAAAGAAACGAAGATCTTTGGAGCCAGCACTGGTGCGAAGCAGCGGACGGCCAAGAAACAGATC